GTGATACACTGTAGTGGGCCTGAACTTCCAATACGTCCCAATTCATCCTTGTAACTCTAGCATACTACCACCACTGCAAGGCACGAAGTTGCCATTCACCCATTTGCTGTCCGGTCCTGCCAACCAGCTCACGACACCCGCCACATCATCTACTTCAGCGATGCGTCTTTCCGCAGTTGCCCTTGCATACAACGCTTCCGTCCATTCTTTGGGCAGTCCTGCCATGCCCATCCGCAGGGCGTCAGTGTTTGTGGGGCCCACGGCGACGCTGTTTATGGTGATCCCCGTGCCACGGGGATACTTCGCCGCAAGGGCTCGCGTGATTGCATCCGATGCTGCCTTTGTCGCGCCCAAAATTACCAAGGGGTCGGCCTAGAGTTTAGGAATCCCAACACACAGGTTAGTTCCAAAACAAAACATTCAGAGCTGGGGAGTGGCAGACTTGACTCTGTACTCAGTCGATCCTAACCAGGGCAGTTGCAGGTGAAGACACCAAGGTAAACTCACATTCGGTCGCCTGCTGGCGACGCTGGAGATGGTGATGATCCTTCCTCCCCGTGGCATATGTGGAATCGCCGCGAGCGATAGCTGAAATGGACTCCACACGTTTGCGGTCATGAATCGATCGAAAGCCTCCTTGGTATGTGTCTCCATGTTCTGCAAAGTGTGCATGTCGGACAAGGCTGCGTTGGACACAACAATGTCGATGCGGTCCACCGCAAGAGAGCCGAGGGCTTGTTTGATGACATCCTGTCCAAAGGTTTCCGAGGTGACGTCCGCTTTGATGAGTGCCGTCTTGACGTCGGAGGAAATCTCTGCGATGGACGAGAGCACCTTTTTCGCCGCGTCAATGTTGCCCAGGTAAGTGATGGCGATGTGAGAACAGCCCCTTCGCGCAAAGTCGATGGCTATGGCTGCGCCGATCCCCCTAGACGCTCCGGTGACGATTGCCACACGGCCGGCGAGAGGCGCTGGGATGCTGGAGATCATGGTTGCTGTGCGAGGAGACCCCGAGACCAGAATTCAGAAGGCTAGTATCAGAGTTGCTTCTGTATGATGAACTCCGAATCGTTGACGCCTCCATGTGTACTTCTTATATACCCCTTGGGTCTGTATCGCTTGCTGATATTCATGTCACAGTCCCTTGCTGGATGAACCTTCTACCCTAGTCCAGAGCCCTTCTAATGGAACTGCCTCCGTCTGCGAGCCCAACGCCATCCATGTAATCCTTCCATGAATAGTCGACAATTGTATTACACTTGACAAGGGGCTCGACCTTCCACTGGCCCCTGCGTAGCCTCTTTGTAGTTTAGGAGAACCTTGTCCGAAAGCAGTTGTACGAGTGTGCAAAACCAGGGTACCGATTGCCTTATATGGCAGGCACAAAAAGCCTTCGTCTCCACTATTAACCCCGGAGTCGATCCGCAGTCTCCCATTTCTCTCACTATCATTCAGAGCGGAGCTCTCCGGCTTAACGCCTCAGTATCCTTTGTTTGGCCAAAGCTCAAAGGATGTTGTATTCAAAACTAATACCACGGCCCCTTAGAACCCCAATTTGGACCAATTGGCAAGCACCTTCCGTTTGATCTCCTCGGGAAACCCACGGTCAAAATCACCCACCTCCCAATTTGGCCCCGTAGTATATTCGACCGGCAAGAGACAGTTGGACACAATCTTCGTGGCGACGTCCGGAGGACCCTGGCCTTGAGACTGGTAGGGCACCAAGGGGAATCCGAGGGTGTTGTGGAAGTAGAAATCGTCCACCCCTGGCCTACATCTGGTGGCATACGCCCACATGACGTCCTTGAAGTTGTAGATGTCGATGTCGTCTGACACGACCAAAATGTGGTGCTCAAACATGCCGGTTTTGTCGGAGAAAACGGTATCCCCGATACGATTGCACAGCTCTTTCGGATTGGTCTTCATGGTGCGAAGTCGTTCGCCATCAATCTGCACCACCGCCCAAAGTGTCTGGGTTTCACAAGGCGTGAAAACCTCTTTGACGGGGAGGCCCGCCTCTTGTAGTCGTTGGCGGATCACAGCGCCGCAGAATGCTCCCGCGAGTGTATGCTACAAAGTGTTCGTGAGCTTTGATACTTCTGTGATTTAGATGGAGAAGAATGGGCTCTTACCGTCTCACCAACAGGTCTGCCTGGTACACATATAGGAAGGATTGCATCGTTCCTGTATGTCACGGCCTTGACCGTGAACAAAGGCATTTGTTTGGGAGGTTCGATGAAGGTGTAACCGTGGATTTCGCCAAAAGGTCCCTCTGGGCCCCTCTCCTTAACAGACATGGTTCCCTCCATCACAATCTCCGAGTTGGCAGGGACGTATAGGTCGTTTGTCTCGCATTTCACCACTTCCACAGGGACACCACTCATTGCGCCGACAAAATCAGCTTCAGATACCCCCTCAGGGACCCCGATGCCAGACGCTAAGATCGCCGCAGGGGGGACTCCAAACGCCATTGCCCAGGGGACATCCTCGCCCTTCTTCTGCCACTGAGCAAAGATGCGTCCGATGTGCTGAGGCGGCATGACAAGGCCGCTGAGACGCGTTTTGTCATGAACCATAGCTCGGGAGATGGACCAGTTTGTCCATTTCTGGTCTGGTGTCTGCAGAACGTGCATCCCGTACGTCTGCAGATACTTGCCGCCGTCAAACCTGTGCATTTGCGGCACAGGCATCTTGTTGAGGTCAATGTCGTCGCCGAACAGCTTGTTCTCTTTACAGGGGCCGTCGGCAACACGGAAGGGTGGAATTGGCTTCAGCTTGTTGGCGCCGAGAATCTTGTCGAAGATCTCTGACATGGTCGCCGTCGGTTCCAGACCAACGTGTCTCGCCAGTCGGGCAAACTGTTCCGTTTTCTCCTTCCGGAGCGAAGCAGGAGCACCCAATACCCTGAAAAGTCCATCACGAGCACCCTTCACATTATGGAAAAGCGGCGCTTTGTCGCAAGTCTCCAGGGCGCGACGAGTAATTGCCGATAGCTCGAGATTAGGGTCCACCTCCTCATACACATCTGCAAGGTCACCGTCTTCACGGAGTGCCTTGACAAAACTTCGAAAGTTCAAGTGTGGTGCCGTGTTGGAGGAGCTATATCTTCGCAGGCCTCCCAAACCGTAGAGCCTCTCAAATCTCACTGAGGTGGCCAGTCTCATTCGAGGCTGCTGCGCTGTGAGGATTGCAGGCATTGTGTGAGGAGGACAGTGTAAGAGAGGGGAGAAGACAGAGCACAGAAGAGGAAGAGCAGTCGCCCAGGGCAGGCTTAAAGCACGCGTCACCAGGGATTCGGGCCATAGCTTTTATGAAGTTCTAAGGTCAATAGGTTTCTCATAGCTGCATGTGGATCATCCGCTCACCGAGCCCCTGAGACGTGTGTGTAAGGCATGGGCAGAAATCATGCGGCTGGCCCCATAAGAGTGGCTGTCAGCTCTTCTCGCATTTCGGACTGTTTACTGATCCTTAGTCCAACAACTGTTCGCCAACGCGCAGATCATCGACCTGAGAAGATGAAAATCGATTCGGTCTCAACGGCTATGCGGCAATCTAAGCAAAAAGGAATGGAGCGAGCCCCGAGAGGTGGTGGGTACACAATGTCTATGTCATGGGTTAAAATGCTGTTTCCAAATTTCTGGACATATCTCCTTTGATGTCCCAATGGAACCTACTCTGTAAGTTCTATTCTCCTTAAAGCTCTTTCGGCGAAACATAAAATGATTCTCAACACTACGGTTACAAGAACAACAGGGCCGTTTTGCGCAAAGACACGACGCTTCTTTCCTAGATTGGTTCTCAATAATCATGGTTCATGTCTTTTACCGCCGATATCTGAACAGGCACGCGGCCTTTCGTCCGGTCCAACACTTTTGCACGACAAACAAACCCAAGGTCTGCAGACCAGAAAGCGCAGAATCATTGTGGGCATGACAGGTGCCACGGGCTCAGTCATAGGAGCCCGGGTCCTCGAAGCCCTTCGCAAGCTGGATGTCGAAACACACTTGATCATGAGCAAGTGGGCTGAAGCAACCCTCAAGTACGAAACAAACCAATATACTCCCTCAGACATACGAGCACTGGCAACGCACAATTACGCCATCAAAGACGTGTCGGCCCCGATCTCAAGCGGTTCCTTCGCGACAGACGGCATGGTGATCGTTCCGTGCAGCATGAAGACTTTGGCGGCGGTTCGAATCGGGTACGCAGATGATCTTATTTCTCGGGCCGCAGATGTCGTCCTGAAGGAACGACGACGCCTCGTGCTTGTTGTCCGCGAAACGCCCTTGAGCACCATTCATCTGGAGAACATGACAAGTCTGAGCCGCAGTGGGGCGGTTATATTTCCACCAGTTCCCGCTTTCTATACAAAACCCGAGACGATTGATGATATCGTGGACCAGACTGTGGGAAGAATCCTGGATATGTTCCACTTGGACACCTCCGGCTTTGAGAGATGGGGCGGTATGAAATGGAAGTGATGGCTATGATCTGCGGCGGGATGGGTACCCCGAGTTCCATTCCTAGAGTAAATGTATGCCCTGCCAACTAACCGAAAGGCTACAGACTAATCGTTGCAAATGTGGTAGAAGATGACACAGCAAGCTTCGGATAAATGAAGTAATTGTTGAGCGGAAAGGTCTGAGGAGTCTTTATGTTTCTTTTTATGGCATCTTCGCAGCTCGGTCCCGGGGGCAAACGGTATCGTAATGTCATACTGTTTGTCTGACAGTTGCAATTAGCAGGGAACACCAAATCTACCAGAAAGGGCAGGTTAGGCGCAAGCCGACAACTAAGCTGTGCGATAACAGCAGCCAATAAAGATGCCTACTCACAGGGTGGACTTTTCCTGTTGCGGACTAGTGGAAGACAGATAACGGAGCCTCCCGAGTGTCCCAGATTCAGCATCCTCAAGTGCCTGGTGCATCAGAGGGATCCCACATCTATTCCAGCTTTTGATCTCTGAGACGCGCTATCAGGCTTGCCTGGCAGCAAATGCTATGGCTCTCAACGGAAATGGACAGGCTACTTTCACAATCCCAACCGTTGACCTGACAGCCTACCTCAATGACCCAGATTCTTCCGAGGCCGAGACCATCGTGACACAAATTCGCACTGCTTGCACAACAAGTGGCTTCTTCCAGATTACTGGACACGGTGTCTCAGAATCGCTTCAAAGTCGGGTGTTTTCTGCAGCGAAGGCGTTGTTTGATCTGCCAGACGACGAGAAGCATAAGCTCAGTGGGAAACCTGGGCGAGGGTTCGAGATCATCGGAGCCCAGACGCTGGAGGATGGCAAGAAGCCCGACCTGAAAGAAGTACGGTGGTCCTTAGTTGACCTCGCAGAAAGCAAGTCGCAAGCTAACACTTTATGAGGGATACTATGTTGGTCGCGAGATCCCCGGCAACAAGCCGCCATTCAGACCCTTTCAGGAAGCAAACATCTGGCCAGATCAAATCCCGGAATCAGAATTCAAACAGCCCTTGCTTGAATACCATCGAGCCGTGTCTGACCTGTCATTCCTGCTCATGAGAATCTTGGCTCGGGGTTTGGACAATTTCGATACAACCGTGTTTGAAGGCTTCTGTCGGGATCCAATTGCCGCAATCCGGCTGCTGCATTACCCTCCGCACCCCAATTCCGATGATTCAGCATTGGTCGGCGCCGGTGCACATACAGACTTTGGAGCCATCACCCTCTTACTCCAAGATGGGCATTCCGGTCTGCAGGTTCTGAACCAGTTTACCGGGGACTGGATCGATGTGCCACCTCAACAACATGCATATGTGGTGAATGTCGGAGACATGCTCGAAGCCTGGACGAGTGGCGCATACAAAAGCAACATACATCGAGTCATCAACACTTCCGGCACTGACCGATATTCGATACCTTTCTTCCTGGACGGCAATGCAGACTGTATCATCAAGCCCCTGGATGGTTCCGAGGGCAAGGCATTCACGGTTGAAGAGCATATGCTGTCCAGATACGCTGCCAGCTACAAGTAGTGGGGGAAAGGAAACAATCCAGCCCTTAGCCACGTTGCACAAATGGTGGCTTTCTAAACCCTTTGGCCGATCTCCTTGCGGTTTCCTGCACTTCGCATAGCCTTCTCGACGAGTAGAGGCGCTGTTCGTTCGATCAGGTCGCAACTGTCCAAAATGAAGCACTCCATATATTGACTAAACAGCCTTGATGTCAACCCAAGATCGAGGTCGCGTAGCCTGCGGGTGGCCTTGCGGATGTTCTTCGGCAAATAATGAAGGCTTTCCACCCCCCGACCGTCTGCGAAGCGTACACCACCAGCAATACCAGCGGCGCATAACCTATCTTCAGCCGCACTGCACGATGACGTATCTTCAGCCTGATTTCAAAAGTTCCCGACACCTCAAAGCAGACACTCAGATCGCCATTTTCACCACAAAGGCAGGCCACATGGGTGGATAGACGAGCCCGCAGGCATCCAGCTCGTCCGGGGTCGTTGCAAAGAGCTCTCCTTGCCCTTGTTGCGATTTGCCACAAGAATAGTATTTTTTATCAGGCTGAGATTTAGCATGCATGTGGCTTGCATCTAGACCCTGTTCGATTGGGCGAGTTTCACCATGCGGTTTGTCAGATAGCCTCCCTTGTGCAGGAACCATCCTTGTCGAGGAACCCTTTGCTATCCACTAGGGACGGGCCTAGGGTGTGAGCTTCCCCTCCCTAGAGACAGTCCTTCCACAGCCTTAAAACACCTACGTTCGCTCCTCGGCCCAGTCCTTCACGCTCCCAGCCTTTTTCCATGACTCTGCGAAGACTGTAAAACGACGTCCGTTGAACGGCCACTGTGAACAAAATGGATGGTTCCTGGCAACGCTCGTCCAGACCGGAGCTGCGTCCTGATCCCGCCTCTTATCCCTCGACATATTCGCGCGAGGCCTCCCCTTATTCCAATATCGGCAGCCAATCGCACTTGAACCTTTTGAACAACAGTGCCAATCCACCGGCCGACCCACCAATTGTCTTTCTGTCTGGAAATAATGATCTGGTCGAGGACCAGGCCAGTCCGCCACTGCATCCTTCAGGTGGACTATGCACTTCCCCGCTCGCCTTTGAGGATCCTCGCTAATTTTCGGATGGGGACAGTCACTTTGACTGCCGTCTCAGACGTCAGTAGAAGAAAATTGGCACCCTTGGACTTCTGGCCGCCGATTTTGAAATGGTATTCAACGATATTTTTGACAATCTTGTATCTCGGCACAGCCGGCGCGATTGTGGCACTCTGGCTCGCAGCTGGAACCAATGGCCAATACCACTTGTCGAGCGAAAATGTTCGCATGATATCGCGGTACTTTCCCTCGGCGTTGGGCACCCTCAACGTCATTCTGTTCCGTCAACTTGTTCGTGAATATATTCGGATGAAACCTTTCGTGGAGATGGCGGACCAAGGCGAGGAAGAGAGCTCCGGAAAGCCGCCCAGCAAAGGTGTCAGTGGGGCGTTCTTTCCATGGCAGGATATCACCATTACTCGAGGCATGACTTCGATCATCTCCCTATTTTGTCAACTAATGGTTGGGTTCATCGTCAGTTTGAAGGTTGCACTGCTAGCCAGCGGTCCCGCCACGCTCGAACACACCGGCCAGGAAGCCACAGCAGGTTGGACTCTGACACTCCGAGTGTGGCCGGCTTTCTTCCTCATCATCGGACATGTCATAATGGCTGCTTACGTGCTTTGGGTTGCTCACCTCAACCGCGGAAAGTCGACTGGCCTCAGATGGGACCCTGTTACCATTGCCGACTACTGTGCCCTGTTTGCACACTGTAACGTTGCGGAGTACTTCTCAGCGCTTGAGTTGCTCCACAACCGCAAAGCAAAGCAAGTCTTGTCGACAAACCATCTGTTTCGACTGGGTTACTGGGAAAAGCCCATTCCTGGATCGCCCAATAGAAGTCATTTGGTATACGGCATTGGCACGACTTGGACCGCAGCAGGTATTTGCACGAATCTGAATTTGTGGATAGGTGCTCACCGACTAGCAGATCGTACATCAACATCATTTGAACCTAGCTGGTACGACCGATTGATCGGAAATAAAAAGGGCCCAACCCCGGTAGACGATTGTAATAAGTACAGGAGTGACGACGAGCGTTTACCTTGCAACCAAGGAACGTGGCCAGAATGCGAACACTATCCCTACCGCCATAGCCCTGGTTGCGGAAAGGGCTGGGTCGTTTTGTCTGTAGCCCTGGCCTGGGCAGGACTCGCCGTTGCCGTCTACGGACTTATCAATGGCATAGTTTTCAATGGGTTTCGCCTGAAGAAGGACTGGAGCATCCCATCAGACATGTCGGTTACTGCTGGGAATCACACATTCAACCTGCCACCTATCGACCCGACAGACCCAGAATCAAAGCTTATTGTGTATGCGTTATTGTTCCGCTCAGCGCCAGTCTATGTGGCCGGCGTGTTCACAGCCACAATTATTGAGTGGGTGGACGTCAACATGCGATTCATGCAACCGTTTATCAACATGTTTGGCAAACCGGGGGATGCAGCGGATACCGTCCTCCTCGCGTACATCACCACGTCCCCTTTCCAGGTACCTATCACGGCGATCGAGAAGGGCCATTACAAAGTCGCGGCCTTCTCAATCTTGAACACCCTCTCACCGTTGTTCCCGATCTTCATTGGTGGCCTCCTCCAGCTCGAGGATGACGACCAAATGGTCCTGTTCAACTTTTCTCTGTCAGCCTATATCGGTATCATGGTGTTTCTAAGTGCATGGAGCGTCGCATTGCCATTCGCATTCCCCATTCAGAAGAGGCTTCTCCCGCGCCAATTCTACAGTATGGCGGATTTAATGGCAATGTGCCACAAGTCCTACTTTCTGCAACGGCGTTATCTTGACTTTGCGGACAAGAGGCGCACCCCGTCAAAGGACATCATGGAGGCTCGCATCCTTATGTCAGGGGACAGATTCTTGTTTGGTCACTACACGGACGACGAGGATAGAAAGCACATTGGGTTCGACATCCACAGCACTGTGGACTACAACTCCGGCGACGTGGACGAGACACACCTCGTGGTCGCTGTCACGCCTGCGGGTGAAATAGACAAGCTCACCAGCCAAACGATCAAAACCATGACAAACCTCTTTCGCAATACCGGCAGAGTCCAGAACAGCGGCAAAGGGTTCGTTGCATGGGTACGGCGAATGCTGCGAAGCCAGCCAGGAAGCCCGGCAGAGAGGGAAATGAGCTTCCTAGCTCCTCGGGGATCCGCCACTGGCTCACATCTCGAGGGGCAGCAGGAGGCGCGGCAGCGACCTGTTGTGGCGTTCGCCGCCGAACTGGGTTGACTAGACGACGGCTTGACAACTCTATAAACGGACACAAGATCAGTTGGCGGATTCCTGGTCAAAAATTCGCCTGCGGGCGGCACCAGGAGGATCCGGCAACACCTTATAGTGCTCGCTAGACCTAATACCGTTTGGCAATTATTTTGCGATTCTCAAGGCTGTCGTCTCCGTCAAGGCGCTTCCCAAACGGCGTGGGCTCAAGTATGCTAGTCTCCAGTCCCCCGTTGGATGGATCGATATTCTAAGGCCAGCAACCAGGTTCGGATGTATACACAACTTCTACATCGCTAAGTAACCGCTACCGGGATTAGCGCATATCAGATCTGCTGTACAGGGAAGAAAAGTCTGTGAAAGCAAGATCAGCCGCTGGTGCTTGGTAGTATGGTATCGCCATGTATTCCATCGGCAACGGCCACAGGTGCTTGTTCGGAGGGCATATGGTGCCCTATGATCCTGGATTACGGAGCAGATACTCGCAGCCTTGCAAAACGCTGCCCAAGCGGATATGAATTGGTGTCCTTCCTTCCGTGGCAGGTTCTGCCCTCTACAACGACTATATATGTACCATACCTTCACTGACCCAAAGAAGTGTTGAAGGCTTCCTAAACTGAGAAGCTGCTTTCTCTCACATTCTCACCTTCATCCATCATTGATGCCCGGCGCCAGCTGGTCATATATGTGATTTACTCATCCACTCGTGGTGAGTCCGCTCACTGGTATCGGGTTCTCGGGCCGAGGTATCTGCGCCGAGTTTCGAGGCAGACCAGCCAATGCTTCGCTGGTCGATTCTTCCAATAACGTGTGTCAGAGTCAGGATAGACCGGCGTGCGGGGTTCGAGAGTAAGCGAGTGAGCAGACCTCGGTCCTCGTGTTTGGTGGAGGGTTGATATCTGATTAGAGTTATAATACAGGGAAAGTCTGCTACAGCGTCCTACTGTCCGTCATCTTTGTCAAATTCGACCACCATTCATCCCGACGTCCACACTGCTGCTCCTTACCACTGCAAGCTATAGAATCTGTACACCATGGCCGGCAACGCTTACGTTCTGGGGGTTGGCATGAGCGCCTTCCTCAAGCCTCGGCGACAGCGCGCCTTCACTGAGCTCGCCTTCGAAGCCGGCGTCAAGGCCATGCTAGACGCCCATGTGACGTACGACGACGTCGAGGCCGGCGTCGGGTGCTTCTGCACGCTGCCCTCGTGCAGTGGACAACTGTGCTTCTATCAATTTGGCATGTCGGATATCCCCATCTACAACACAAACAACGCCTGTGCCACGGGCTCGACCGGGCTCCATATGGCGCGGAACTTTGTCAAGGGCGGCCTGTACGACTGTGTCCTGGTCATCGGATTCGAGCAGATGAAGCCCGGTGCTCTTGGAGGCGGCACTTCCGACCTTCCCACACCCCAAACCCTCAGCCTGAAGTTGATGAGCCAGACCAGAGGAGATACCAAGGCGCCGAAGAACCCGCAGATGTTCGGCAACGCCGGCAGAGAGTACATGGAGAAGTGAGTGACCGTGATACTACGCCCTGGCGAGCCTACTAGTAGTCTATGTGTATGATACATATACTGACTTGTCACCCTTTCTCAGGTACGGCGCCTCTGCTGAAGACTTTGGAGAGATCGCCCGGATCTCGCACGAACACTCGTCGCGCAACCCCTACGCACAGTTCCGAGACGTCTACACGCTCAAGCAAATCATGGACTCACCCATGATCCATTACCCGATAACCAAGCTGCAGTGCTCGCCAACCTCAGACGGAGCCGCCGCCGCCGTGGTCGTGTCGCAGAGATTCCTCGACAGCCGACCAGAGCTCAAATCACACGCAATCCTCATCGCCGGACAGGCCCTCAAAACCGACACCCCAAATCTCTACTCTGGCAGCGCCATGGAGCTGGTCGGCTTCAGCACCGCAGGACGCGCAGCCAAGGCAGCGTATGCCGACGCCGGCATTGGACCCAAGGACGTCACAGTTTGCGAGCTGCACGACTGCTTCTCCACCAACGAGCTGATCACCCTGGAAGGCCTGGGCTTCTGCGACGAGGGCAAGGCCCACCTGATGGTGCGGAACGGAGACATCACGTACGGTGGCAAGGGCCCGATCATCAACCCGTCCGGAGGCCTGATCTCCAAGGGACACCCTCTGGGCGCCACGGGTCTGGCACAGTGCGCCGAATTGACCTGGCAACTGCGCGGATGGGCCAACAACGGCCGCCTGGTCAAGAACACCAAGTACGCCCTGCAACACAACCTGGGCCTCGGAGGCGCCTGTGTAGTCACCGTGTACACCCGAGCCGATGGCAAAGTCAACACTGACCGCGCCGTCCCTGCCGAGGAAATTGCCCGGCTCAGCGGCCTGGGCTACAACCCTGCCGTCGAGGCCAAATGGGTAACGCCAGCGCAGGCGAAGCAGGTCCGGAGCAAGAAAGCCGGGTGTGACTATGCGCTGGGGGAGACCTTCAGCAAGCTCGAGAATGTCAGACTGTAGGCAGAAAATTCTTGGTATGCAATCTAGGAAAAATAAAGCGAATCCATTAAAATAACGAACTTGAACGGCCCTTTTTGAGATGTCTCGTTCTCTTGCAGCCCGTGAAGTTTATACATATGTATACAGCACAAGGACTGTATGCATCTGGCTCCTATATTTTCGAGCTCACATTAGACGTCGCCTGCTGCGCATTTCGAGAGGGCAGATTTGGATAGCCCGCCCCCGCCCCTGCGGCCCTGATGCGCCAGGCTCCGCCGTCAACGTCGATAGTGGCGCCGTTGACGAAGCTTCCCGTGTCGGCGAACAAGAATATGGTGGCGTCCGAGATGTCCTTGATAAGCCCCAGCCGCTGCACGGGGACACTCCGCACGAGTTCGTCTCTCAGGGCTGGATCGGTCAGGCGCTTGGCGCCCTCGGTCTCGTCGATCAGGCCTGGCGCGATCACGTTGGAGGTGACTCCCCGGGGCCCGTATTCGAGCGAGATGCAATCCGAGAGGGCGTTGACGCCGGCCTTGGCCGCGCAGACGTGCGCCTGGGCGATTCGAGCGCACTGGTAGTTTGTCGAGCTGACGAAGATGATCCGCCCGCCCGTCAGGCTCGGGGAGTCTGGACATTCCCAAGGAGAGTAGTTAGTGGCAAGGTTCTGCAGAAACTCGAGGTCCTTCCGCTGTTTTTGTTCTTGCTTTCCTGACACTCACCTGGATCATTGCTCGCTCTGGCCCGTTCGGCGGAAGCGGCGAGGTGCGGCAGCGTCAACTTAGCCGTTATAAAAGAGCCCACCAGGTCGATGTCGACCACAGCTTTGAACGCGTTCGCCGACAGATCGTCAATGGTCGAGATGAAATTGCCTGCTGCCCCGGCTCTGCGGCGTAGTCAGACCCAGCCAGCTCCTGACACTGCTAAATAAAACAGGCAATTGAAACTTACATGACAAAATCAATGCCCCCGAGGCGTTGCACGCAAGTCTCGACCGCCCCCTTCACGCTTTCATGGTTCCTCACATCCACCCCTCCCAGACCCAGCACGGTGCTTCCAGGCCGCACGAGCGCAATGTCTGCCGCGACCTTTTTGGCTTTGTCGTGATTCCGCCCGACGATGCAGGCGTTGGCGCCCAGTGCGACGAGAGCTCGCACTTGGCCTGAGCAGATGGTCCCGGATCCGCCGGTGCAGAACACCACCTTGTTATCTGCTCTTCATGATCAGCTCAGAATTGAAGCTGAAGGCACAGATAAGGAGGCCCCTGAGGTCGGAAAGAGAAGACTCGAGTGCAGACTGAAGACAAGATGGAAAGGACGCACCGAATAATCCGAGTCTCCACGAGGTGCTGGCGAATTTCCTAAGGGAGGAAGCCATTGTGTGCAATCTGCCTTTGAGATTCCGAACCGTCTTTCATACTCCTGTAGCTGCTGCTGCTGCTCCAGAAATCGTGAGGTTTAAGTCATTGCGGCGAGGCAGACTTTGGGATCTAGTCGCTGCACTGTCACTGAGAACGCAACGTTGCGGTCATATGTGCCGAGGCACTAGAAAGCGGGAATATCTCAGGGCGGCGTTTTCGAAAGTATAACGGCGATTCGGCACTCCAAATATTGCCCATGTATGGTCCTTCCTCTAAGAGAACTCCTAACGCCTACACGCATTGGTACAAATCATGTCCATCTACCATACCTTTACTGCGATGAAATCGCCGAAGCCGCCCGCTCCTGACGAATAAATCCCCTGAAAACCATCAGAAACGGATCAGACTGGGTCAAACTAGACCGACTGCAGCCTAGCACGGGCCTGCCCGATCAGGAAATTGTGCACCAGATTCGGTCATGGCCCAGTCTCAGCCCGGATATCCAGCTCAGTTCCAGCCCGGTCAGGCGGTGATGGGCAGGTGGAACCAGATTGAATCAATGTGGGATCGGTCCAAACCCGGTCTCGAAGTACTGTCCAGGTCTTCAGAAGTTCAGAGGAAGCTTGTAAAGCCGAAACTAGACTAGTGGATCCGTCGCGGTCTGTCGACTTTCCGCTTTCGGCGAAAATCGTGAGGTGTTTCACGGCTTCCATTAACGTCTCTCCCGTGGTAATATGCTGATTACCCACAAGTTGCTTACTCCCGTACCATGTGTCTCCTGCTTGAAGTCGCCATAAGTGCAGGCCTGGACCGTAAAACGCAATAGTAGAATTATTTACTACCCGTGCATTTGAATCCCCGTCGCCACTAACAAACTCGCTTTTTGATTGAATTTGGTTCACGTTGGTCCTGGCTGAACCGCCTACTTTCTAAGTTATCCCTTGATGATTCAAACCAGTTGAGGATACCCGGCAAGAATCCGATCTCAATCTGTAAAGGCTATCTAGATCAACGACTCGAGTTTGGTTGGTTCGCTTTGGCATCCATTCTACGTAGACAGAAGTTCAAGTTGTGACCGCTCGATGGATAGATCCTCAAGAGCTCTAAGTTGTTTCCCCACGTTGGGTTGGGTTTGGTGTAGACCGACCCGGGATCGGCGTCCGCCACTGTCGATGTAGCATCGTAGACGCCTAGGAGGTTCTTGTGGATGCGGCATCATCGTCTTGATGGTGTGCCTGGTGTTGACAACAGTCACGGGAACGTTCCCTCTGCCTCTGCATGGGTGTCTCGCCATTGCTGGGCAACCCTATGTCCTCTTTGTTCTAGTTGATACGATTCAGTATCGCCAGGGCTACTATGTAGTCAGGCTTGATACAATACATATTATGTGGTAAGTACTAGTATTTTGTCTTCAAACGTACTACTAGAAGCACTAAGTACTGATTAGGAGCACCACAGAAGCCTCGAACCGACTTCTAAGAATACCTGGTAACTTTTGTGACTCAATCTTTCCTGGTCCGATCTCCGGATCCAACACCAAGTGCATGCATGCATGCCCTCCGGTCCCAACATCACGAGACAAGTATTTGCCTGATTATCAGATGTATAGGTTGTCGTCGTCGTCCCAGAACCAGGACGGGTTTGCCTCCATATATCCCAGTAAAAGTTCTTGTTCTTCCTCGTACCGTCCCTCCATCTCGCAGTCTTTCTGGATATCTATGCGTTTGCATGCATTGCAAGGGCGATCCGGAACACCCACCACGGGAAAAGACCACTGGGAGCAAGTGATCGAGTCGCGATTGTGCGAGAGCAGACTCCTGGCTCTTAGAGAGCTGGAAACATCCCTAGGCCACAGCCCGTTTTTGGATCTGGGCCCTTTGTCGCAATAGCGTTCTCGCCGAAGTAGGATCCAGGCTACGAATCGGTCGCTATAATGGTCGGACATGCGACACATGAGACTGTCGGGCAAATCATAATTGGCCCACCATCTCTGTCCCATCAGATAGTCATATTCAGAACACCACTCGACGAATCTCGCGAGACGAAGGTTTGCGGCACAGGGGCCATCCATGTCATCGAGAAGATAATCTAGCCAGAGGTGGAATTTATCCTCTTCGGCGCCAATCGTCAAGTCGTCAAAGTAGAAGTCGCGATCGCGGTACAAGCCGAATGGTGTCCGTTTCCTGCTCAGTCGGTCGACTTCTTCCATCAAGTCAGCGACCTCTTCCGGGCAGTCTTGGTCTTCACCTGGGAATTGAAAAGTAAGTGAGGCAGCGCCCCGAACGCGGAGGAAGGCTGTCATGATGATTTCGACATCAGAATGAATCCCATCCAAGTCTATCGGCGCCGTTTGTGTTTCGGGGTCCCAGTCCTCGTAGCTAGGAACACTGTGGTTCCAGATCCGTTGCCCCAGAGAAGAAGGGTGGATGGATGTCCATCTCTTTCCCTCTTCCCCCAAGAATTGGACAATCATTGGCGGGAGCTTGAAGGTCTTGCGCCCTTTCGGAATTTCAATGTCCGCCTCCGTTGTAGGTTCCTCTGTGGTCTTCCACCTGGGCAGTAAAGCAGCCATCAGCCCCGTGGTCTGCTTCCAAGCCTGAACAAGTTGTCCTGGATTGTCAGGGTCGGGGGCGTCGATGAGGATCTCGATCTTCCGAAACTGATCCACCGGCATCTTTTCGACAATGCTGGAGTAGTCGGGATGTGGAGAGGCTGCGTACACTTGGTGGAAGCCATGCCCGAGTACATCCACCACAGGCCAAGTTGCGGATGGATCGATGCTGAAGGAGAGGACAAATTTTTCGTGAAGTAGAGGGTAGAACTGAGTATAGTGCTGTTTGTTGACATACAAGAGGCTGACAGAGCCCTTCTTGATGCACTCGGTGAAAATTTGGATCCGGATCTCCCAGGGCATGATGCTTTCCCACGGCCTGAGTGGTGGAGTCGAAGCAGATTGTGAGTCGGACGCCATCGCATGAGCTGGTAACCAGTAGTGGGAAAAATAGGGGACACTATTAATCGTAGGATCGTTGTAAATGACCTTCCAAAGGCTGTTGGCCATGTTTATTAAAGAGCGTTGTCTTGCAGCATAAATACTGGAGGGAGAAGAGGTGAGGTCCTCATGGTGGAGCAGGGAAAGGAGAGGACCTGTCAAAAGTCACGTGATGCTCCTGCTTCTCGTCGGGTGGGGTCGGTCCTACTATTGTGTTGGTACACTTGATAACATCAGAGTCTGACAACGTATCAGTCCGCCATACAATGGCATTCATTAGTATTCCTTAGCTGAAAGCGAATGTGCAAAACCTTTTTGACCATGGCGACTCCTCTGGTAACGGTCACAAAGCACAGCTGCTTCAGCCTATGGTGGAACCATGACCAACGATTTTCTTGGGGCGCGTGGCACCGCGATGGAAGCGCCGAATTGTTAAGCCATCAGTCTACGCTCACGACAGTCCAACGTCCAGGATGTCCGGGACAAGGAGACGGATCTCTCACTAAAAAGGCAAAGATTACAACAGGCCAGGCAATGCTAGTGAGCAGGGAGACTTTGGTGGTGAGGCACGCATCGAAAATTTACATTTCCCCGAGACCGAGGAGCTCATTCTGCAGTATAAGTACTCATTCAACAGCTTCTCCATCTCTCTCAGTCCGACTGTTGGCCGCCTCGGCCGCCTTTCTGGCATTCTTCTTGCCCTTTCCCTTTCCCTTCCCCTTTCCCTTCCCCTTTCCCTTCCCCTTTCCCTTCCCCTTTCCCTTCCCCTTTCCCTTCCCCTTTCCCTTTTCCTTTCCCTTTCCTTTCCCTTCTCCTCCCCCATCTTCCTCTCCCTGCCTTTCTCCATTCCCCTCTCCCTTTCTTATATAGTCGTTCAACCTCTTCTCAAACTCGTTAAGGGCGAGCCTGGCTTTCCCTGGCGCCGACGAGGCTAACTCTGTCAAGCTCGCATATACCGTGTGGATTTCGTCATGCGTGAGCGGGTCATTGTCAACAGGTTTCTTTCCTGCGGAACCGACCACGCCCTGCCGCTGACGCTTTGCCTTATGTTCGTCGTTGTCATCCTGAAACTCGGCCTTTCTTTTGAGAGGTTCACCGTCTTGGGGATCCGAACGGGCCTCGAGCCGACGTCCGCGAGCAAGACCTTTGACAAGTGGTTCTTCCGGCCGTCGAAAATCTCCTGCAGCAAAGGCCTCTGGCCACAGGTCCTTGGGGGCCGTTTTAAAGTCTAGCGGAACAGGATCGTGCACCGTTTGACGCTTGCCTTTCGAGTCTGATCCCGCCGCATCACGCCTCCTCTTGTCCTCCACGTCCACCAAGAATTTGTCTTTGTAGAATTCCATGACGGCGGTCCATTTGTCGCTGTCTCGCTGCTGGTCTTTGGGAAGGATTGTCTTCAAATCCTTAATGTCTTGGGAGACCTTCAGCGCCATCCCGATCGTATCCATGTTGGCCTTGAAGGTGTCCAGGCCGGCGTGGAAAGCAAGGTTGCGACTGGTGTACTTCTGGAGAGCAAACCACGCGATGTCTTGGTCAATCTGGGGATTGATGCGGCGAGCTTCTTCCATCATCTTGAACAATGCATTGTCCTACAATCCCTTGTCTTTCGAATCCGGTTCCATCTTCTCCACGGCCGCCACAACATCAACGACTTGAGATTGTCCACGCTTCCATTGTCTGCCTGTTTCAGTTTTTAACAAGGCATTTGCTAGGCACCCAGCATAATCTCCTAACCGCGCAAAGACTTTCATCTCCGCCAGTTCCTGCTTGGCTGCGGCGAGCTCCGAGACCACAGAGTCGTGCACCTGGGCTGTCGTCGTCGCCAAAATGCGGCGTAAGCGGACCGCTTCCGCGCGGGACAGGGTAATGTTGTCGGTGCCCTCCTCGATCTTATCGTCTAGCGTCTGCATCAGCATGGCTTGATCGGAGGCCGCGGTGGGCTGGAAGCTTGGTGACGAGGGCGCGGAGGGGAGGACGTCGCGAAGAGAGTCAAAATGTAGAGTGTTGTGAGCATCGTCGAAGTGAGCCATGTTGATCGAGACGGGCACCCAAGGGACTTTGACTACACGATAGAGAAAAAAAACCAGCGAGCATCCCAGGAAGGTACTTCACTGCGCGAGAGAGGAAGAGAACAGCGTCCATCAGAGAGTCAGCGATGGTTTATATGTATATTTGTATCGTTTGTGTAAAGACTTTGGTGCTAACCGAAAGTAGAAACCAAATGTCTGGCACCGAGTGCTGTCGCCCCGGTACGCGCCTCTATTCCTCTGGTCGGGTCCACTCAGTGTCAGCGATGTTGTGAGTTTCAATTGCCACATCCGTGGGTACACCGTGTTCAAAGACACGCACGCGTCCGAGGAGAATGGGCCCACAAAACGACGAGAATATCCACGCCATATTCAAGAAAGATAGCATGGAGGTATTGAAGATGCTAACTAGCAAGACACGAGTGATCTCGCCAGAGATGGCCGGCGTATAGCAAGTGACTGAGGACTCTGCCGATGGTGTTGTAGAAGAAGAACTGTTAGCATACTCTCCCTGGCCTGATGTCTTCGGCGCCACGAAGCCATGAGCAGCTGTGCTTGGTGAGCGAATCTTGGCTGCTTTCCCAAATAGACAACGATCCTTTGCCGGTGCTGGCAGTTGGTACTTTTCCCCTGACCGTACAAATACATCTGACAGACAGCGATTATCGAGCCTATATGTGCCGTTATGCTTCATACTAAGCCATGGCATGGGATCGGTACTCTTCCCCCTCGATATGTGTGGCCTATCGTTGTGGGCAGAGTAGCTGTCCAAGGCAAACTGGAGCCCAAAGAATTTGTAGCTCGAGCAGCCTCGCCGCCCACCTCTGGCCTCTACCTAGACCATCTGGCGCCCTTTGGTTTCAACCACCTCGATCTGTTCCAGTGCCACGCCCTCGGTCTTCTCCACGAGCCCCCGGCCGTCCAGCGTCATGTGCAACACGACCTCCTCGCCGAACAGCGCACCCATTTCCTCGACGGGCCTCCCGCGCGTTTCGGGGACAAAGAGGTAGACGACGACCTCGCAGACGATGCAAAGGGCCATGAAGATCAGGTACATTCGCCAGGTTCTGCACACGGACAAAGACCGGGTCAGCTAGCTGGATGTCAAAATGGTCCCGTACCACGCCAACTCAGTTGACGGGTGGATGTGTGTATCGGAGCCTTTTTTTGGGGGGGGGGGGGTTCTTTTAGAACTTACATGTTCCGAAACGCCAGCGGCCCGGGCGTGGAAAAGGTGATGAAGCCGACGAAATAGGCAAACATGCTCAAGCCGATGCCCTTTGCGCGAATCGTGGTGGGGAAGATCTCGGAGCACCAGACGAACGAGGGCGCATCGATGAACTGGAACAGGATAATGAAGAGGAAAATGCAGGCCACCGCGGCACCGTTTCCTGCCTCGTCCGTCTTCCCGAGATATTGTCGCTGGAGGAGAGCTTCGATCAGGAGATTGATGGCCAGGGCGGGGAAGCCGATCACTAAGGTTGGAAGACAGGTTTAGATTATCGAACTGGACGTATCGATCGAACTGACGCGTCCAAGATACACGAGTTGGGAGATAAGGGAAATGGTATGGGGCACTCACTGAAAAGTCTCCTCCGTCCGAATTTGTCCATGGTGAAACAAGCCACGAAAGCGGCTATCGTACCGACAATGGAGTAAATACCTGGTTTGAAATTGTTAGACGTTGTCAACTGGGTCGTCATCATGTTCCTCCGGAGTCATGATGGCTCACCATAAACGAGTAATGGCATGACGCCCTTGAGGCCCAACGTCCCAAATATGCGGACCAAGTAGTTTGCAATGCCATTGACCTAGGCACGGCAAGATCAGCTCAGCAAAAGAACACCACACATAACGCTTGACAACTTACGCCAGTTGCCTGAGACGCGAACCTAACACACATGTCAGTTCCTGGTACACAATATCTACTCGCTCCAAACAAAACCCGCATGACGGGACTGAAACAACGTACATGATGAAGAGCACGAGAAGTGAGCGCTTCCGCCAGCTCGGCTTCGTAAACATGCGGACATAGCCCGATTTCTGCTCCTTATCCTTTTCCACCTGCGCGCGAATCTGGATGAATTCCGCCTGAGCACTAGAATTCTCCGGATCTTTGGGGTCGCGATGAAGACGTTGGATGACCTGGAGCGCCTCTTCATGACGGCCTATCCAGCACAGGTACCGGGGAGATTCTTATGCTCGCGTCAAGCTATGCTACGCGGAGAAGTAGGGGCGAAAACTGACCTGGCACGAAATATATCCCGACCAGGAGACCCAGCGGACCGACGCAGGCGAGAGCAAGAGGTAGACGCCATTGCAACGTCTCGTTCTTTGCGAAGTAGGTTGCCACCGAAACCCAAGCGACACTGATACAGGTCAACGGTGCGTGACACGCAGAGGAAGGAAAGCGTACGCCACATATCCGATCCCGAATCCCATGACTGTCATTCCGGACATGAGTCCACGGCAGTGCGGCGGGGATACCTCAGTGAGGTATAACGGGACCAGGCAGATCAACATGCCGAGTCCAAACCCGTGCAGGATTCTGATTGTGACGAGCATCGCCAGGTATGGAGAGCCTGCAGTCCAGCCAGCGCCGATCAATGAGAACAAGGCAGACGCTGCGAGGGCCTTCTTGCGTCCAATCCAGTCTGCCAGCCAGCCTTGGAAGATGGAGCCAAAGGCAGCCCCGGCCGCGAAGAGGGCGTTGACGGCACCCAAGACGCTGGAAGATATGTTGGTCAGGAAATTGTCTTTCGAGAAGGGTAGTCGTGCTCACTTTGCAGTATACTTGCTCGTAGCTGTCGTTTCTGTCAGCATCATCCCCAATCCTCAAACCCTCTCCGATACTCACGATCGAGGTTGAAGTCCTTGTAGAAGCCGGGTTGGCCGATGCTGGTGATGAACACCCCGAAACCAAACCCATACCCAAAAGTGCCAATGGCAACGATCATGCCGATGATGATGTTGTACAGGGTAAGTCTCGCCATTTCGTACTGCGACCAGTGCGTTTAGAGGACAAAGCTCGACAGAGAAGTCTTTGAGTCTCTCCATGGCGAGACTTCGTTCAGTCATTCTAATACCTCCTCCATACGGCTGAAATAAGCGTACAATAACCGGACTCCGAGGCTGCTTCAACTGCTTCAACTAGTGTGGTCTCGAGCCCTTGACCTCCCGGGATAGGTGGTGGAATGCTGCTGGTATCCGGAGGTGCCCCGTGGGGAACCTAGATTGTCGTTTTGACACAAAGCTTGACGTGCCCAAGCAGAGAATGGAGATGTCGCAGTGGAATCATTGTTCCACCGGGTGTTGGCAATGGAAAGAGTCACCTTTTCGATGAATACCCGGGTATCCAGCGTTGATGAAGCATTCAAAAGGATCCATATTCTGACAAAACTAGGTGGCGTCAACTAAGGCCGTTAGCGGTCTCTTAGTAACGGTTCTTCATCCTATTGGGCACAGAGACCAAGTGAGGCTGGGACAAGAAATAGCCCAGACAAGGTGCCATGCTACTGGAACAAATATCCCCATTTCGACGAAAATTCAGCACCTATCGCCCAAGACTCTGGATCCCAAGTCGGGCGGTGGACGCCACGCCGGAGAACAAGACTGGCCATCCCAAACAAGTCTCTCACAAACTCGTCCAAATCAATCAGCCCACCAAGTAGAATCATGTTGTCTCGCAGCCGAGGGAAGGGGAACCGATCAATCCAGCGTCGATGGGGCACAGCCAGCTGCAGCGGCGATGGCCGCAGAGATTCCGGGAGGGATAGATATTCCGGAGGTGACTTTACTTCCTGGTCAGAGCCTTCGCAGATTGTGCCTTGCATCATGCCATGCTGACCTAGAGCGGAATAGATGGCCCAGGCCGGCCACGAGAGGAAACAATGGTCTGCGGACATTCCGTGGAGGGATTGTTGCATCAAAGAAGGACTCGTTAGACACAAGGTTGTACGGGCAAGCTCGAGGGCGTGCGTCCGTGTCGATGGAGTGTGCACTAGCTCTTGGCCGGGGACTTTCTGATTAACAGAATCTATCTGTCGTGCAGCACTAGTTGGGCTATGATGAGAGGACGAGCTGGTGTTGCTGACGGCTCCGGTCACTTTAACCACGTGGGAGACTTGAGAGAGAAGACGTTGTCCTGATGGCCTGATCATCAGCACCTCGTTTGGAGAATTATATGAAACCTCCGTACTAGGCGCCAGGTCCAGCAGACAGAGACGAGAAGAGGACAAAAGGTGACGACTTACGTCTTGCTCGCTGCGCCAGCCTATCTTGTATCCGCTTCCTCTCCCTCGCATCCTCGACGCCAAACCAGTTATCGGCGCTCGCCTCAGTCTTAGGCCTTCCCCTTTTGCGTCGCTCTGCCATGACTTGCTTATTGAGCTTCGGCTAAGTGCTGCACTTCCGGAATGTCTTGAATAACAGGGGTGTCGGCTTTGTACAACAACTTAGTTCTGAATTGTTGATGCTTGCCCGAGGCTTTTTGAATGATGCGGAGCGGGCCTAGTTTCTGACGGATTTTGTAAGTGGGAGGAAGCGAAGCCTCCCTGTATCTTTACAGAAGTTTATACATCGGGGTAATGCCCTTTGCCGAGGACTGGGCAGTCCGCCCCTCAGCTTGTGGGTAGTGTATTATTTCCCAGTATAGCATGATGCTCTCCGTCAAATTTACCCCAGTTTTGCCCCGCGTCGAATGGCGAGTTTGTCAAAGCCAAGGCCGGCTATTCTTTGTCGGTGTGATTCGTCGTGATAGCCGGGTCTCGAGCAGACCAAAAGTTTGCGGTCTGAGACACCCGTATTCCTAAATTCTGACAAAATCAGCGACCCACTCTGGTTGCGGTCGACGCCTTATATGCACGGAAAGAGTTGGGATATGAGGTCGACAAGGACTCGAATATGCCGCCCAGATTCGAGCACTTTGCCGGCTGCATGATAGAAATGCTGGAGGATTGCGCCTCAAGAATTCGGAACGGGTCGACAAAATCGCTCGACACGCGTTGCGTACTCTTCAACACATGAATAACAGTTGCTAGATCCATAAGCCCATGGCTCTGGCCGTGGTAGAGGGTCAGTGAATCAACATACCGAGGCGGACTTATCAATGTCGACACTACCCAGCGACCTGCGGACTCTGATCACAGGCAAGACCTGATCCGATCCGTTGTGCCCAGTGACTCAAGCTGAGATGGACGATAATAGTATGCTGTTTGCCACATACTCAACAGCCTCCAGTTTGGCAAAGAGGCCAGAAAGATCGATGGTGATTCCGTGATGAATCGCCGCACAGTGAGTACGCCGTGAAATTTTTGAAGAGCTGCTTGACGAAGTGTACGTTCCATGTACGGCAAATCTGTCGTTGTTTTGATGGCGGTTTAGGATGTTCATCACACCAGTTCGACGGTTTTCTCAGAGAGAAAATCACACGCTTCATCCCAAAAGTCATGGCATAAGTCTCCTAGGTCATACTCCAAGGGCAGAAACATCTGCGACACGCTTTTCACATATGCCCATGAGTCCTTGTCTATGGCCATAGATGAGTCTCGCAATATGGCGGCAAAACTTGAAACTCGAGGACCCTGGCGTGCAGCAAGCCCGCCCATGACCGTGGCCCATAGGAGAAACTCAGGGTATGTCTGCCAGTGTTGACGCGTGACACATTCTTCCAGGGCTTCCAGCAGGAGTTTCGTGACCTTTTCGTGGAAGCCACCAATGACCGGTAATGTCCAAGCCAGTTCGGCCATCTCCACCCCGGCAAGTCAGCAGTGCAGTCAAAAATGAGTCTCGGACGGAATGTCAGGCACTGGAGCATGTGTCCAACGCTATGGGCTGGTGGGAGAGGGACTCACGAATACAACGAAAGAAAGGCGGGCGACTTCAAAAAAACAATCTCCTTCCGATCGAACTTGCAAGGCATCGTGCTGGAGAACGCGACGGGTGTGGACCATGAGCATGATATCCGGGCTTCGGCGGGGATTGCGTAGGCAAAGGGAGAATGTCTCGAGAAGGACCCGAACTTGGCAGATGATTTGGTGCAACCGGGGACCACCCCGGAAAGCCTCCAAGAAAATGAACCCATCTTGACGGTTTGCAAATCGAGACTTGGCGACGTCGTCCCACGTCTCTCGTAATGAATCTACGAGGAGTGGTGCTGGATAAAGGGGTGGAAAGACCGGTTTGGTCAGATTCATCAGAGAATGAAACGTGTCGACCCTGAAGTGGTAAGCCGTTGCCTGGAGGGTATATCTTGGGAACTCATCTACATTGATATCATGTTGCTCAGGCCGTGAAGCGTCAGAGCCTTCAGACCCCCTTTCTGGGCGACAAGCGTTCTCAGTGCATGCAGATGAGTTCGTTCGAATTCCACACTGGAATAGAATTCGTTGTCTCTGTAGACGGGAACGGTGAATCGGGGCTGCTTCAGGGTACGGACGGAGCCATGAATTGCCAGAAGAGTGATCGTCCAGAGCACTTCATCCGATGCGACACCTCCATGGTCCTGCACGGCTCTTCGGAGATGTTTCAGCGCTTGTTGTTTCAATTGAAGTTGAAGCATCTCATGGTGGAGTGTTCTGCCGTCGAAGTAAGACCTGTAGCATTCGCCGGCATATATGGTGGCGAAGAGACAATGCGGAGCCAACAGCGAGGTGCGGATGGCAGCCTCTCGAATCTCTGTGATTGCAGCGTCGTGTGTAGCCAAAGCAAAGGCCGGCCACTGGTGGATCAATGCTTCAACACTGTCTCAGTCACTACTCCCTCAACACCCAGACCTCGTCCCTACCGTCATCGAAGATCCTCTCGAACTCGTGGGAGAGTCCGAGCTGACCAAAATGGTTCAGCGAGCCCCAGCGGCTCGTGTCAAGCATGGTTCTAGGCGAAATGGGTATGTCAAAGCCCGTTGCAAAGGGACATTGCGCCAGCAAGGCAGCGTCCCTCGTCATGCTCCATGGTGTGTGGATTAGGGAAGGCGAAGGCTGCCCAGAAGAGCCTGATGAGACGAGACTCGGATCAGACCTGGCTACACTGCGCAATCTCTTCCGTTGCAGGCTGCGGAGTTCTCTATTCTTCCGGTGTGCAGCTAGCGCGGTATGCTGGTGTCGACGCGAAGCCTGAAGCCGCCTGTCGGAGTCATTGGTCTGGCCACCTTCGACCCAAGGCAAGAATGTCAACTCCATTGTCCGGCGGGCGAGACATATGCAGTGATGTTGAACAGATGGTGGGTGATCGAATCGAACTGATGCTTGCGGGCGGAAAATTTGCCTGCGCCGCAATGACGGGCAAACACGGCAAAACCTGACGCGGGTTTGCCCGCTTTGCACTTCAACCCCAGACGCGTGCCGCGGGGGAGTTTCTACGAGTGCTTCAACGGCGAAAGGACCAGGTACAGAAAGCCTCGAACCATGCTACTTTGTTTTGTATAGTCTTGCTACTGATCAGCTGATGGTGGCCTCCGTCCCGACGAACCAGTCAGCACATCGTATCAAGCATCCTGTTGACTGCCTTACAGGATCCCAATACAGATATCGCCCTTGACTTTCGCAATGACTCGAATGTCCACCTCAAGGGCCAGTCGCACATGCACTTTCAAGCTGCCTCCCATGTTCTCAATGTCTTTCTTGGAAAATCCCTTGGGGATATAGTCCGGAGTACTGTCTCCGACATCACCCTCAGCCGGCTTTGCAACCTCACCCGAGTTGCGACCTCCAGGGGCGCTGTCGAAGGTATCATTCCTGCATTGACAAGAATTAGGACCGATGGTGTCCCACAGGAGCAGGAGACATCATGTACTTACAAATCTTTGGTTTCGCCCGACATTGTTCGTGTCTGCTTCTCTCGGCTTTGGTGATTTGCTGTTTGAGATTGCTCTGGATGACGCGACCCGTCTGTGGGCAGTCGAGCTATCAACGCGGCGTATTGTTGGATGTCTTCGCGCTCTCAGCTGTTCGACTCCTGTCCAGTCTTGTCGGTAGGTGAAACAAAGCTTCCTGAGATTGCAAATCTGGCTTGCAGCTTGTTCTTGGGTGCTGAAGAACTATCGTGACCCGTTTCTCGACGTGGCCGATGGGATTTCTATTAGGAGTCGCGGTCACCCGAATGCCCGTTAGTGCTACCGTGCTCGAAATGATTTTCCAACGCCGCTTCCGATGCTCGATCCTTCCAAAGTCAGCAACGATATTCTACTCCGAGAAGTGGAATCATCCAAACATGCATACGGTGAAGTCGGGGCTTGAATGGAGCTTGCTAGAGGTTGGCGGTCTGCATGTGAGAGGCTGGAGGTTGGGTGGTCAGGTGGGAGGAGGCTATCGTCATCAAAGATGTCCGGGTCTTGCGGAGCAGTGTCGACAGTCGGTGATACTGGGTTGCCCGGGTTCATGGCGTACCTGGCCCCAGCATCCAGTCTATAGACGTGCTAGCAGCGCCGTGATCTGTCGGATGGCAGGGCCGGTGGGATAAAGCTGCTCTTGCCAACTCCAGCCAGCATGCTATCGTCGATGCGATGCGTTAGTCCTTGTTGCTTGGTCGGTAGCAATGTCCACCAGGTGTCCCATTGGCCATCTCATGCAGGAACCAGGGTTTCAAGCCTTCAAGTAACGATGGCGGACTCCACCTGTGAGATGTCGGGGCTCTGATAGCTGTCGAAGGCCGTGCATGAGTCTCAAGGAGGCGCAAGGAGGAGCAAGAAAGAAACAAGGAAACCCGCAGAGAAGAGAATGGGCCTCGTAACAGGCGCAGGCAGTTGATCCACACATTACGTCACGGTGAGGCGAGCCTTGACCAGGATTGTGAGGCCGTCGTGAGGCAAATATACAAGGCACCAAGCTTCACCTCCACAGCGAGGCTGCAGGTCAAAGGCCACTCTACATGTAATGCACTTTCATACCGGATGCCACCTTGACAGGATCGACTGTCAAATTCTCCGCTTCAGGGACGCCAGCACCACCGCATCTGTCGATCAAAGTGGTGCCTCACCCGCCTCCAGATTAATTGTCCCCTTGAGCTACTTAGGATCTCAATCACACTTCGACTTTGGCATGCGAATTATGCAGTTGGAGAAAGGTGAGAACACCTGGGACAACACCACTTGACTCGTGGTTGATTACCCACCATTCTGCAATGAGCAGCAATGGTGCTCTCGTTGATTACCCTGGCGGCCACGGTGCCTCTGATTGCCACATCGACCATCCAGCTTCAGGAGCAGAGTCAACGGAAACAAGAAGAGAGCGAGCTCGAGCTCAAGACCGAGAAATGCCACCTCAACGCGCGAGCGACGCAACGAATGAGTGCCAAGCGTCGAGACCAGTTTCAGAACATGCGAGTGGTATTGGAGGATGGATACCTTTTCCTGGAGCATAGGGCGGTCTCGCGAAGGCATCCGTTCACGGGCTACCTTCTGCCATACCCAGACAAGCCCTACGACGGCGTCGTCAGCACCATCAATGCCGAAAACATGCTCAATTGGATCTTCATCAACAAGAACACCTACCGACTGCAGCATGGGATCCGTGCTGAAGCCCAACCACAGTGGACTGGCCCTATGACTCTGGTGCCCGGCCAAGCGTTGAACGAGTGGAGGATAGCATTCGATGGCTGGGAAGGATTCGTGGCGGTCCAGGAGGGCGAAGAAAGGTGGGCCATCTACTTCGACAAGAACGACAATGGTCTGGCGGGGAAAGTTGAGGGAAAGGCCGTGGTGGAAATCGAATTGGTCCGGACACAGCTGGAGGAAGAGACAAAGAGTGATGAAGAACCGGACTGAATCCCATCACATCCCGCGGGAGATACAAGCGAATGTCGTAGCGAAGTCACGGCCAAAATGAGACACGCCCACCCTGATTTAGATTTCCCTTCTCTTCCTGGCTCAACTCTTGCCGACACCTTGCAGACCTTTGGCGAGTCCGCTTGTCTTAGGCGAGAAGGGCTTTGCAGATCCGGTCGATCTCCGCTTCGGAGTGGGCTTCACAAAGGTCTTTTGACGTTGACTAGGCCGCCCTGCGAGCCGATCCATCTGCGCCGCGGACCACTAACGACCCCTTTGTCGAGACCAGTCGGCATGGAACGAAGCCACTCGTAGATCAGAGCTTCAGGGGACTGAACAACTCAGCGGTATGTCCGGGATGCCTAGACCTTGTAGCACACCGACAGGCGTGTGGTTGAATCCGAGGGAATTTTGGGCCTCAATCTCTTTCGCATGTGTAGGGTTGTTTCGAACAAGTAATACGTGGTCGAGCGCAAGACAGCTGTCAATAAGGTCGGGGCTGGGTGAAGGCAAAGGGGTTTGTCGTAACATGTGCAACTCGCTCCAAACGAGAATAAGGCAGTTGAGCAGGATGACGTCTGCCCAACTGCGTGTATAACCCAACACACCAGCCACCAGCCACCAGCTCACCAGCTCGCCAGGTAACTATGTCCTGGCACCAGTCGGCACGCAGTCAGTACCTTGTATCGCGTAGCTGGTTGGTCGCCCCTACTAGGCTTGCCAACCAGCAGTTCCCGCCCCTCCTCTGACCTGTTCGCTGACCGGTGAGGCTGTCCTGTGCAGACCTCCCCACCGTTAAACACCGCCCTCGAACATGTCACATTGTCGTCAGCCAGCATTTACCGAGAGGTCAAACGGAGAGGAACATGTCCTATACCTCCATTGACACATCGCATGAAAGAACCGAAAAGTATTACAACTATGGGCTAGAAGCCGGGATGGGCCAGTCCGCATCACGACCGAAGAAGCAGCCAGAGGCGCCTCCGCAGGAAGAAGAAGGATGGGGGCTCTTCCACCATGGCCCAGCAATATCTGGCCCTGAACAAAACTCACCTCCCGGCGATCGCACTCCGGAGAACACAGAGCATGCTCCCGGAGAAGATGAGATCCAGCACGGCTCTACGTCCCAAGCCGAAGACGCAACCCAGGAAGACGAAAATCAGATAGAACCCACGGCGTCGCACGTGTCCGACTCGGCGCAGCATGAGCAGGACAAGAAAAGTGACAGTCTTGATGAAGAACCAGATCGATCTGCGGAGACGACTGCGCACGGCGACAACACGGGAGCAGAGACCGGGAATGTCCAGACATCAGAGTCAACCAGTGCCACCGAGCGAGAGACGGGGGACCAAGGAGCAGATCTCGCGAAAGATGATCCCAGAGTGCCAGACCGTCCACACAAGCCTGCCGTCCCGGTCAGTGCCAGACAGCCAGTACCAAGTCACCCCGCCGACGACACACCATATTCGTGGTTTGACATGGTCATTGACCTCGATCATCCTGAACCTCTTGGGCCTACAGGATACTTCCCTGGCCCTTCGACGATGCCCGACTTGCCACCTCTAGGGCCACGGACCAGTATCCAAATGTTGTGACCCTCTGAAGACAGGGCGAACAATACTTACCTGCAGAATCGCCCGGAAGTCGTTCTGAACAATAATCGCTCGACGAAGACATAACCTCAGACTAACGTTGTCATTGTCAGACGACCAGTTCTTGCGCAAACATGGAAACTAGGTGTGAGAAGGTTGATTCAACAGTGTGTAAATTTTCAAACACGCTATCCCAAGATCGCTTGCCATATCATCATCTCATTCATTAACCATCGGGTCACCCAGATTTCGGGCGCGCATCAATTCTAAAGGACGCGGGAAGTTCCAGACTCTCCGCGTCGCTGGAATCGTTGATGTGACCCTCGCCCGATCGTACGGTTGTCCTGTTCTCCCCTTTCCCTCTCCACGAATCGACCGGTTGCTGGAATTTATTCCACCAACCCATCCTAAACATCTCGCTCTGCCAGATCCCCCTCTTCTCCCATTCGTCATCCGACCAGTACTCGGAGCCTGGGGGAACCATGCCAGATCTCGGGTCTACGATTCGGGAACCTGCCAGCAAGCTGGCCACAGCAGCGATGCTCCCAACGGGCTTAGGCAGGACATTGCGCATGTCAATGGTAATGAAGACCACGAGCGCACAGATCAACAATGCCCCGACAACACCCACCAGCAAATGAGTGGACAGAGGCGACTGGACGAGACGGAAATGGCGAGGATTGACGTAGGCCGCCTGCAGAGGATTGACCACGGTCTCGGTTGCGTTGTTAGAGAGGGTGGAGAAATCTGCGCGGAGGAAGCTGTTGACCACTTGAGCCATGTACTGGCGATACAAGTGCGTGTATGATGAGATCAATGTGCTCTCATCCAACAGCTCAATCGTCGGGGTTCCATCCTTGCCATAAACCATGGCATTAAAGGTGTCGTCAAGCTCGTCTGCTGTCGATGTGACATTCAAGACCTGCAGCGTGGGGAAACCAGTATAATACTTGGAAAACTTGATTGCCGAGCCCGGGTGCACCACTGGGTTGGTGGAGATTGAAAAGTCGGGCAGATTGAAGCTCACGTTTGTCTGTACCCGCTCCAGATATTGAGTGCACAAGACCGGGATGAAGTGGTCGATTTGGTTATCTGTGACATGGCCGTAATACAAGGCAAGTGTAGGGCAAGTGTCGAGAAATCCCAACACCAACGTCGAGCCGAAGTACCCGGACGTGTTGACTGGAACCTGCATATTGGAATAGAGCCAGGTATATGCAGAATTGATAGTGCCGCTGTTTCCACAACCATCCGGTGTGCTGATATTGGAAGAGAGGTACCCGCCACTAATGGTGGTATTCAAGATTCGGTCCTTAGGAACAACATTGCACGTCACTCCTCCTCGAATCGCAGGTGTATCTACAGATATGGTACCACCCAGCTGAAGCACGTCGTTTGTGTCGTCCCCCAAGAGACTAAGCTTGGGGACCGCAACCTCGGAGTAGGTCCATTTGGGATATGACATGTTGCCTTCAATGACAAGGAGTGGGACGTTCGTGGTAGTGTCGACTAACGTGGTGGTATTGAACCAGTCCAAGGCATTTACCTGGACGGGAATGCCCTGAATGGTCGCCTTGGCGGTGAATAGGCCAGACACAATGATGGTGAGAAGGGGAGCGAGAACAGCCGAGACAGATGCTGCAGTTAAGGCGAAGCGGCTGTGCCGGAGACCGTTATAAGTGGCGTGTAGAGACACATGCCTTAATGGATACCAAAGCATCGAAGAACTAGCTTCGCAGTCGGCTTTTGCGAGGGCGTGGAAAGATTCGGTGAATTCTATCTCGAAGTCCATGACGTTGAAGAGGGTCGCTAGCAGGAGGAAGACCAAGACTGGCACATACAACCAAGAGTATCTGGTTGCGCTGTTGTCGTTTACGTTGCCTAGACCGTTATGTGCTTGTGACTGCGACAAAAGGACTTCCAGGGCGATAATGGCGGCGATGGACGCCAGGATAGTGGATGACATGCCAATTCTGCGCAGAATGAAAGGTCGAGTCCATCTGATGTTCTGAGAGACCCCCGAGTCGCCGTGTACCGGTGATCCATGTAGTCCTGATTCAGCTCTGGTGAACATTCGAATCGAGAAGGTTCGCGCTCCGTCTTCATATCCGGTAGCGGTCATGAACCTATGTGGCGCGAGAATCTCGCGAAGCTCGTCCAAGCTCCGGTGACCAGTGCCTCGGAGACGCGCCTCCAATGCTGGGCTGCGAGCAAGAATTGCAGCAACTGCAGCGATGGAGTCGACACTCCTGGGCACCACGCCCCTTGGGCGAACGAATAAGATGATAACAATGAGCAAGACCATCAATGCGGCGACGCCTTGCATGATCCTGATTGGGATTTGTCTAGCGATGAGACGGCTCTCATCTTTTGAGATTGTTCCTTCTATGACCGGGCCAGCATTTTTAGCTGTATCAGAAAGTAAATAGAGGTTTGCGAGTTGCGCTGCGATTTTCCCGTATATTCCATTCGCGGTGGTGTTGAGATAGGTGGTATCAAGGAGATCATCGGCTTTAAAGTTGACCGTATCTTGCTGCATCATAGTTGTGAAGACGTCCAAGGTTACATTCTCCGATGTCAAAGTGGAAATTGTAGAGGCTTGTTGCGTCGTTGCCAAAACTCCATCAGCGATGTCAACGGCGCTGAGACCATTCAGGCCACGGGCCTTTCCGGTCAGATTGACGGATTGAACATTTCCCTGAGTATCGAGTGCAACCACTGCGGACTGGATTGCGTATGATGGAACGCAGACGATGTTGGCTGACTTTAGCAAAGTGTTGTTGTTTTGGCTAAAGCCCTCTGAATATGCAGTCGCAATCATGAATCGAAACCTTGTCGGATCATCCAGTGGCAGGTTTGAGCAGGTCACATTCTGCAATGAAGCCCGGTAACCAAATCGAGGAGTAGTGTCGTTCTGCAGATAGAACCAATCCGGGGCATCGAGGTATGCATTGAATATTTGGCAGTCTGGAAGTGTCACTGAGGTGTTGTAGTATGCGGAAATCGGCGCATTGCTACGTTCGTCAAAAGCCGCAGTGTGCTTGAGAGTCCCAGATGCGCAGCTGAGGTTGGCGCTGAAAACATCAACCGCAGCAGAATATGTAAGACTGCCATTGACAAATCCATCGCTGGGGGCAAAGCTTTGAACAGCATGCTGGTCGGTCGTGCCGACGGGAAGGCTGATATTGTAGGCCTTGTGACCGTAGACGACATAGGCAGCCCTCGAGTCGACCGACTCTGCGTGATGAAAATCCGTCCCATCAAAGGTGTTGTTAAGGGCCATTGAGGTCGGAACCCCGTTCTTCTGGACCGACTGGAGGCTGAACATACCAGTGCTTAAGACAGTGATAACTTTGATGAGGAGGAAGACAATAATACTGGACGAAACGGCGAAGTGGCCACGGCGCAAAGATGTCCAGAGCGACGAGACTTGGAGCGGCGTGACGTAGTCCAGAAGAAGACTGTTCTCTGCTCGTTGAGGGCCTTTTGCCATTTCCGCCCAGGGCTGGATTGATTTTGCGGCATAGTCGACTTGACGCCAAAGAACAGTGACAACCACAAACACGGCCGTGGGACCATACGTCCACAAATAATGGTCGCCGTCACTGCTCGTAGCAATTCCATGATTGTTCTGCGAAACCGTGTACACCACTTGCAGGGCAGCAATGACAGCGGCGAAAAAGAGAGCAAAAGTGATCAGGACCCAATGTCTCAAGAAGAATGGATTCCACCGTGTATTTAGCCGATGCCCTGATTCTTCCGGATTTGATGTGTTCGTGGGCACGAGCAACGCGGAGCCTGGAGAAGGCTCACGCCTTGTCACGTTTGACGCATTTCGAGGGCTATCTAACTCGATGTCCGTGGCAATGCCATGTGGCGGGTTTTGGTTGCCGAAGATGAGGCGCGAGTAGCCTCCAGGTCGAAAATTATTCATTATAACAGTGTAGACGAAAGCAAAGAAAGGAGAGCAGTTGGAGCAGGAGACGGCCCGTCTTTGCTGCTATCTCACTTGCGCCGTTGCCATGATCTGTTCTAAAAGCAAAGGACCGCTCAGGACCGGAATGTAACAGAGGACTTTTGGAGGAGATGCGCGTGCTGGAGCGTAAAATGGGAGGCTCAACGACAGATAAAATAATATCTGGTAGCGACATGATTGCGCGTGGACCGGTGTGGTCGAGTCCCCTTTCAAGCACGCGGGACTCCATATTATCCAGCTGATTGAGACCACTGAGAGAGTCGACACGACCAGCCGTCAACGTCGATCCAATTTATTTTTGGCCCGTGAAACAAAAGCTCGGGCGCCGTTGCAGTCGCATGAGCCTCAGATGGTCAAAGCGTAAACCTTGGGGACTGGGAGGTGGGAAGTTGAGAGCTGGAAAATGGCCAAATTCGCCGTGTCTGACAAGAAGTGTGCCGCCGTCTTTTGCTCTGCGCTTGTCCCTACTGCATGACTGTCGCCCACAGCCACCCTAGCGTTGGCCACAAACCCCCTAAATTTAGTCGTCTGACGCAGGCTTTCGGTCTTGGCCTTTTCACATCGCGCCCACACTAGCTGCTTGGGTTACTTTTGTCGCCGGGCACTGGTGGCACCACTGGCACCACTGGCACCTCATAATTACCAGGTCCCCCATCAGCCCGTCCATCTCACACACTCTCCCATTTCGCCTAGCCGCGGTGTGTTGGACGACCTGCTACTGCTCTGCAACAGTTGTTGTCGGTGCAAAAGAACGTTGGCGCGATGTCAGGTTTCCTCCAGCCAATTGCGATCCCGTTTTCTCCATCCTCTTTCGGGTGCAGTGCGATGACTTGCATGCACCTTCGATAGGGGCTACACATCACGGCCCACAGTTGACCAAGACCCCTTTCTCCAGGTTTTGCTGACAAGTTAACTAGCTCACCGGTGAACCGTCCCGAGATTGTTGCCCGAAAACCCTTCACTGTGATCTCTATACGGAGTGCCCTACACGAATCCCCTAAGAACAAGAGGATGTATATGCGAGTGGTTCGAATGAGCCGAGTTCTGACATCGCACCCTGACACTCCTTTCCGGCCCCTGCTGCGGCTCTACCGTCTATACTGTGGCGGCATCGAGGATGGCCTTATGCCTTGCCACAGACTGTGCATGTGCCTTTGAAGAATAATGAGCTCCGACGGCAGATAATGAATTGAAGAGTATTATCTTCACCTTTGTTGCTCTCCCTCGGGCTTTTTCTCGGAACTCTGCGAGAATGCAGGACCGACGTCCTCCACTTTGCTCTTTGCCGCAATCGGATCGATTTCATTGGCGGAATCATTTCGAGTTCACGATTTTCATACAGGATCACTTTAAGCTGAAATCTAGCTACAGTTTACCAGTCTGTGCCCCCGCAAAAGGAGGAACCATCTTAAGGTCGGCCATCTCAGTGAGGACCTGCTTGATGGCTTCCTTGGTACTCACGAAGCCGTGCCATCCCAATTTGCGATTGCGATCCATGCTGATAACTCGACCCCATCCGCCGAGAAGCTCACCGTCAATGAGTCCAAATGTATCCATAGCTTTATCTCCGAAGGGGCTATACTTCAGCCCATGCTTCTCCTTCAGTTCCTCCCATGCTTGCAACACTTCGGGTTTTTTGCTCCACTCAAGAAAACTGAACGACGCCTTCACGATCCCTGGTCCGCCAAATCCACGAGGGGAAATCGGATAGGGCATGGTGATGGTTGCGTACGCATCTGCATTTGTTGCTGGTCGACCTGCAGACGTGTCGTACCAGTCGGCGAGCGTTGGCCAGAACTTTCCCCATGCAAAGGCACTATCATCGCACTGGTTGAGTGCCTGATTACCGGCCTCGGGGGTCAAAAGTGCCCATTCAGCATGGTATGCAATCAAGGTGGACATCGACTGCTGCTTTACGACGTCCCACGCCGCGACATCACCTGGAAATTCTAGAGGAAGTCCCAGATGTGCCTGAACAGCGGCGTAAATCGACAAGGGCCACAAGATATTCATGGCTGCGTTCTCAACAGCGCCAAGAATAAAGCATGGTCGGGTAACCACCCAGCTGGTGTTGTTGTTCTTGCAAAACTCCTCCAGGAGATCTTCTTGTGGAAAGTAAAAGTTTTTCTCGATTCCGTGTCGAGCATCGTCTTCTTCCATCGGGATCGCTGTTGGACCAAGATGCAGGCCATAATATTTCGCACCTGTTTGAAGCAAGATACGCTTTGGGGATATGTTCGCCAATGGCAGGGCACCAAGGAAGTTGGACAACAAGGCCACGTTTTGCTTGGTTGTTTCTTCAACATCGCTCCACAAGGTCTGGCCTTCAAGGGGAGGTGGTTGGACGTATGATGCGAAGAACACATAATCCCTACCTTGTCAGCGAGACCAGTTCGGAATGGGAACACTTACGCTTTAACTTGCTTGTCCTTCAGAATCTGGGCAATCTGTTCTGGAGTGCTCTCAAGGAAATCTGCAGCGATATACTCGACACCAGGTGCGGTCTGGCCCAACGGAGGGCGACGTGAAAGGGCGTAAATCTTCTCCCATCTCTCTGGAGCCTCACTCAGCACCTTGGTCATGGCCGAACCCGAGATGCCATTTGCCCCTGTCACAATTATCCGCAATTTCTTTCCCTTATACTCTGGAAAGGTCGGAAGGCCATGAAAGATTCCTTTGGAGACGACTGCTTGCGACATGTTAACCGCCTGGAGTTGCTTTGATGAAGAATGAAGAGAGATGGGAAGAGGAGGTGTCGAATCTGGAGGCCGGCTCTTATATGCCAAATGTGCCTCTCGAAGACTGATCCATATTCGGCAATCAAGGCAACACGAATATGTTAGCCCAATGCTGTAAGCAGGGTCCCATTCAACGCCACAGTCCCTGAAATGTGTGTGAGCACCAGGAGCAGCCCATGGCACGATGCATAGCGTCACGCAGCATTCTGTTCGTGTGCACCAACCACCAATCTCTGAAAGAGGAAATAATGATCCATCGGTCACGTGATGACTGCCAACCCGTTTCCACGCATTGCGGCTTTCCGACATTCGTGATGACTACGGACGTACAGGGTATCCCAAAGCTTGCATTTGCTTGGCCTGTTGGAAATCAGCTACCATTATTAAGCACATCTTTGACGACACCGGCGGCTGCTTTGAAAAACCACATTGTTGTGTCTATTTGAGCCTTAGGTGACTTGGTGCAGCAACAGCCAAATTAAGGAGCCTTCCCGACTAGTCGCGGCGAAGGTGGTGTTCCATTGCATTGACCAGCAATTAACACAGATACACGTTGGCCGCAGGGACTTTCAAGTGGCCAGAAAATGCTCATCAAGGTTTTCTCATCCAGACTTCCAAATCATCATGCACTGATTCAAAGGGTCGTCAATCAACAGGGTCGGATCTATGAGTGCTGCACGAGCGTCGTTCAGCATGCAGCACAACTGCTTTATTGAGTATGGAAACAAAACACAATGGCCCTTTCCTAGCACCCGAACCCGGTCAGAACTTGACTGTTATCTGTGACAACCGTTACGAACGGTTTCAATTCATTTTCTACATTGTAGCTGAGAATTTGAGCTGACGGGCAGATGCGCCATCTCCCAGCCCTTCTTGTGAGTCCCAACGACATCTGGCAGACCAATACTGTACTACTCTGCGGTTTGAAGCGACATTTGCAGGTGAGAACTCGGCAGAGAAAGAGTCGAGCAAAATCACTGGCTACATCGTCGGTAGATGGCACTGCCGCTAGCTGACGATGTCTCTGCCAGACGGGTTTTCCGTCTGGCAGCCTGTGGGAAGATTGAAGTCAGGAAAACTGAGAAAATGATCCCCCGGGCTCTCCATAGATATTCGCTTATACGACCAGTGGTCTCTCGCAACGTCGAAGAGATGTTTTGGGCGGTTCCCAATATCAATGACATCGCCAATACTGGGAATTGAAGGCTTGACTAAGCTTCGACCCTCGATGAGCCGGACCAATTGCGATCAAGCACATTGATCGTTGAAGAGCTCATCCAGAAACCGGCCGGACTTTGCTACCCCTTGAACCGTTCGCGCGGATTGGCAAGAACAAATGAATGTCAGAAACCTATCAGAAATCGACTGTAGACGACAGCAGGACTGGATTTGCCAACTCAGCATTCCCTTTGCCTCACTATTAGTCCGAGATAACGGCTCTGAAAAGCACATGTCGGACTTGTCCTCAGGTGGGGCGTCGCCATTTGTGCATGAATATCAGCTACACGGAGCTTCCTCCGCTTGACTTGAAGGGCGTGGACCAGTTTAAGCCTCGACTATCGTCCGAGCCTCACAGGTATTTAAGCCATGGGAACTTTACAGAATCTCTGCTTGTGCAAGCCAGTCGAACTGGACAAAACTCTGTAAAACGATCGCAAACACCAGATCTTTTCCACCAAAGTGCTCGGAGAACATACCATCCATCATGGCGAATCGTGGACGGACGCTGGATCCTGAGGTTTTCTCAATCAATGATCTGAAGGAGAAGGCGTCCAAAAAACTCCCCAAGATGTATCGAGGTTAGACAAACCCCCTATCCGTCTTTTCCAAGGTCAATAACACAGCCAGAGTACTTTAACGAGGGTGCCATGGACATGATAACGTGAGTCTGCTGGTCTGAGCTCCCGTGGAAGGAATTGGTCAGAATAGCCAACGTTTCCCTATTGGCAGTCTTCGAGACAATGAAGCCGCCTTCGACAGATATCGGATACGACCTCGTATTCTGCGCAATGTGTCGACTGTCGACACGAGCACCACAATATGGGGAAGCAAAGTTCTCTTTCCGTTCGGGTTTTCCCCAGCGGCTATGCATCGACTTGCTCATCCGGAGGGCGAAGTGGGTACTTCAAGAGCTTGTGCAGCTCTTAACGTGGCAATGGGACTCAGCGCCTACTCAAATGACTCGCTAGAAGACGTTATCAAGCAAGGCCAAGGAAAGACGAACCCCTATGCTATGCAGGTCAGTCTTTTGAGGAGTCGAGAGCTGACCGTCCAGCTGTTGAAGAGGGCCGAAGGTATGTGGCAGGTCCTCCAAGTGGTTGCAGGAGACATTCTTTTTCTGTTCTCGGCTTCATCTTGAGCTTGACTGACAACCACCCACAGAGGCAGGCTATAAAGCCATCCTGTTGACGGTTGATGCACCGATGCTGGGCCGACGATTGAATGAATTCCGCAACTCCTTTTGCATGCCGAAGGGCACCACATATCCTAACATTGCTCCAGGCCTGGACATGAGCAATTTAGAGGGAGGAGACAATGAATTGGCCTACGGTAGGTCTCATAGTGTGCCAGTTCAGCGCCCTGGTTGGCGACGTCTCGGGCAGGCTAATGACTTTGGAAGAGAACGGGGTGGACTGGGACGAAGCCATCTCGTTTATCAAGGAACATACAGACCTTGAGCTGTGGATCAAAGGCCGTAAGTCAACCCCCCCTGTCGAAACCCACTGTGAGACTGACCCCACCCCTTCCAGTGTACACCGCGGAAGATGTTGTCACGGCTATCCAGTACGGGTTGGACGGCGTTGTCATTTCCAACCACGGCGGACGACAGCTGGACAGTGTCCCCGCGACGTTGGACGCCCTCCGAGAATGTGCCCCGGTCGCCAAGGGCAAGATCAAGATTGCCATCGACGGCGGAATTCGAAGAGGGACCGACATCTTCAAAGCCTTGGCCTTGGGCGCCGACTTCTGCTTTGCCGGACGCATCCCCATCTGGGGTTTGGCTGTGAGTTTTCTCGACTGAGGGATGTTCCGCACTCTCTGGGAACTGACATACGTGGTGGTGTTAGTACAACGGCCACAAGGGGGTAGAGCTGGCCATCCAGCTCCTGCATGACGAATTCAAACTCACGATGGGTCTTGCTGGGTGAGTCGATCCTCTGGTGTGCGGCAACTCTCGACGGCATGGGCTGAGTGCATTGTTCCGTTTCGTACAGGTGCAAGACAATCTCCGAGATTAACCGCGGACATCTCTCAATCCTGGAGAGCAATGGTGTCCTGTCAAAGTTGTGATGCTAGTGATCTGGAGCCATACACGCAAGCTTCTGCAACGCGCGACGAACAACCACACCATACACGAGAGCAAGAAGAAGACCCTATAATGGACGAACTGACGCCAATCTACATCCGAGCGGTTACCCCTGCATGCGAGTATCTTATCTGCGACAGCGGAGATCAGCGGGTGGGAAGTTCTGGGCATCACAGGTATTCAGCAACAGAAGTCTGGAGGACCAACAGAATCAATCAAGCTCGCAGTGCCATGTGTAGGATATCAATGCACGTGGTCAGGATGTATGGTAGGGCCGCAGCTAGACGGGAAGCTCACTCCGCTAAACTTGACATGCTTAACCACCGAGTCCACCGTTGCTAGTAATCGAATGTTCACCACCGTCCAAGGGACCGTGAGAATGCCGATGCAACTGGGTTGCCTACTTGATTTCTGCAGTTGCAGCATCGATGATTCTGCCATACGGGCGTCCGACCCGCACTAACACGTGCCAGATGAGTTTCATTTCTTGCAAGACTTGGGCGTGCGTGCCCCTGCTTGACCATGATTCGGGATGTGTGACCAAGCCTCTCACAGCCCTGCCAATCACCTCTGCATCGAGCTGGCCTTTTTTGGCTATTGCCGCCGCCAGCGACGGCATAGAAGGCCCTCTAAGGTCAACTGGTACATCCTCCACCCTCACGGAAAACCCATGATGCGAATGCAAGGGAAACCGGTACTTTGCAGCCATGCCCTCTAGGTCCTGCCAGACGTCACTGCCTTGGAACGAGGGATCAACAACCAGAGCTTCAACGTCTCGGTCAAGGCGGACGTCGCCATGGACTTGAGCCTCGATGAAGTGGTCGAGATTATGGCACTGAGCGCCACTCGAGACGTTCGTGAGCGGCTCCTGGAGATCTAGAATACGTGCCATCAGCTGCGGTGGTCGGATGCCACTGACGCCCAATGCAAAGTCCCGTGTGAAAGATTCCTCGAACAATGCTGACAGGACTGCGTCAAACTCATCCAGTGTACCACGGTACTTTGGTTCTGCCTGGGACCCACCAAACGTGAATGTCGATCGCGCCGAGACCTCAGGCTTGAGCACCAAATAGCAGGATCCAAAGCGAGGAGCAGGGCCTTCTGAGTTGCGCATGACGTTAAGAGCGCCATACTTCGGCCGGTGAGAGGGCGAGACGTCGTCAGAGTGATATGCCCCCTGGAACAGAGAGCGCTCCCACAGGTCTCGGAATCCACCTGAATGGGCGGAGACGCTGCCGTTCGAAATGCCTGTCTCAAATTGACTTCGGTAGATCCCGTCCTCCAAGAGGCCCCGAGCGACGAGACGACTGCCGACGGGGCGATCAGGGTGGAAGTGCAATGCCACTTGAGCGTGTCGCCTAATGGCGCTGCGCACAAGGTCGAGAGACGACTCGGGTATGTTAGCCATGCAGAAAATCTCCGAGAGAACGTCGATAGCTGCTGGCCGAAGAGAAACGGCTTGGGCTTTGCTGTGGGCGATTGCCCGTTCTTGACTGACATGTAGAGCTATCCCGCCGTCCTGAGCGAGTGACATGGTCTCTGGGGTTGAGAATCGATGTCTTTTCTGGTATAGAAGGAGGTGAAGGAGGGATAAAGAGAGTCTCGAGCTGGCGAAGCTGAGCACGAGAAGGGCGTCCCATGACTCATCGGGCACGAGAGGCAGATCATAATTGCTCGAATACGACACCTGTGAGTGTGTCAGCTACTATTTCTGGCTCTCATTATAGATAAGGAAGGTCTTGTAACTCCCAGGCAAGGGGAAATCAACAAGCCTGATGAAATATTAAGGTGAGGGTGTCTTTATGAGCGTTAATGCTCTTTGCCGAGGAGACAGTGGAGCGAAGGTGTCCGCTCTCGGTCTGCGAGAGTTGGAGGCTTGACGTTGCTTCTTCTCATCATTCTCGCTTTCGTTTCTCTGAGAGAGCTCACCGGCAAGGTTAGTGCTTTGGGTGTTGTTGAGGAGGGAAGATGCTGTCGACTTGCAGTTGTTGCTGCGGTCGACGGGTCGACACCTTTGCCGGGCCGGGATTATATTCTTCCGGACCCCCAAGGATGCGCCTCGCAGGCCTCACTCCCCCATGTCCAATATCGACCTCCCGTCTTCTCACCTCCTTGAGCAGTCTCTTCTCTCCACAAGAATCCCAGCATCGAGTAAAAGGCTGTTGTCGGAATATCAATCATTCCATTTGAGCCTTCGCTCTTCCTCCCACATTGCTCTTTTCCACCATGGCCGAACAGGGGCCGCTTGTGATTCCTCTCACCTCCAATCGTGACATTGCACTCGCCGCGAGTATCAGTCCATATCGACCAGCATCCATTCTAGCCGAGGAAGTCTCACAGAGGAAGATATGTAATGGTAATGTGTAGCAACCTGAAAAGGGAGGGGGACCTGCTTTCCCTGACCAGATGTCGCCCATCTAGACCTCCTCGATGACATGGTATTGACATGGTATGCAAAGATTCTTCAATTGTCTGCTTCTTTGTCGCACTTTCCCAGTTTTGCGGGACCAACTTCTGCTGCGCATTCAGGACGGAGCTGCTACAGCCTTGCGACTTCCAGATGCGCCCGGGTAACCATGTCTCTGTTTTCTCCCCGCTTCTTCTCTTTACGCCTCTTCATCCCTTTGCTCTGAGTTGTACTCCCATCCGTTGATGCACAGCGCTTGGATTGGTCGGTATACTTTGGACGACTTTGCCTAGAACAACCCAAATCACCACCTGCTCCTTCTTCTGTACTTTTAGAAATCCTTGCTTGATCTCGTGGCCGAATCCTGCTGGCTGGAAAACGCCCTTGTCACAAACTTCTTCCACCTTCTTCACATTGTCTCATTCAACTCCGCCGGGGTTCTTCTGTCTGCGGCCAGTCTGTGGTCGAACTCCTGGTGAAAATCGTGCGGCATGTCTTGGAAATTGGCCGAGCTGAGATGGCGTCAAGATGTCGGCCTCAATGAGAGCTGCCGTGGTCCGCAGAACCACCCTGAGGGAACAAAGAGCAAGGGGCTCGATTACACAAAGCGTGGTCGTTCCTATACTGCTCCGTGGTGCCATGTCGTGTTGGGGAAGAGTCTGGCGGAAGACTCTGTCAATAACAGAATTCGGCCGGACCCGATATCATTCGCGTTGTCCACCGGCCTTTCAGATTCTTCTACAACTCCTCTTCTTCGCAGCAACCAGGACAAAACAGATACCTTGACAGGACACAACCACATTCTCTCCGTTGTCGAGAAAGACACCACGCATTCGGATCTGTCGCTCAATCCCCTGCAGACTCCGTCTCGACCTACCTCATTTCCGCGTCGAACCATCCTTTGTCCAGAGCTTTCTCAGACTGAAAGAGCTTGCTGGCGACTGAACGGTGCGCGCTCTTCTTCCCTTGACGTGGCGACAAAGAGGTCACTGACGATTTGTAGGCAATAAGGCCCCGCCAAAGGAATCAACGTCGCCTCTGCAGCCTGACGACAGCAGCAGACACGGCCAGATTGGAGAGCAACTGAAAAGTCCGTCAAATTCATTGCCCACTGTGAGTAGAGTACCTCCTTCATCCCCATTTCCGAGGAAAATGACTGACAATAGATGACAGAACATCAACACGGACCCAGAGTTCTCGAACCCAGTTGACTTCGACTTTGTCCGCTCTCCAAGCTTTGGGCTCCATTTCTGCATGTCAGGCCAGGAAGTTGGCCAGAAACCTGAAGAACAAGGCTTGGATTTCGACCATTGCAGTCTTTGGAGGCGGAGTCACTCCTTTTCTCCGAGCATTCGACGCGCCTCGCTAGAGTCCACACATCATTCGGATTCAGCTCTCCTGCAAAATATCAGCATGGACATTCCAACAAGTCATTCAAGTCCCGAGCCGCGCACGACACGTCCACTTTATCCTGATCTGCCTTCTGCATATGCACAGATTCAAGGCCGCAGAGCTGCAAGTCTCCAACCAGTCCCGTCAAATAGAAGTGCCACCCGATTCCCTCTTAGTCCATCAAGCTCGTCTTCCGATGAAGATCGTTATCAGGATCTGCCCCTTGAGAGTGATGCCATACCACTGAAGAATTTACCGTGCCGAAAAGTCCATTCAGCACAGGGCATTTTGCATGAAGCTGATCATCACCAAGAGTCCAGCGCAGTGTTCGAGAGCCCAGAGGACAACGGCGAGCTTAACTTGGACTGGAAAAGAGCCTCGACCACGTTGGATGACATTGTCTCTCAATATGCGGATGCCAGTTTCCCGGGTTCTCATGCACACAATGGCAAGATTGACAATGGAGAGCATGATCAGCCCGAGCGATTGAATCCTGTCGTCGATCGAGAATTGGAAGGTGTCGCCTCTTGCTTTGAAACACCAAAGACACGATCGGGCCATGTTGACTCAGACATCCAAGTCCATGAATACTCCCAGCATTTCGCAAAGGGCCTGATCCGTCAAAACGTTGAAAACTTCGCTGCAATCGACGACGACGATGACGAAGAGTGGGTAACGATGCCAGAGAGTAGTCGCAGCGGTTTCTTGACTCCCTCGAAACTGCGATTTCGCCTGGCAAAGAGAGGAACTGGAGACACCTCTAATTCCAATCTGACCGGCAGAAGAAGTCCTGCGTCACCCTGGGATCCGCTCTCGAACGCAACAAAATCTAAGCCGCATTCTCAACAACGGCACAAAGGTCCTTTGAACCCAGCTCAGCATCACCTTTCTCCTAGTCCAAGACCATTCAGAGACACAACCGTAGGGAACAGACAAGGCATTCACAAGCGGTCAAGGTCTCTGACTACGAGGGGGAAAATTGCAGACACTTATGAAGGAGGCCGTCATCTGGATTCTGCCGGCGCCCGTGCTATCAAAGCACAACACCATTCACAACTCAGACCGCGCCTCCTTAACCAGATCCCTTCAACACATCTCACTTCTCAGTCTCCTTCTACCCAGTCTGCCACGTTATCATCATCTCGCTGGATTGAGAGCGCTCTTCCATCGAGTTCATTACTTCCAAGAATCCCAGATAACGCTCTTACATCAAGCTTCCTCTCTCCCAAAGCCATGGCCGCTTTGAACGGTACTCCACGAGAAGCAACAGCAGACCAGAAACTCACGATTCCCTCTATCTATGACGATCCCACCGGCGTCAGCACTGCAACGACAGCAAACTCTCATCTCGGAAACCCTCCTCTTCATACTCAGAATACCGCTGCCAACAACACCCTTTTTGTCAGCGAACATGCTGGGGCAACTGGATCGGCTGTTACTCTCGACCCTTTCGCTTCACCCTTTTACCATGATCCTATTTCACACCACAATATTGGAAAAACATACGCTGTCAGCGAAGATGCGGAAGCATTGGCGGTGCGACAATTTAACCAAGGTGGTTATAGACTCAACGACGCCGACGTCTCACGGTTCCTAAGAGACAGCCGCCTTCTTCGACGGAGACCTGGTGACAAATTCAAACACGAAAACAACAATGCTTGGCTCAGTCGACAAGGAATTCTAGCCACAGGAAGCAGCCTTGCTCACTCATCATCTGACTCGACCGCATTGAACCGCCTCCGACACCCTCGAAGTCTATCCTCTGCCAGTAACTACTCCACCAGTCACGACGCTGCTGGCATTACTAGTCAAGTGACACGCAAATTCAAGCAATTCCTAAGTAGCACTGGCACTGGCACCACCGATGGAGAAAGCTCCGAGTATTCCACCCTTGGAAGCGTTCACACGTCCACCAACAGTACCTCTCGCTCTTTAATGCTCGAGGAACTGGAAGAGAGCTTCAACACCACCGACCCCGCCATTTCTTGCGAGCGGTGCCCTTCCTTCCCTCTTGCCCCTGAGATGCTGGGAGTCCTGCGTCTCGAGAACTTGGGCCGCGTCCCATTTGAGCGCGTACAGCTCTGGGACGACGGCGAATGGCTTGAGAAGGGCTGGTGTTTCCTGCACCAGCGCATGGAATACAGCCATGCTGTCCTCGTTGGCAACGAGGCAGCCATCAGCGAAGACCTCCGGTCTGTCCAGCGTAAAGCTGGCAGAATCCTGTTGGTCTGCGGCACCGCAACTTTCTTGCTGGGTGGGTGGACCCTGATCCACTCGATCAGGGAGGGAGGCCCTCTGGCCACTTCGGCCATGGCAGATTTGACGAGGTTGTTGGCGGGTGGAGAGGAGGAGGAGGTTGTTTGCTGTGTGCATCCAGAGGATGCGGCAATGGCGCAAGCCATTGAAAAGGCTGCGGCGTGGGTGGTGGTGTTGGTGGTTGTCGGTCTGTTGGCGGTGCTGTGTTGGGCGGCGGCCACCATCTAGGTGGTGCGCAGAGGTTGAAGCAGGCGGGCGAAAGCCCTTAAATTAGATTGAATCAATACGAAATGGAAATGTCACCGGCTTCCTCTTTCTGTGTCTACCGTGTCTATCGTTGTCTGTGAAGCGTGTCCGCTTGTCAGCGCACCAGCGAGATTGGTGAAAAACACGCCGTCTTTTACATGGGCGCAGACACAAATGTACCTGCGCCGTACGTCAGATACAAAGGCACAGTTTTGAGGAGTTGTTATCGTCCAGGGCCGGGAGCAAAAGCTAGTATCGACATTATACAATGAAAATGGAGGTATGTATCGGGGCGACGCTATATGTATCGTACATATACTGCTGAAAGCATGGAGAGAGAGACATTCGTTACCATCACGCTCAGATTGATGGATGACAGACCGGTGACCACTGGCATCCCACATCGCTACTCCTCGTCGACGACATATCCCAGAGCCTGGCCCATCTTCACCTTCTGTCCCTTCTCGACGGCCCATTTGAAGCCGGGCTTCGACTCCGTGCCCGCGGGCGCCTCGAAGACGAGGACGACGCTGCTCCCCAGTCTGAACCCGCCCATCTCTTCACCCCGGCGCAGGGCATGGCCGCCTAGCACTTTGCTCGCTCTCTCGTACGTGGCCTCGCTGAAGCCGGAGTACGGCTCGCCTCGGTCCGCGGCGGCGGCGGCTTGTCTGTCGGCCTCGGTGTCCGTGGTGAGCGAGTTGGTACGCAGTTCCTTGTCGAAGTTGATCACGATGGAGCCGACGTTCGTGGCGCCGACGGGGACGTAGGAGAAGAAGCCGTACTTCCATCTCCCCAAGAGCACGACGCGCTCGTTCAGGGTGAACAGTCCCGGGAGCGTGCGTTGAACGTAGGGACTGACGGAATATAGTTCCCCAGCGAAGTGGCGACGAGCCGTGCACACCCAGCTGACGGGTGAGTGAAAACGGTGGTAGTCGCCGGGCGCGAGGTAGACGACGGCGTAGTACAGGTTCGAGGACCTCGTCGGTTGGGAAAAGATTGACCACCAGGGCTGTGTGCTTGCCAGGTCGGCCGACACGGCCGCTTCGGATGAGGGAGCAGAGGGCATGGATGCATCTTGAGCTTTGATGGGATTTGAAGAAGACTGCGAGCCTGAGAAAAGGTTGGGAAGGGTGTACGAAATGCCGTTGACGTTGGCGAATTCTTCATCCGCCGATATGGATTTTGCGTCCGGGCTATCTGGTGAGACTGATTGCGTCGCCTGATCTTCTGGTTGCGCGGAGATTCGTGGGTTGGGAGAAGGGGGCGCAATTCTCCCAAGCAGGGCGTCAACAGAATATGTCATTCCCTTGACTTGCTCGACTTCGCCGTTCTCTATCGTGCCGAACTGAAGGACTCTGGCATCAGCGGGAGAGAGTACCGCGTTTGGATCGGGGTCAAGGGGCCGGACTCCGGGTTTAATCTCGCGGTAGAAGAAAGCAGATAGGTTTGGGTAGACGTGGAGGTCAGGTTCAGCTATCTCGTCGAAATTGACCCCAAAGATCCAGCCGTAGAGTTTGAAACCGGGGACGCGGAGGTAATAGGGGATGGTGAGCTCGTTGAAGCGGCCCCAGACTCGAGAGATGGCCTTCAAGGGAAGGGTGGACATGATCTGGACCTGCAAGCCGCCCCCCGTCGGATGAATTCTCTTTCTCTTTGGAGGAGCGGGCTCCGTTTCCTGAGCAGCGCCTTCTCGCTGGCGCTGGCGAATGCGTATGAACTGAAACAATCCCAGAAAAGCGATCCCCAAGCCAATGGGTATGGGCTTCCATTCTATGCGCGTTGACCGCCATGCCTTCCCCAGCCGGGACGGAAAGCTCTCGTTGTCTCTTTTCTTCTTCTCCTCTTCCCATAGCCTCCTGCTGTTCGAAAAGGTCCGCCGTTGTTGTGATGGTAGGCGGGCATGGAGTGGCCTGAATGGCAGCGGCCGAGAAGGGAACGGTTCAGACAAAAGCTGTCTGGCATGAGGAGATAATATCGACCGGCGATAGAGACAGGACCTGCCCACTCGCACAGCAGCGGCAGCCATAGTGTGTGTATAGTGTTTTCAGAACTGGACGAGAGGATATTAAAAGAAGATAGCGGACAGACAATGACAGCATAAACGTTGGAATCTGGAATCTGGGGTGCAGTTTTCTCCTCTGCTGCACAATGACGCAGTTTGGAGGGCGAAGTGCCGCCGATGTGTCTGATTGGCTCGTTGACGACGCGTCTGAAGCCATCGAAGAACTTGTCCTTCTGGCTTCTTCATGCTCCCTGCGCATGAGGTTTTGCATGGCCCAACACCGTCCATTCTCCCGCAATCTATCAGTGCTGCCCCTCTTCCTTCTCTTCGGCATGTCTTTATGATCTTTGCCAATTCTTCAATCTTAGCATGGCTTCTTCATCTCCTGCACCGCCGCAATTCCCAGATCTACCTCCTCCAGACCCGGATCATGTCCACCTGCGAACTGCCTACCTCGTCACGGGCAATCCGCGGCCGCCACATTATCTGGGGAGCCTCAGTCTGAATACTACCATATCTGCGCTCAAGGAGAAAATTCAGTCTGAGCTGCCTGAGCATCCGTCTCCCTCCGAACAGCGGCTCATCTACCAGGGCCGTCCCTTGCTCCGAAATGATGCCAACTTACGAGACATTCTCAGAATAGTATGTGCGCCTCCAATGTTTTCCTCAAAATACACCTCTTCTAACAGGTGCCTCTCTTGTCTAGCCTGACGGTGTACCCGATACCCTCCCGCATACAATCCATATCGTGATCCAGTCTCAGCAGAATACTTCGCAGTCTCAGCAACCGCCGAACCCCATTCTGAATCCCACTCTGAACCCCATTCTGAACCCGCCTCCGCCACCTCCTCTACAGGTAGACCACCAGCATGCAGAGTTTGCACGCACCTTCAGAGCTGCTCAAACATCAGCCAACAGACTCCAGGAGTCGCTTGTCCGTATACAGCAGCAGATTGAAGCCAACAGAGCGGATCTGAGATCGGTTCAGCAGAGAATAGCATTACAACATACCAATCTGGGTGCTCCTCCAAATCTTATGAATGGTCAAGTTAATACCAATGGCCAGCCGCTGCCAGCTCCTCACCCGCAGACTTTTGCTATGAACTTCCATTTCGATCTTCCTGTGGACCAGCTGGCACAGGCTCAACGAGCACCGGGCCCCGGAAATGCACACCCTCGCCACACGCCGCACGCCTCATCAGGTCTTCCTCCACAGCAACCTAGAACGGCACCACTAGGTCGGCCTCAACACAATATTCAGGAGTTCCAAGGTCCGAACGGAGAACGCATGACGCTTATTACGGAGCAGGTGAGTTTCACGATCCCTGCGCAAGGCCCAGGCTCAGGATCTGGACAGCAACCCGCCGTACCGTCTCAACCGCAGACGAACACTGCTACTCACGCGCCACAAAACAACATCCCTCCGCCTGTGCCACCCACTTTTGCCTTTCCTGTGAATTTGCTTCCTTCCATGTCCACCACGCCCATGTACCTGTCAAATTCGCCCGCACAAAATCGCCCCAGTCCCCCACAATTGTCGAATACGACAGCCTGGTTGCTATCTTCCCCAGTTGGACCCCAAGGATTCTTGTTTGCTCCTGGCCATGGCTGGTTTTGTTCTCCGCCTGTGAGGCGACAGCAACAAGTTGGCAGTGTGCCAACTCCTCAACCCCAGACAAACGACCCAAACGGAGCAGGTGCAACCCAGCTGGCACAAACCAACAATCAGGGCCAGCCGAATGCAAACCGTGCTATAATTCGAGCCAATGAGCCTCAACCGGACCAGCCTCAACCTGTGCCTGCCGTGGCACAAGCACAGCAGAATGGAGAAGACAACGATCTCTTCGCATTCATCATCAATCGAGGGTGGCTTTTCTTGCGCCTCTACCTCTTCATGTTTGTTTTCTCCGAGCCGGGTACCTGGAAGCGGTGGCTCATGATTTTTGCGGCGGCAGTCATCTGTCTGCAACCTCGAGATGGTCCCCTCACTCGCCTGTTAGCAGCCGCTCGCCGGCACCTTGATAATCTGATTGGCCCACCTCCACCGCAACCTCCGCCAGAAGCTGTGGCTCACCAACAAGATCCCGTCGTCCAACAACCCGGGGGGGCTGGCCAAGTCCGTGCCGGAGCCACTGCGCAACGACCTGCCAATGTCCGCGGAGCCCTAACAATGACTCCACAAGAAGCGAGGGCTCGACTGGAAGACCAGCGGCAGGACCATGAACCACGCCCCTGGCGAGACACGCTATATCGTGTTGAGCAGAGTATAGCACTGTTTCTAGCGAGTTTGATTCCTGGTGTGGGGGAGCGTCATGTCAGGGCAAGGGAGGAAGCGCGAAGGGAGGAACAACGTCGCGTGGAAGAAAGAGGCCGCGCGGAAAACGAAGCAGCTGCCGAGAGACCAAATGGGGACGAGGCAGATGCGCCTGCTAGTGACACGCAAGCTTCGTCTGCAGAGGCGAGAAAACCAGAAGTCAACGTCGATGCGTCCGGAGAGCAGAGCACTTCAACTTCCGTCGAGGTCAGAGACGGCGAAGCCGAATCAGGCGAATTACGGAATAGGACGTGATTTCAGCCTGCTTAGCGGCGACGTAGACTTGATTGGTTGATTTGCTCTCTACGGTATGATGTGCTCGTTGAAAAGCAAAAGTTTATGTCGAGTCCAACATTGGGGGCCATCGGTGCCAGTTGCGCAGCGTATTGAAAAAACCTTGACGATACCCAAAATGAAACAATCGGCTTTTTTCCCAGATAAAGAGTCTCAACACCGACGAGACCGTCTCATGGGATAGGAGTGTCGTAGGAATTCTCAAGGCGAAAGTGATTATGATTCCCAGCGGAAGTCCTCTCCTCCCTTTTCTACAAACTATAACTACCTAGACGACCGAGACGCCGAGCTATGGGAGTACAAGATACAGCAGAAGACCAAAAGGGAGCTAACTCCCTACCAGTAATGCCCGTCACGGGCATGGCCATTACCAGAAGTCCTGCATATTCACTTTTGAGCCCGTGCGGGGATGTCGAATAATAACGAAGGCATGAAGCAGAAAAGAGACCGCGTTGACTCTCCCTCATGGCCCTCCCCTCCTGGCCCGACCCGACGATGAGATCGAGTGCCGCAGACGCGCTTGAGATGCTTGCCTTACCTTACCCTCGAGGAAATGCCAATAGTCTGAACATGTATGCCGATGTCTGCACCCGCGAAGGAGGCTGAAGGATGTTGTTGTGCTCCAAGCGGGTCAAGGGGTCATCGTGGTCTGCTTGGTCTCTCCTCCCTTCTTCTGTTCGGTCGCCTGCTGCTTGGTCTTCCAGCCACAGCCGCTGAAGATCTCGCGCTTCAGAAGCTCGCGCACCTCGACGTTGGCGAAGTGCAGCGTGGCCAGGGCGTCCTGCAGGCTCGGGGCGCCGCTCGGGTAGATGATGTGCAGGCCCGAGTCCAGGGCCGGGTCCGGGCGGAATTTGTCGTGGTAGGCCTTTTTCCCGCCGATGGGGAGGTGGCGGAACGCGCGGCGGTAGCAGGATTTGGTCAGCGCGGTCGTGGGCCGCGAGAGGCCCGTGACCTCGTCGAGCTGGGAGGCCGGCTCGAACCCGAAGCTGAGGTACCCGATGCCGGCCTGCTGGAGGAGGGACATCGCCGAGAAGACGAGCAGATCGGTGATGCCCTTCGGTGCCGTCGGGGTAGCGCAGTATGGGTCGATGTGGTATCCTTTGTTGGCTCCGATCTTTCTCAAGGCGGCGAATCCGTTGCACTGGCCTTGCCGATCCGTCGTGTAGAGGTATGTCATGAGCATCGGGATGGCGAAGGGGTCGAAAACCGTCATGTATGCCTGTGGCTGGCCGGACTGGTTGCGAGACTCCCGCCACAGGTCGTAGACCTGGCGCAGTTCCCGTTCCAGGGCCTCGTCACGCCCTTGAGCGGGGGCATATGCATGGACCGTGACACCACCCTTTTCAGGGTCGAGGAGCTGTCTGTTCTGCGTCACCATCCTTCTCTGCTCCTTCTCCTGCAGCACGGGGTTGTTGAGGGGATTGAGGACTCGTTCGGTGCCAAAGCGCATAGTCACCCATTTCTGCTTGCTCGCGAATGACGCGAATTCGTCCGTCGCGCCCAGAAAGACCATACCCCAGCGCCGCCGCTTTCGTAGGCGTCGAAATTCCTCCAGGAGACGGTCGTACTCGACGGGTTCGCACAGAGGATCGCCTCCTACGACCGCGACATTGTTCCTGACCTTGTAATAAAGCGCTGCTTGACGGTCTTTGGTCATGAAAAACCGGTAGCTAGGGTCTAGGATCCCCATGTGGGAGACTTTGCCGAAGCGCTCGACCAGGGAGCCCAGTGCCGAAATAGCCGTAAAGTCGTCGAGCGTAAATGTGTGGATGTCGTTGTTCTTTCTTTTCGGATACGTGGGAATGTGGTTCAGGCTTGTACTAGAGGAATTGAAGCTCAGAGTCATCGAGGTCGATATGCATTGCTGGTGTTCAAATCCATCATGGGCTGGCGAAAGGATGCCTCGGGAAGAGATCGAAGTCGTCACGACAGTCGTGCTGCTTTGGTTGAAGTCGATGAACCTTGGTCCCAGCAAGGCTTCCCCCTTGAGGAACTGCAGACGCTGGATGATGTTCATGGAGTCAATGTCCCTAGCCTGGGTCATGAGTATTTGCGCCAATCCCCCACCCAGATCTTCGGAGAGAAGAGATTTGGCCTGAGGCACCTTCGCCGCTGGCTTCTTGCGCGATGCTTTCATCTTGGCCGCGTTATTGAGGGTTTGTGAATGTGCGTGTGCGTGTAAAGTGTTGGAATTTGGTGTTGGTTCGTCTGAAAAGGAGGCCATACTGTGCTGGATGGGTTGCCCTTTCCAGCGCTGTTTCGAAGCACGATCTCTGAAGACGTCGTTTAGATGGTCGAAGTGAATGTTTCTCGCAGTCAAGGTCAATGGAATGTTTGTTCTGGGGAGGGCGAAAGAAGCTGAAGGATTTGCATTGTCAAACTGGTGCCTATTTGAACATTACCAACGTCAAGCATGCCACTCCACTCAGCTGACTTTAGAGCCCTCTCTCTGTGACATATGCATGGTGAAACGGTTCTAGAGGTGTTTGGTGTCGTGTGCACAACAGCCCCGGCGTGATGAGCGTCACCAGCATAGGCGAGTTATCAACGGCCGAGTACGGAGAGATCCAAATTTGGTGCCAGACACGCCTCACGCTGCCAATTTCTCGTCGTTCTCCTGATGTCGCGACCGACCATCTCGCCATCTCCAGACCGATCCATTGGGTGTGCCGCGCAATCTGGAGGCTGGGGCGTTGATGGAAGTCTCGAAAGACCGAAGAAAGCCACGCAAGCTTGGATGGACAGCAGGTCAGGCAGAAGCATTTCTATTGGCTGCGCATGTTGGCCGAGCAGAGGAGGAAAAAGGTTCTGAACCCATTGCAGGATGGCCTGGTGCTTGATCTGACAGCGCTCGTATTCACTTACTGTAAGCAGATGCCACTTTCTGCGGTGGGCCGCCGGAATGATCAGGCTCCCTTCCGCATGCAATGCACATGTCCATTCCTCCGTCTTCAACAGAAGCCAGCAAAGGTTTAGCTTCGGGGGGTATTTTCGGATGGTCCTGCTTGGAGAAATTTCGGCGGTTCAGCCTTGCACAACGCTGCTTAGGCGACTGCTTTTCTTGCCAGCGCAATTGGCACGTATTGGGTGTGGGATCCTCGTATTCTTTTCCCCTTTGTCTTCCAGAAGCCACCGAGTCAGATGGAAGTTCCAGCTTCCGAGAAATTATCTGGTCAGCCGTGGTCAGTGAATGTTATCTTTGCTCTGGTATTGATGCTCCGGGGGAGTGACTGCGAATAAGATCAGATCAATCTTCGAAGGGTGGGTGTTCAGGTCTGACCCCTCTTTATTGCACCTATTCATTGGGCCCAACAGCTCACGATCTATCCTGGCAATGGCTCTATTATAGATCCCAAGCAGGGAGTGTGACATCCAAGAACCCACTGGCTGTTTTGTCCCTCAGAAATCTTCATTCGAGAGGAATGATAGGATTCCATTGCTTGAAGCGTTTGTTGGTGAATCAGAAAGAGTGGCACTGGATCGACTGACTGACATCTGCGCTGTCAATACTCGGGAAACCAGCTGGTTGGCCTTGATCCGGCGAAGCGATAATAACGCGAGTCCGGCTGAGCTCCGAGACGTTGGGCCAGCTACAGATAGAACAAAAACAGATTGTGGTTGTTGTGGGTGGTGGCTGTTGATGGCACGGAGCCGAAAGATGTTTCCACCTGCGCAGCTCGCCTGGTTGAACTCCCGAGGCGCCTGGTCGCCGTCGTCGTTGTCATTGTAAAAGCGGCAATTCCACCCTCCGCCGCAGGTCGCTGATGTCATTGACTTTTAGCCCTTGGATGAGCCCCCCATGACGCCCAGTGAGCCCCAATACGGCCCCCCTCAAGCCCCTCCAGCCGCCAGCATCCAGACATGCGCGACATGGCCTGGACAGAGCCTCGCGGTCAGGCATTTGCCCGCATCCCCCGTATCACCACCACCCAGTTGTCCATATCTTCAATCCTTCTATCCAACTTAACGGGCGTAGTCTTCTCAATGCACATACCTCCCAATCACAATGTCTCTGGCTGACTCATGCTGTACCTGTGCCACGCTCCTCTCGGACGCAAAGGTGCCCTACGACCCTCACTCCGAGAAGTCACTGCTGCATCATCGACAACTGGATTGCTGCTCCCGATTCATATGCGCGACGTGTCAGTATAAGAATCCCCGGTTTCAGGCCTACTGCCCATTCTGTCAGATATCTTCCGGCCCGTCTGCATTACCTAGAGAAGGGCTCCGGCTGCCGCCCTCATACACCAAGACTGCGGCTTCAAGGGGTTCGAGAAGGGCGGAGTCGCCACCACCTTCATATGATGATTCGATAGCACCTAGGCGGCTGCCAGAGCAGAGTGCAGGCCCGCCAGCGGACACTGACGATACAGTTCACTTTGTGGGGTCTGAGGACTCGTTACAGTCATTGTCGCTGGCGTACAAAGTGCCCATTCCCGTCCTGCGACGCTACAATAACCTCTATTCTGACCAGCTCCTCGCCGCTCGCAAATGGATCCTCGTTCCGAAATCCCACTACACCGGCCCTCCTTTATCCACGCCACCGGATGCAGAAGAGGAAGAACGCAAGACAAAGTTGCGGAGGTGGATGATCGCCACCAAATGTGCGGACTATAATGTCGCCCAGCTATACCTCAAAGGCAGTGACCATAATCTGGAACTTGCCGTGGAGGCGTTCAGATCAGACGAGGAATGGGAGAAGAGTCACCCGCTGAAAGGGAAGGGGAAAGAGAGTGAGAGGCATAGACGACCATATGGAACGGGCGGGAGTATTTCTGGGCAGCTGCCATGACACCGTTGATGCCTTTCGACGAAGTGACGACCCATTGACGAGAAAATAACGCGGTGCAACAAGATATGCCTTCTCTGGTCCTCTCACGCATGCCGATTCTTGCATCTGGACAGATGTGGTCGTTCCAGGTATCTATCTACTCGGTCCCAGAAGCTCTCAATCGGTGTTGTCTTTACAGTGGGCTGGCGATTGCGTGTTATCCTGGGACTTTTCAGTTCCTTGCAATGATCCCTGCATATCACCGGCGAGGCCCCTGATTCAAGACGTTCGAGGGCGATGGCGGCTCCTGGAGGCTTTTGGGACGTTTGGTTTCTCGGCGGGTTGGATCACGAGAAGATCTCGCCACGACCAGAATCTTAAATCCTCTATCTTACCATTGCGGTCCGCAGCCAAGGGTGGCTTTGGCTTTGTCGCTATATCCCTCTGCCTTCCCGATCTCGTGTCGGAACGACCAATCCTGCGCTGTGCTCTGGCTTCGGAGGAAACTTCGGTCGGGATGTGACTGCGAGACCAGGGTCGTATGCAGACTAAGCGGCGTTTCAGGCGCCCAGACGACAACGCGGTACTCCAGACCTACTGTAGCTAGTCCAAGGCTTCGCAAAGCATTATTTGTAGCTCCTGCGCCGAGTACAGCTGCATCATTCCGGGCCGAGATTGTGTGTCCCTGAGTCACTCTCCTCCCTGGCTACGCATTCCCATTGATATATCTCGCGCCTCTGACTCACAGGTAGGTAGGTTCTTCCCACCCTCCAGGCTTCACGTCTCTACAAAATTGCTCTCGTGGCGGCAACTAGTGCCAAATAGTTCTATATGCCATGGCCATGTCCATCTACAACGTGTGCGCCCTCGTCGGGGCCTCGACCATCGGCTACCTTGGCCTGCAGCTGGGTTCCGCCCTGCGCTTCCACCTGCACGGCTCCAAGCTGCAGCGCTACCACCACGGCACGGACCCGTGGGTGCTCGTGACGGGGGCGAGCGACGGGATCGGGCTGGCGTTCGTGCGCGCGTTCGCGCAGCGCGGGTTCAACGTGATCCTGCACGGGCGCAACGCTACGAAGCTGGACAAGGTCGTCGGCGAGCTGGAGGCGCAGTTCCCGGCCGCGGGGTTCAAGACGCTGGTGCTCGACGCGGGGACGCCGGCGAGCGAGAGCTTCGACGCGACGGTGCTCTCGGCGGTGCAGGGCCTCAACCTGACGGTGGTGGTGCACAACGTGGCCGGGTCGGGCGAGCCGCAGTTCGACATGACGCTGTTCACGGGCAACTCGGCGCGGCAGTGCGACGGCTGGATCAACGTCAACGCGCGCTTCACGACGCAGCTGACGCGCCTGCTGCTGCCCGTGCTGCAGCAGCGCCAGCCGGGCCTGATGCTGTTCGTGTCCAGCGCCGTCACCGACATCACGGCCCCGTACGTGTCGCTGTACACGGCGGCCAAGTGCTTCATCGAGGGCCTGGCCAAGTGCCTGAAGATGGAGATGAGGCTGACCGGCCACGACGTCGAGGTCATGTCCTTCACCACGGGCACCGTCGCCACCGCCTCCTCGGGCAGGTCCGAGGCCGACATCTCCTTCACCGTGCCCAGCACCACCACCTTCGTCAAGGCCGCCCTCGACAAGGTCGGCGTCGGCAGCCCCAAGGTCACCCCGTACATCGGCCACTGGCTCCAGTTTGGCTTCATGATGATGCTCCCCGCCTGGGCCCGCGATCAGATGCTGCTTCGCCTCGTGAAAAAGGTGCAGGACGGGATTGCGAAAAGGGAGTGAAACCACTTGAGTGGATGGACGGATGGACCAAGGTTACTGAAGAGGGATGGAGTGGGACGGGGAATAAAGAGGGCCTGGCTGCGGCGTGTTGCTTCATTATGGGTGCTTTGTATCTCGAATATTCCCTGGGCTTGCTGCATGGATCGAAACCAAATCCAACCCGAAGACAACTGGGAATTGCTTCATTCCTTTCCCCTTCCTTCCCTCTACTTTCGAGGGTCACGTGTCGGTGCCATGGCTGCCGTGAAAGACCAGAAACGAAGGGCTCTGAAGGACATTGAAGGTCAAGAGAATTGTATTGTGAAATGGGTTATTAACCATAGCACATATCTGAAGGCGATCCTGCGCATCTGCTCTCGATATCGTAAAGTGGATATCGTACAGTGCTTTTGTCAAGTCTTGCGTCCTGATATTGTGTCTTCTAAACATGTTGTTTCGTGCACCAGCCCTCCACCATTGAAGCCCTCCTGCCTGCCGCCCACCGCGCGAAGCCAGCGCTCGATCGAATTAATACAATTAACATGAACAGAAATAGGGCCACCAGCAAAATACTGCTGTTCAGAGGGCGTTGAGGCCGAAGAGATAGCCCAATTCCCGCACACCGAGCCTCGACACCTCACGACCAGCTGATTCGTCAAGCGCAGTTTCAACAAGCTCGCGTTTCCGCTCTTGGAGCTGCAAGATACGGTCCTCAACTGTGAAACCTGAAGGGCTAGGAGCCTTACCAGAATCTCCTTCACCAATAAGAACCCGGTGAATAGTGACGTCTTTGGTTTGGCCAATCCGATAACATCGGTCCGCAGCTTGGTACTCGACGAACGGATTCCAGAAGGGATCAAGCATAATAACATGATTTGCCGCCGTCAGGTTCAAGCCTGCATTGCCGGCTTTCAAACTGACCAAGATCACCTTGCAGTTGGGGTTGTCGGTGAATTCGAGAACGGCATCGTTGCGGTCCTTAGCGCTCATAGACCCATCATAACGGACGTACTTGGAGAAATCTTTGTGTTTCCACAGAGGCAGCTCCACCAAATCAAGAAACGAGGTAAAATTGGAGAAGATGATGGTCTTCTCGTTCTCTCCTTTACTTTTAATTTCTTCCAGCAGCTCAATGGTGCGCGTGATTTTGGCCGAAGGATGGAAATTCTTCCTGAGCCGTTTCAAATACTTTCGTTTGGCGGCTTTGTTACGCATACCATCTTTCCGAAGCTGTGCAAGACTCTTTGATGGTTCTTTGGCTCTTGGCCTTGATCTTGACCTCGACCTCTCCTTCCCTTTCTTGGATTTGGATTTCGATGATCGGCTCTTCGGCTCTTTGTTTGATTCGTCCTCAGACTCGTCCTCAACATCATCGTAAACAATGAAACCGCCGAGATCGTCGCCCTCGTCGGATTCGTCGCTGCTATCGTCGTCCGAATCGGTATCCCCGTCCTCCTGCTCTCGCTGTTCCACTCGATCTGGACAGTGGATGCGAAGGAAACTGGTATAGTCCGTGACGTTGTTAACATCAATCCTTGCCCTACAATGAGGACAGACCGGAGGAGCGCCGTTGTTGTCGTTGGTGGCTTGTTCGACGAGCTGATTGAGACAGTCTCCACATATAGCATGCCCACAGAAAAACACCGACGGGTTTTCCGTGACATCAAAGCAGATCGGACATTCATAGGCGTCCAATTCCTTCAGCCGTTCAACAACCTTCGCGTCGAGCTGCTCTGCATTGCGAATTAGCGCTTCCGCATCTAGCTCTCCGCCTGGAAGTTGGATAAAATCTTTGCTCGCAATAACAAGGGCTGGATGACAGCAGGCCTGACGAAGTCGAAGGAGTAGTACTAAAGCGTGAGAGTAATTTCGGCCGAGGGTCCCTTTCTGCAGATACTTGTTCACTTGGATTTGCGCACTTGTCTCCAAAGCTGTGTAGAAATCGAGCTGATCTTGGTCGAAGGCGACTCGGTCCTCCCTAGTCTCTTTAGGAGGGAGCTGGAGAATTGGTTGACCATGTATCTTGGATTGCTTTGTTCGCCTCAAGAGGATAGCGCGAAGGAGTGCTTGAAGTGTTTTCATGGCCACTTCCTTCGGAGAATCATACCTGCCTTTGAGAGGGCCTCCAATAGTTCTCCTGAAGTTCTCCCACTCGTTATAGGGTCCAATTCGAGTGAATCTGATGAGGCTGAAGATTTCTTCGGTAGAGTTTTGCATCGGTGTCCCAGTAAGAGCCCAACGATACTCCGCCTGGATGCGACAGGCCGCAATGGCTGCCTTTGCATTTCTGTTCTTGATATTTTGTGCTTCGTCGAGTATCACACGGTGGAATCGTGATCTGTCCCCGAGGATAGGACAGTCCTCAGCAGCCGACGGTTGCCAATCCTTCAATTTTTTAACTTTTTCATCTAGGGCCATCTTGCGTTTCAGTTCTGATGTAAGCAATCCGTAGGTGGTGAGAACTACGTCGTAGGCCTTGAGAGCGGTCCAAGTAGCTTTGCGACTCTCTCCATGGAGAATGAAGACATTCAAGCGAAATCGCGGTCGAACCATCTTCTCGATTTCTCGCTTCCATTGATGCATCAGTGCCACGGGTGCCACGACAAGGGTGGGACAGTGTTTGTTTTGGGGTGGCGGGCGCTCCAGTATAAGCGCAATACTCTGTAGAGTCTTGCCGAGCCCCATGTCATCAGCTAGAATGCCACCTTTGTTGGTGCCTTCTTCCATCCGCTTCATCCATGCGAGACCGCTAAGCTGATGAGGCATGAGTGTCGCCTTAAGGCCTGGAGGCTGCTTTGGTATTTGATCCGCAGTGAGCTCTTCATCAGGCCTAATCTGCCGTAAAAGCTCTTTCAGCTGTTCCTGAGTTTGAGCCTCATCTCGATAACCGTATGTGGGATGTCCAAAGGAATTCGGGAAAGCAGGGCTCGTAAAAGGTAGATTTGGTTGGCCCGGGAACGAGGAAGGATATTGCTCGTCGTCGCTGGAGTCAGAAATTGTCAAATAATTGTAGGGCGCGATGGGTGCGGAGGGGATGTAGTTGTAAACCTGTTGCCCGCCGACGCTGCTGTAGGATTGCCCGACCGGGAAAGCTCCAGGCATTGCAGTTGGAAAGGTAGAGCCAGGGTCTGCTTTGATGGCTCTCGAATCCAAAGTCTCTGGCTTGACGAAGGTCAGCGGTTGAGTGCTGTTAGTCAAGGGTTCTTCTGTCCTGACAGGTTGAAGTGGTCGAGTACCGTCACGGGAGAATGAAGGCTGATTGACAGGAGGTCGATTGATGCTGCCATCCGTCTTGAAAAAGGATTGAGTATACTCAAATGGACGTGAGGCAACGGGTGGTATTGTATCTGAGCCCGCATGCTGAGACCACTCCTGTGAGAGCCGCTCCGCGAGTCTAGCATCGTTTTCTTCCTGCTGCTTTTGATGTTCGCGTCTTTTCCAGAAGTCCTGGTTCAGCTCAACCTCCTCCCTCGAGAACCCGCCGAAAAGGGGGTCAGCAAACGGATCATCTAGGCTGCCTAGACTGGCAGAAGAGGCGGCTGGGGATGGAGCAGCAGTGTGAGCTGAGCCAGGACTTGGACTTGTTCGTCGAGATTTGGAAGATTCTGGTCTGCCGTCACCGAGGCTGTCTTGTCTGTAACGCTTGCGATTCACCACTTCGTGGTTGGGTGGAGGCATAAGTTGGCTCGAGAAACTATCATTGTGGCGACTAACAGGACTCTCGTCACCCAAGGCCTCTGCAGTATGGTTTAGATTCCGGAGAGGCAGGCCGTCGTGGTGTTCCTGTTTCCGAGCTGGCAGAAGAGCCCGAACGTGTTTCTGCAACCTCCTAAGCTCCTTCTGTGTCGTCTTTCTGAGTTCGTCATCCTCGCTATTGTCCCCACTATTCTCATCCAGGCTCTCGAGGATTGCCTCCTTGAGAGCGATTTCGTCGCGGAGGTCTTCAATCTCGGCGAGAAGAGCAGGGTCGGTCACGCTGTCCATTGTGCTTTGAGGTGTTGTATCAGGTAGGATGCGTTGGCGTGGAGGGGTTCTTGAGGGTAAAATAAATTGATCAGCGAAAGTGGCGCAGGAAAGGCAACCTCTCGAGCAAGGCAACTCGCTGGTTGGGCGCGAATAAAGACTGCCTTATCATGAGCACAAAGAAGGTTTACCATTGAACGGCAGGAGTGAAGGGAATTTGACAGAAATAGTAGTCGAGGTCAAAGTCAAGAAAGACAATCGGTTGGCTTTATGTCTTGTTGCCTCGACAATTCACTTTCTGTCCTTTGTTGACTCGTGAAGTACCGACGTGACTTGACTTCGGCATGGCGCAGTCATTGGCGCAGTGAAGTGTCTTCATCCCACGCAGGAGACTCCCGCTCGATCTTCACATAACTTCAATGGGACGAAGAGGAGCAATTCGTGTTCACCATGTGGTGTGCACGTGCGAAAGTCATCTTGGAATGTGCGTTAGTTAAGTCGAGTCAACGAAGTTACGCGCCACCCCGCCGTGCAGACGCGTGTCACGTGTAAAGTGCCTCCGCCGATTATGCAAGCGCGTTGGGCAGAATGCCATGCGCCGAGTTCTAATTGTTCTCTCACACACTGAGTACATACATCGACCCTGAAATTATTAAGCGAGGCTGGACCGAGATGTCTCAATCTTTCAATACATGGCCCAAGCACCTTTGTGTGCTGCTTCACCTCCATAAGCCTAAGCTACGCGTCCCCTGACCTGCTTAATATCCTTCACGTAGATATTCCTCCACATGGCGACAGACACAATGGCAAGAGCTAGGAAAGCCGTTGAAGCAATCAGCATCAGCTTCTGCGTATCTCCATATGCTCTGTTGATGGCCTCTCTCGTGGGGGTCCCTGGGGGATAGGACGATTGCACAACCAGGCTGCCGTAGATGCTGTCGATATCACCTTGCGCCGAGGCCGGCAGATAGGTCATCAGTTTGTTGCGAAACTCGCCTGTCCAGATCGCCGTTGCAATGGTGGATCCGATTGCGCCACCGACTGAGGAGAACATTCCCTCGATGGCAATGACGACCGCGACGTGTTGGTGAGAGGCTGCAGCCATGACAGCAATTTGTTCGCAAATGACCAAGGTCCCGCCAGCAAACGCAATGAAGATCTGGCACATGATGATGTATCCAATGTTCGTATTGGGCTGGCGAAAATGCAGCATGAGCGCCACTCCCAAGATGGTCAGTGGCACGCCGAAAAACAGGGCGATGTTCTTAAAGTGTCCACGCCATCGGATATACATGCCCACGGGGATCGCGAAGAAACAGGCCCCAATGCTGTAAATGTTGGTGATGTAGGATGCGTGCGTGACTGTCTGATTGTTCACCACGATGAGGAAGGAGTAAAAGAAGGCGTCCCATATATAGAAGCTGACGAAGAGGACGGCGGAAAGGATGTTGGCACCTATGACGGTCCGATCGGTCAGGAGCTCCCAGGGAATGAACTTTTTGGGTGCCCAGAATTTCTCCCACAGACCAAAGCAGACAAGCAGAAGCCCGCCGAAGATGATCATGCAGATGATCATGGGCGAGCGCCAGCCATGAGGCTGGTAGGAGTAGAGGGAGAAAGGTAGCAGGAACAGCGCCAGTCCAGCCGTAATCAATAGCAAGCCGAAGAGATCGAACTCGATAGCATAGTGTTGGATGGATTGAATCATCGTTCGGTTGCTCTCCCGGACGGGCATCAGACCCGCTTTCTTCGCTTTTCGATAGTTGAAGATAAAGAGGAAGAACACTGGCATGCAGACAGCTGGAGTGACAATGGCAAATGTGCCAAATCCCCACCTGAAGCCAGCACCGTCAAGGAAGCGTTGCGCGGCCGGACCTCCTGCCCACGTGGTTGCAATATATGGCGAAGAGGCGAAGGCGAACATCAAACCTCGATTCTTGAGGTGTGAGGTATCGGCAATGAAGATGCTTAGCGCGTACCCGACGCCATTATAGCCAACCCAGTAAAATACTTGTGCAGCGGCGTAAGTCTCGACATTCTGGCACGCTGCCATCATAATCAAACCGATGGTGAGCAGGGCTACCATTAAGATGAAGCCCTGTGGACGGCCCCAGATATCCAAGATCTTTGCAAGCGGGAGTTTGCTCAAGCCACCAATGATCTGAGAAAGGATGCCCGTTGTGGCTGTCAGTGAATGAAGTTGAAAGTCGCTCGTGACATAGGGAGTCAAAACCCCTGTGATCTGCTGCTGAAGCGAATCGACAAAGTAAATGAGAAAGATCCTATATTGCCGTGAGTTGCTTTGCTCGAAATCCTCACATTAGTGCAGACATACAGAGTGTAGGCAAGGAAGAGTTGATTTCTACCCCATGCGGATGTCGTAGCTTCAATCTTCTGGACGCCGACCTGAGCATTCTCATCGACGCCGATAGAGCCGGAATCGGCAGAGCCAGGTCTTTCTGAGGTCACACGGGCTTCTTTCGAGTCAGAGGCTGAAGCGGCGGCTTCTGAGTCGCTACCCCGCTGGGTGACAGCTACCGGCACAAAGTTGGGCTTGACCCAAGCTGAATTGAACTTCATGGTGAGGGGTAGAGGATTGAAAGAGAGTGGAATGCGAGAAGAAGGGAGCGTTGCACACGGTTTTAATACCTACCCTGGACACCTACAGGAATCTTTTTCTATACCCTTGTGCGGAACTCATAGCTTGGAACCTGAAATGGGGCCACATAGAGATACTCGAGACTTCAGGGTTGCACTGGATACCACAAGGAAGGGTCCCTCATGGTTACACGCGAGCTTTTCGATGGGGTACTAGCGGCTCGGCCATATTAAACAGGGGACCATGCTAGGATGAGCTCTTGGGTTTCTAGATCCCGACGTACTGTAGGAACCTTGGGCTGTGAGCTGAGCACCAGCTCCCAGCACTTGATTATCAGGAGATAGCGATAGCCGGCGTGACGCCCAAGCATGGGATGATCGAGGGGGGCATCCAGCAAAGAGGCAGCGGAGATGAGCAAAGTGGAGGATCAAAGCACCAGCAGGAGTGAAAGAGGAGCGACAAGAAGCCAAACGCTCGAGGCGACGTTGATCCAGATCCCAGAAGGGACAAGCGCGGTGAAAACTCTGATCTTATCTGATTTCTGGAATGATTTGATTGATCTAATCTGATTGATGACAGAGCTATTCCGTAACAGGTAAGAAGCACCTGATATGGGAGCTAGGCCTAAGAGAGCAAGTATCAGCAGAGCTAGGTACGTAGTGCCTCGCGCACCGAAGACCGATATTCCCTTTTTTGGAGACTCACGCTATGGCCACGATTCTCTTAAGTCTACAAGTACAGCACGAAGAAAACGCGAAACTTAATTAGCCTGATACAGGTTCGACGAATCTCGTGATTCCATTGTCCGTCGTGGAAGAGCTAGGAGAATAATATAGTTGTAGGTGTCCGGTCAACTCCAAGCAGAAGATACCACTATGCTCTCTCCTGGATGTGGCGCCCCTTTGCGCCAGTCCTCATTGTCTCGTCGGCGGGACTGAGTATTCCCACGACAAAGTCGCAGAGAATCCTCTTAGATATATATAGTCCCCACTGGATCATAGTGGAAGAACGGAGTCAGGAGATGGCGGTGCGTTCCACATGTTTAAGTCATTTACGCTCGCCATCTCATTTTGGGAGACACTTGAATCGGCAGACACTGAAAGCAATGAACAAGACCATCGCTTCAAGTGCCTTCGGGACTTCAAGATAAGCTCTGTTGTGCGATAGGAAGCCATGTCTCGGATTTATTCTGAACTCCTCCAATCGGTTGTAGATGATCGACCGCCATGGCCAAAATAGTCACTCTTCAATGGAGCTTGGAGTGTCGTACATGTTTTGGCGACTTGGCTTTGTAGGAGAGGATACGTCGCCTCATAATCATAGGTGCTATCGCCACGGTCACAGATACTCGTATTAACCGTGATAGTAGTGCTTCCAGGTAGTGATGACTCCTTGTCACTTGGAAGCGTGGCTTCGACTTACATATGCTTGAGGTTCGTCGTTTGAGTCAACGGAGCGGCAAAGCGTCACGATGCAAATGGAGGAGCATCGCAGGTGTATTTTGCCGAATGGGCGACATCTCAGGGGTCAATTGTCATCAGGTTCAAGGGACTCTCGACGCGGAGGCTTACGCCTCCGTGAAATGCCTGACGAAGAGCCTCGGCGTACCGTGGACCCGCCACCGTGGTACTCACGAGCTGCGTTCGAGTCGACATCGAGATCGGTCAAGCCCCGGGCGATTTCCCCGGCGCTGTCTTCTCCTGCCTGGGAACTCCTCCTGTGGCCTAATGAACGGTCGTCGGGCTTGTGATACGCCTCGCGTCTCTCCGTGGACGGACGCCTGTCCGTGTGGAGTCGGGTAATCGTCTCAGCCTCAAAACGTCGCGAATCTTGCTTCAGCTTTGCTATATCGGTCTAATGCAGTGAGTGCGTGAAAGAAGAAGATATTTAGCGAATCTGCTCACAGGAGTAGGATAGCGGAGGTCTTGTCCTTCAATGAGATATCCCTCCTTGCCATCCTGCATCGAGTTAGTCGATTAGACTGAGCCGCACTTCTCATTTGTTGGTACGCTTACCCTGGAATGCGATTCTACCGACGTCTGACGGCCAAACACACCTCTCTCATGGTAGAGCTTTAGAACTTCTAACGAGATACCTTCGCTGGGAAGAAAAAACTCTGGTGGTCGTGCTTGGGTCGAGTCGGCCCTAGCGCCTGATCTACTGCCTCCCGGGACGTAGCTAAGTTCACCCCCGGCGTTCTTTCCTTCTCCAGGCGGGAATCGACTTTGACGAGTTATATGGTCGGTACGTACGGCGCGGGCGGTTGTGACTGGAGTTTCCAAAGTGTCTGCTTGATCGTCGTTGTCTCCTGGGGGCATTAGTGATAGCCTTGGATCACCGCCTTGCGGGCGTAGCGCTTGGAGGGCAGATGGACTGCCCAGCGTCTGAGAGGTGCCTCGACTTGTGTAGTCTCCTTGCGACATTTCATATAACTCGGCCAGCGCTCGGCGCATCGTTGCGTCGCTATAAACACCCTTTTCCCTGGCTTCATCATCCATGCTCCTCTTGATTTCGCAATCAAGGAAATGAACGATCCACTGATGTCTAATCTTTGCCGTATATTCTTCTGCCGATAGTGTTTCCCTTACTCTTGCCTCGTATTGGCGTCTTGCCGCCGCTCCTCGGCGCACCTGATCCCCATCCACAAATCGCTCTTCGAAGACGTTCCAATATCCCTTGCCACAAGGGCAAGTGATGTCCTCGAGCGGGACGTCAGGCTCATACAGGAGTCCGCAGCCGCTCCCGCACATGATGATGAAGGGGGAGGATCGGAGATATCCTCGGGACGGGTCGAAGCGCACGATGACGGTATACCGTTCATGGAGATAGACTGAGGTGGTTTCTCAGAATGGGTTTTGGGCGAGCAATGCAGTCGATCTTGTTCGTGGACTCGTCATGGTAACAACGCAGTGACAGTGAGGCTGAATCTTTTCAGACATTGAAAGACTCCGGGTCTATCAGACTAGACGCCACCGTCGAGAGTTGTAACTGGGCAAGTACAAACAAGCAGAATATGCCGAATGCGAGAGGGCAACCAGGATTACGCCTTGGGTATGAATGCAGCTTGGACATGAGCCACTCGCCGTCAGTCCACCGCAACGCAGACCTGGGAATCTTCCGCCGAGGGAGGTGTGAATCGCTCTGCCATTGGGTCATGCTGGGAGGGTGAGCCTCTGGAACCCCAAACAGTGCAGACATGCCGGGCCAAGATACAGCCATGTGTTCACTGCTGTGTCGTCGAAGATGTACTTGCGCTAGATGGCTAGAAGAGAAAGTACGGGGTATATAGCTCTGACTTGTCGCCCGAATCTTCAAGGAATCAGGCATGGATTGAGAACATCACTCCATCACTCCCCTTGACCTGAGCGGACAGGCCAGTGAGGCTGATGAGAAGCGCCATGGAGGACACCGCAGCGAAACTGTGGAGATTGGCGTGGGAAGTAAGTCCCCCGTGAAACTCTCGTCCGGGTACCCACACGCGCCCCAACAGCGCTAGCCTCACTCCCCGGAAAGCCCACAACAGGTGCTTTTTAGCTGCCACGCTGCGGCCTACGGAGCCCACGAGATCGGCGGCCCTGGATTTATTTGCCCTTGATTTAATGCCCTGGATTACGGGCTCATCACATAGGCTGACAGTGCAACACAAGGATGTGCGTCAGAGTCAGGTGTTCAATCTCCACCTAAAGGGTGTCAACATCGACGACATCGTCGCTTGGGCTTCGCCTGACGATATTGAAACCTTTGTCCGACATTGGCTTCCTGCAGTCTCTGAGAAGGTCACATCTAGCCCACATCGCGTCCGGGGAAAACGGCACAAGCTCAGTCGGATCATCCACACGCTCCAGCGCTATGCACCAGCATTCGATGCCTTTTTCCAGCAGCAGCCGGTCGTCGCTACAATCACCTGGGGAGTGTGCAGATTCCTGGTCCAGGTATGTAGATCACCTGGCGGGTGGTTCACTTGACTACCTCATCATTCCCTCCACCACTTTGCACCTTGGTGCAGGTGTTAGACAGAGTGTGGGGGCATGTGGTTGCTGGGTCCTCACACTGGCTTCTGACCTCGAATAGGCCGCCGACTCGTGCCATGAGCTCTCCGAGAAGATTGGTGAAGTCTTGACGACCATCTTCAGCCAATTCGACCGATACCAGCGCGAAGCCGCACTCTTTCCCTCCCACCAACCAGTTCGTGCCTCTATTCAAAACTTATTCGCCAGCATCATTACCATCATCGCGGTGTCCCGAGCATACCGAAATAGGTCCAATATTCGTCGGTTTCTCGTGGCAGCCTTCTCCGACCCATTTGAAGAAGCTTTCAAGACCCTTGCAAGGGCAATGGACATGCTGGACAAAGAGCTGCGAACGGCAGCCATTCAAGGTCGGACAAATTGGCTGTGCGCAAAAGACGAAACTGACACGCGGACCACAGCACAAAAACATGAAAGTACCGCGCAGCGCCTGTATCGCCATCGTACGCCCGCCCTTTCCCTGTCTCCAAATGATTTTGCAATGTTTTTTTTAACGGCCCCAGACTCTACATCAGTGTTGAAGCAGATTGAAGAGAACACGCGTCAGCTTCCAGGTAAGCAGCTATTCAGCCCTTTCACCCCTTCACGCACTTGGGTTGTTAGCTGCTGATTATGTCTAAATTCAGACGCTCTCAAAATGGTGGGAGTTGCCGGGGAGGCCACACCTGTCGCGTTTGCTCACCGCCTTCCAGGTATGCCACGCCTTTCCTTATTCTTGACCACAATGCAACGTCTGGCAAATCCCAGCGGAGACGCCTTTTTGCCCTGCAGAAGCCAGAGCATAGGTTCCACATGACATTGTGTCTGAGGCGGACTTTGCAGGCCTCGGGCATCTTTATCTACCGTTAGCCGAATTGTTGTTCTACGTGTGTAGCTCAATCGAGCTTAAGCTTTCCTTTACTGCAATGCGGCCCGGCAAAGTTGATGAATTGACAGAGTCCCTCGCTCAACAAATGTCGAATTGGTTGGGAAAATCAGTGGTCTCGATTGACCAAAAATCCGCGGCCGCTCCGGGGACATGCGAATCAATATATTCTTGGAACGTATGGAAGGACTGGGAGGCTGCAAAGTGCGCTGTGCCTCTCTTGCTCAGCGGGGTAACAGGTAGCTTTCCTCTCATCTCACCTCAACACCTTGTGCCAACTGTCTCTTAGGAGTAGGCAAAACTACGACTGCCAAATCGATCCGCGATCGGTACCTCCAAAGGAACGGCTTTGCTGCCCTGTCCTACTTCTTTGATCCTTCGATTGAGGCCACTATTACAGCCAAGGCCTGTGTGATTTATCTCCTATGGCAGCTGTGCGGACAACCGTCCGTGGGAGAATTTCGCGAATCGGCGTCTTTGTGGCACGCCGTGTCTCCCGCTTTTAATACGTTCAGAGCTGCCGCTGATTGCAAATTCAGTCATTTGCTGCAAATCTTGGACGCGGCGTTGGAACTGTTGGGACCATTTCTGCTGATTGTGGGCTCGTTGGATCACTGTCGAGAGGGAGAGGATAAGGATGAGCTAATCGATTACCTCGTGAAGCTCGCTGCAAGGTCCAATGCACAGGTCATTCTCACATCTCTCACCGATATTCCACTACAGAGATTGGGAAAGGAATTCTCTCATATCCGCCTTGAACGCAACTTGGTCGAACCTGATATCTACCACTTCGTCACGGACGAGATTAATCGGACGCCCAAACTTCACAAACTACGTGCCGAAATTCTCCATGCCATTTTGAAGCATAGTGATGGTAACTTCCTGCACGCTAGATTGCTGATAGAGGATCTGAAAACTTCGCCGAATACCACTACCTTGAAAGCTAAAATGTCGTCCTTTGCCAGCAAGGTCCAGGCCGAATACGAGCGACTGTTCACAGAAAGGAATGATCAGATGAGCACCAGAGCTCGGGAACGTCGTGACAACATTCTCCGCCTTGTCCTCGCGTCTAAACAACATCAGAAAGCGGAGGCCATTTCGCTTTTCATGGCGGTTGACGATTTGACTTGCACCATCAACTACGAGAACGTCGACTTTGAGCCTGCTGCCGAGATTGTGCAGTTATGTCACCCTTTTATCCAGAGATCAGCCTCCGACCATGTCCTACCTATTCATGAGTCAGCCAAGCTTTTTTTGCTGCAGCAACATCTGGCGGCGGATCAGTCGGATCTATTTCTTGCCCGGAAGTGCCTAGCTGTGCTCTGTCAAGACCAGTATCGGAACCCACAAGCAGCTGTGGACTTGCTGAAAAAGCATATATTGGAGATCACCACCGAAGGCGCTGACGGACAGCCGACCACCGGAGATTCATCGGTGTATAGGTACGCTGCACTATACTTCCAGGAGCACGTTACAGCTGTATCGGAACCTCCAGACGATCTCATTGAAATGTTGGCTCGCTTTCTTCGAGGGACGGAATATGTAACCTGGTCTGAGAATCTTTTTGACCTCAAGCAGCAAGCTAGCTTTGGCGGTCATCTCACAGTTCTTAGCCGGTTGTCCACGTGGAGAAAATTCCTCCCTGCGCCTATTCAAGCCCGAATTCCGTTGGACGATTTCTTTGAGCAACCACACTTACGCCTAGCACAGATACTGAAGGTTGAGTTTAGTGATAAGCTTCTCCAATACCTTCCTCTAGTTCGAATTGGGGATTTCTTCAATGCAGGGGGTCAATCGACGGAAGCGTGGCAGAAAGCATACGATAGCAAGGCAATGGTCGTTTCTGGAACTACAGAGCTCCTGGGAAGTGAAGACCCCATTGTCCTCAAATTCAAAGCGTCTCTGTTACGAGAATACTTCTGGCAGAAGCGATTTTCCGAAGCCTTACAGGAGCTCTTATCATTGGTGGAATCCCTGCGCCGTGTGGTAGGAGATGAGAATGTCGACTTGTATATGACTCTTTGGTTGCTGGGATGGGCCTATTTCTGTTTGTCACGATTCGAAGAGTCATCTGATGCATATCAGGAGGCTCTTCGCGGACTTGAGAGGCTCCTTGGAAGCTCGCATCGCAACTATTTAATGGTCCAACTCTACGAAGGACATCGACTGGAACAACTGTTCCTGTTTGGAGAGGCCATTTTGTTCTACTCCAATATTGTGGAGGTATTGAGCCCGATAGTTGGCCAGATCAACGGATTCGTGGCTATGGCTCAAACAGCGTTGGGCGCAGTTCAACGAAAGCAGGGGAACTATGCTGAAGCACAGAAGAATCTTTTTGACGGGTGGGGAGGTCGAAAACAAATTTTCAGTATCAATGTCAACGTGTGCCTGGATGCGGCCTTTCAGCTTGCCCTGTTACTCAGGGATAAAGGTGATGGGGCGTCATGCCTGGAGCTACTCGAAGAGGTCTCTAATTCGTCGGTCCTGGAACAGGACTTTGAGCGGCGCTGCCAGATGGTGCACATTCGTTCTTTGGTCGAATTCGACAATGGGGAATACGACATCCCCAAGTTTGCCCTCCTCAACCTCCTCGATCAGGCCACTGGCAGCAACCGAGACAGGAACAATCGGGAATTACTTTGGGTTCGCCTCACCCTTGCCGACGTCATGGACAAACACGGAGAAGACAAGGATGCCTTGATGTTGTTCTCTGAGCTTGTTGAGCCTCGAGAGGGAGATGCAACTCAGCTGATTGATGAACCGGAGCCTCCCTCGCAGCTGCGTCTCGCCAGAGACGCACTGAAACTTGTGAGAAAAGCTCAACTGAGCGAGAGTGACAATCTTTTACGAGCAAATAACCTTAAATGGGTGCGGGACTCCGACTTCTGGATCCTCGGCGAAGGCGGTCCCGTCACTGACACGGCAGTGATTGCTCCGATTAAGACATGAATCCCAGAGGGAAGATGACGAAAGCTACGAAACACATCTACAATGGGGAGGATTCCCAGCACCCGAGAGCCAAAATGGGACACCAGTGCCGTTGAGAGACCCTTGCTCTAGGTCTCCTATCACGCGTGGAATATAAATAACAGTCTCGCGCGAATGGCCTTCGCTCACTGGCCTCTATATGAGAAGACGGATGCTCTGAGCGATTCACACCACCCGTATGGTCGTTGCAGGGCTTGAAGGTTTCGTTGGTTCGCTTACAGACTGATACCCAGACCTGCGTCGTCGGAATTCTGTTTGTGGAGCGTTGAGCCCGGGATATATTCATCATGTTTAGTTGAAAGCAGAGTCAATGCTCGGTAGGTCTGGCCTCCTGGCCGCTCTTGATAAGGAGTATTAGGAGAGTAATGTGATTCTGGTGATTCTGTCGGGCTTGCATATCTAACTTGAAAGCATTCAAAGTCTCCTTCAACACGGAGATATGGTTGCAAATGTCGAAAACTTCACCTAAACACCGACTTGATCAGGTTATGACCTTACCTAGGTATGTATGGGATGCTGGGGGTGTCGCTCGAGCGTGACCAGGATTTGGCCAGAGCTATCCCACGACGACGAGGCTGTGCCAACCACTACCCCTATGTCATATAACCCCTTGTCTCAATGGGCTCTAAAGGTCATGCTATCATGCCACGGTCTTCTAATGATATCCATTGCACACAGCATGTCCATTTTCACCTCCTGTGCAGGAAAATTGCATCTTGTAGCGGACCCTCCCACAATCCTGTGCGTCAACCCGCTCCATAGTGGCTCCGCTGGCCGACTCAATATACCTCTCGTCTCCTCGTGGCAAGATGAACACCACCTCCTTCCACGGTGGGACGAAGACGTTGTCGGCGCCAGCCGCAAGCCCGACTGTCACTTTTTCCTCGGTGGAGCTGTACGTCACCTGGAAGGATGAGATCTCTGGACGGAGAGCGAGACCGTCGTCCTCGTACCAGGTGGAGGTGAAGCTTCTCCCATGCGAACTGCCCTTGGGCGGGAAAATTTCGAGGCCGCGGTAGTCGTCCTCGGGAAGAGCTTTGCATTCTGCCTTGGTGTCGCCGGGCATTCGAGTTTGCACGCCTTTGCCCACGGGGATCGCTCCACCGATTTTGGCGAAGATCGGGATGCTTTCTCTCCAGGGCGACGAGACGGACACCCACTGGCCGGACGCGTGGTACTCATGGGGCGCATTGAGATTGACGTAGCCATAATCGAATCCCCCCGCGCGGCGTGGGAGGTACATTCGGGCCATATCGACACCCGGCCGATACACACCGCCCACTAACAACGTGTCTCCAAACCAGTACTGCTCCTCGCCGGACTTGAGCGGCTTCGTCCACACTTCTGGATCAGACTCGTAGCCCCAGCCAATCCATCTCTGGGGTGGACTTGCCGTCCGGTGGCTCTCCAGGCCGAGGGAGTAGATGTAGGGCATGATCTCGTAGCGTCGCTTGATTGCCTTTCTGATCATGGGCGTGATCTCGGGATACATCCAGGGCTCAATGACCTCTCCGGCTTGGTTGTCCTGGGGAGATGTCTTGAAGCAGTTGATGGCGAAGCGGATCTGGTGGCAGCCAAGCTGGACCCAGCGAAGCAACAACTCGGGAGAAGGCTGGGGCCCTTCGAATCCGCCAATGTCGTGGCCATAGCAGTGCATCAGGCTGACCCCTGCGGTCAGAGATATCGCGTTCGCCGCCTTCATGCTTTCCCAGCTGGTCATATTGTCCCCGCTCCACGAGCTGCACGCATACCGCAGAGTCCCGATGCTCGCGCTTCGCGTCAGGACAAAGGGTCGAACGCCGGGTTCTGCTCGTAGCAGACCCTCGTAGGAAGCTTTGGCCATCAGCTCGGTATGCATAGCACGGCCCCAGAGTCCGACTCTGTCTGATCCCCGGTTGTCGCCTGGAGGGACGGTTTCTAGGGCCATCTTCCATTCGTCATTCGGCAAAGTGTACTCGTTGTTGTCGTTCCACATTGCATCGATGCCTTGTTCTTTCAGTCTCTCAACTCCGCGAGCCCACCATTCATACGCCGCTGCCGAGGAAAAATCAAGGTGGCTTCCCGTACCACTTTCGCCGCCACCAGCACTCCACAGACGCATTTCCGCAGACTTTCCGGTTTTATGGTCCGTGAACAGGCCTCGATTCTTGGCCAGATACTGGTAGTCCGGATGCGATGCAAGGACAAACGGCTTGATGTTGGTCAGCAGCCTGATCCCCAGAGCGTGGTACTGGGCGATCCATTTTTCGGGCTCGGGAAACCGGTGCTTGTTCCAGGTGAACACGTTCCTCACCCGGGGTTCCGTTTCGGCGATGGAGTAGCCCGAACTCATCTGGTGCGCGGAGCAGGGAATGTCATGCTCCTTCAGCTTTTCAGCGAAGTCGAGCAGCGTCTGGTAGGCCGGAGGATCGTCCATCATCGTGTACCGATACCCCCCACTCAGGTACCCGTATGCCCAGCGAGGCGCGGGGAGCGGAAAGCCGGCGAGTTCTGCATAGCTTCGAACCACGTCCTTCAAGGTCCGTCCCATGATCAGGTACTCCTCGAGCCCGCCGTAGTCTTGCCGGTAGACCTTGAAGTGGCCCCAGAGGCCGTCGATCTCTGAGCCGACCGACCACGATCCTCGGCTGTGGCTTGTGGAGACCATGGCCACGCAGCCGTTGGGAGTCGCCTTGATGAGCAGTGGCATATGCTTGTACATGGGATCCGTCGCATATGCCTCGTACCCGAAGCAATCCGTGGCAGACACTTGGAAGTACCGGGCCGTGAGATCCATCGGCGCCGATTTCTCTCCCAGTCCCACGTGGAGGGCTCTGCGGTCATGCTGGGCGTAGTGAGCGACGCCCGGGCCATCGACGACATAGGAACGGAATGCAAGGTCAGAATGCAGAATGTCCTTCGACCCCAGCCAGCCCAAGGATACAACCGGCGCGTGGTTCCAGTCGACCGATGCCCTGACGTCGCCGAGCTCAAAGGAGCAACTTGACTCACTGACCTGGTTGGAGTTGATGGTGACACTGTCGAGCTTCCTCTCCAGCCGGGGTATTGACGGGTATGGAGGGAGTGGATGTGAGTCTGAAGTAAACGTCGTCCTGAAGACGTTGGGTCGGACGGCCTCGAAGGTAAAACTAAACGGCGTTTCTAGGTCTTCCGACTGAAGCTGAATCGCTGCTGGCGTCTTCAACTTCGAGTCGACCGGCCTGTACGATTTTGGGATGCTTTCTAGCTGCGGCATCTTGCCTACCGAGAGAGAGAGGGGAATAGGGGCAGGGAACAATGGCACGAAGGACGTTGAGAAGAGCACTGTGACGACAAGAGAACTGCGATATGAGGGTCTGTGAAAGGATGGTACTTAACCTTGAGGGTCTACAGTCTTCCAAGAGATCATCAACTCCCACGTGCTTGTCTCATTGAGCTGCATGCTACCTCTCGACCCTTCGGAGCGAGCAAGCGAGCGGTTGAGCAGACGAACGTCGGCTTCGAGGCGTTGCAGGGATCGGACTTCGGCTGCCAAGTGCGATCCCTGCAATCGGCTCTACTAACATCCCAATCATGAGGCCTGATGTCCTCGCTAGCCTCGCTGTTGGCGCACACATGCCGATGCCGTTGCCCTGCTCTGGTGCACTGTCCCCCGCGTTGGTGGCGTCGCCGATCGTCCGTCATGCTGGGACTAGCAAGAACCTGTCGCTTGGGAAATTGTCTGGAGGAGTTTCTGGGATGAGCTGGGGCTCCCATACGGAGTTCGTTCGCTTCCCCGGGCATTTGGGGCATGGGTTGGATACAGGTATGCGTCCTCGCTGTCGGCTGACGGGCCCGAATGCTTTGGACGATGCAACGTTTCGTCTGATGGGTATTTATCCTGGCCAACCTCCATTTGTGCGATCAGCGGCACGGTGTATGCAACATCTCTCTTCCCAGCCTGCACCGAAGGACCCTCTCCTTGTTTGATCCCCCCGTCAGTGCTTCCCAAGGCCACGGCGCACCTCTCAGAAACCATGGAAGACATCGGCGTCAAGACACCCACCGACCATGTCGAAGGCAAGGTCGACGTGGGCAACTTGAAAAACGACAAAGCGAACCAGATCCTCAGCGAGGCCGCCGGACAACGCATCGTCCTCACGCCCGAGAACAACTCGAGGGTGCTGAAAAAGATCGATCTCTGCATACTCCCCGTGGTACTGGGGATCTATTTCCTGCAGGCCCTGGACAAGGCCACGTTGGCGTACGCTTCGGTGTTTGGCCTCGTCGAAGACACCAATCTCGTCGGGCACGAATACTCCTGGCTGGGCGCGGTCGTCTACCTGGCGCAGCTGGTGGCGCAGCCGTTGATCGCCTATGCATTGGTCAAGCTGCCGCTGGGCAAATTCCTCGCCGTGATTGTCTTGCTCTGGGGCGTTTCCCTGTCGGCCATGCCAGCCGCGCACAACTTCGCGGGGTTGCTGGTGTGTCGGTTGTTCCTGGGCTTTTTCGAGGCTGGCGTTGGTATGTTGTGCTCGCTCTCGGTTACATCTCTTGCTTACCGGATGGGGCAGCCCCTGCTTTCATCGCTCTCACCCAGATGTGGTGGCGCCGGCGCGAGCAGCCTGTCAGGCTCGGAGCCTGGTATGCGATGAACGGCATCACCAACATCTTTGGCTCTCTGTTGACCTACGGAATTGGCCACATCCACTCTAGTTCACTTAAGCCCTACCAGGTATGCCCATACGTCCTTGGAGATCGGAAGCAAAGACGTAGTCTCTGACAAGATGGGCAGATCATCTTTCTGTTCTTTGGCTTGATCACCGTGGTTTTCTCCGTGGTGGTTTGGTTTTTCCTCCCAGACTCGCCCATCACGGCGCATTTCCTCAAAGGCGAAGACAAGTTGGTCGCCATCGAGAGGTGAGACAGCCTTAGCATTAACAGGAGACTCGAGCTAATGCCGGCCAGACTGAGGGCAAACAACCAGGGTGTCGAAGGGACCGAGTGGAAATGGGCGCACGTCAAGGAGGCAGCCCTCGACATCAAAACGTGGCTCTGGGCGGCCATGATGTTTGCCATTTCTGTGCCGAGCGGTGGCATTTCGACCTTCGGTCCGCTGATTGTGAAGAACTTTGGCTTTGACCAGTTCCAAACCATTCTCCTCAACATGCCCTTTGGTGCCGTCCAGCTGATCGCCACCATGGGCGGTGCCTGGGCTGCGACGGCCCTGAAACTGAAGTCTCCCGTTCTGGCATTCCTCAGTCTCCCGCCCATTGCGGGCTGCGTCATGCTTTTGCATCTCTCGCGAGATGCGTCGGCCAAAGCGCCATTGCTGGTGGCGTACTACTTGGTAAGTCCCTCTCCACGCCGGCTGGCCCAGGCTATAGTTGACAGAAAGTCCAGATCTCGGTCTACCCCGGCATCAGTAAGAGATCCTGTCCCCTTTCTCCTCCTGTCCATATCACTAACAAATTCAGCACCGTTGATCTATTCCTGGTCGGCAGCAAACACGGCTGGGGAGACAAAGAAGAAGGTATTTGATCCCCCAAGACGCCGGTTAAGTAGCCAAGGCTCACACGGATGACAGGTCACGACTGGCGCGCTCTTCATCGCCCAATGCGCCGGCAACGTTCTCGGACCAAATCTATACACTACCGGTGAAGCACCGCTCTACCACAGAGGATTGTTGTCCAAGTACGTGGAGAAACTGCATATTGCGTGGAATAGTGGACGTGTCAGTGCTAACCTCTGCCAAATCACAGTCTCGCCCTGTTTGTCGTGCTCATTGGCCTCTACGCCGCCCAGGTCGGTTACTTGGTGGTCCTTAACAAACGGCATGGCAGGACCAGAGAGAGCATGGGCAAGCGAGCAGTCCTGGTCGACAAATCCATGAACCGGGTTCAAGCAGCGGCAACGGAGGGCGCGGCCGAGGATCAGGACGAAGACATGACCGGCCACCATGCATTCGATGACAAGACCGACTGGGAGAATGAGGATTTTATTTTCGTCTACTAGTTTACAGGCAGGCTGCAGGCTTCGACGGGTTTCTTACTCGGGTGTGAAGTAGCTGCGAAGGGCCCTGATAGCACCAGAATGGCCAAAACCGTCCGTGTTCTCTTTCGCATTATCGTAACCTCAAGGAAGTGCAAAGACCTCGTAAGGAACACTGCGGGCACCATAAGCCCCTGGTGCTCCAGTTAAGCATTGCTAAATTAGCGAGCCGGTCTCTTGTATAGGCGTCTCCTCTCTATCCCTGCATTCTCATTGAATACCTTAGGGAGTAAATATCCCCGCCTCCTCGGTGCCATTTTACCGAGGAGCAGATTCTAGACTTCAACCCAAAACCTTTCGCTCCATATACTTGGAACACCGACAGCTTCCATCTCAGAAAAATGTTTCAACAATCCTCGCGCCGAGTACTATGGATGACGCAGCGGTTGCATCTGTGGCTATTGGCAAGAAGAGAATCCCAGTAAGTCCCATATTCCCCGACTTATTTCTCCTGCTCTGCCCGGATAGAGACGTTAGATGTTGACTGTCCCCCCAGAAGGCGTGCGGCTCGTGCAGAGCGAGCAAAGTGAAATGCAACGGAGAAAGACCTTGTTCCCGGTAAGGGCCTAAAGAAAATGTTCCGAGTCTCTTTTGTTTACGTGCCAGAAGATGTCAGAATCTCAAGAAGGTCTGTGTGTATGTCGAGAGACCTCCAGACCCCCATGAACAGTGAGCAATCCTGGTCCCCCTGTCCTCGGGCCTCTTTCGCTGGTCCTTGACTTATCTGTACAAAGGAAGATCGAGGCCCTCGAGAAGGAGGTGCAACTGCTCAAGGAGAGGTTGGAGTCCCAGCAGAACGACCTCTACGCATCACTCAGCGCCGTGGACGCGCCGACCTCAAGTGCTTCTGCCTTTGGCTCGCCAGAACAGGTGGCGAGTCTGACCAGGACAACTACTTCGGACATGCAGTCGAATCTCAGCGACACACGCCGCAAACGCACAAGATCTCAGTTTGAAGTTGAGGTGGCCTCGGTGCCCAACTTCGCCGCCAAAGGACTGATTACTTTCGACCAGGCCGAGTTGTTTTTCAACGCCTTCTTCCAGGGCTGTGATCGCTACGTCCCCATATTCGATCCCCTGCACGACACATTCGAGTCAATCAGTTCCCGGAGTGCGCTGCTCTTCGACGCCATCATCACCATCGGATGCGGCGTCCTCAGCGATGCCGATTCTCAGATCTGCCATCTCCTCAACTTCCACCTGAAGAAGATGCTTAACCTCGTCATTGTAAGTCCAGAGCACGCGTCTCTAGAGACTGTCCAGGCTCTTCTAGTCACGGCGTGCTATACTTCAGAGCGATCTCTGCTCCTGGCGTTTGCTACGCGGATGGCTCTCGACCTGGGCTTACCGGGCGCCTACGAAGATTTGACCCGGAAGATCGTCAGCAGGGGACCGCTGTCGCAAGATCGAGTCTCGCAGAAATACGATGAGGCTGACGCGGTATTGATGAGACGCGCTCGGGCATGGTTTCAGCTGATGGTGCTCGAGCAGATCCTTCGCGTCGATGCGGGCAATCTGCGAAGTTTCCACTCGCGCGGCGACCCGCGGCGATGCCGGATCCTGCTGAACAAGCCGTTCACCACCGTCCTGGACCTTCGTCTGCTGTCGCAGGTCGAGCTGAATTCGCTGAGGGGGAAGACACACGACTCAATAGCGGGGACCGAGCAATTTGACGAAGAAGCGGTCATGGACATCCTCCGCGACGTCCAAGTTGACATCGACGTGTGGTACAACGATTGGAGGAACATTATGCTGCGCTCGTCGAATGCCGAGACGCCGGTGCTCCTCCTGAACCTGGAAGTGCAAAAGTATTGGTCTCAGACTGTCGCGTTGTGCCGGGCGCTGCGTGCCTTGGGGAACGAAAATATCGCCTCCATGTCCTCGACGCAGCGGGACATCCTCCACATGGCCAAGGATGCCCTCAAGGGACACCTCCGGGTGATCCTGGACCAGCCCCAGCATTACCTGTCCAAGTTCTGCTATGCGATGGACTTTGTCTGGGCCAAGTGCGCCTTCTGCTTCCTGCTGCTCCTGAAGCTGACCCGGCTGCTGCCCGAGGAAGACGACAACTCGAAACGGCAGCTCCTTGATGACGGGTATAGGCTTCTGAACGAACTGAACAAGGCCGGCGGTGGGTGGACAAGCGGTGGGCGCAGCAACACCAGCCGGATGTATCTGCAGGTGCTTCAGCAGAGCATTCAAAAGTACGGCCGTGCACTGCAGAACGACGGTACGGCTCCTGGCCAGAGCGACATCGACCAGCTCAACATCGGACAAGATCCTCGCTCACCACTCAACTTCTTCTGGACCACGGGGGGCACCGCTGCAGCGAATGAAATCGAGACTTTTGTTCCGGAGCAGTTTGTGTTCGAATGGGATTTCCCGGGCCTGACCCTGTTCTCTTCACCAGCAATGGGAGACACTTTTTTCGACGAGTTTCTGATTGGCAACGGGGCCAATGATCCCTTGTTCTTTGGAATGCTGGGTTAGCTACCAGAGCGAACACTTCCTGCCAGTCACAACACTTCACAGCGTCAACCAGCGCGGATACAATCTTGTGATATTGATGGAGCCAGCAAGGACGCGGCTGTCGACACACATTCTACAGGTTTTTGATTCTCAGCCTTGCACGCGCCGCTCCGGGTCGATATGCCAGAGGGTGAAGCCTTCCTGAATCTTCAAAGCAGCGTTACGAACTCACTACTGGCGGGCTTGTTCGCATCGGGAATTGTCACCTGCAACCGCTCCTCTACGCAATCTTGATCGGCCCAAAGGCTTTTCCAGGCATCAACACCCGCTTTACTGCCTTGTGCCTGACTTATGATCCGGAAGGACGACTCACATCTCGCAGCACGAACCACAGAGCGAACCGCCACATCAGGTACTTCTGCAGTCCAATATCTATGCTCCAATGTCCTTCCCCAAACTGCCGAGGACGTTCCTGGGGCCCCATCGTTTCGCCTCGGCCTTTTCTTTGGGGTATACACATCCTCTCCACACCCCGCTTCCATCTACTCGCCATTGCAAGGAGACACACGAACCTCGCATGCTGTTAGAGCTCTGGACCGCTCGTAACAGACCCAAGACTCCGGTGTTTCTGGGACATTGAGTTCGACTTGGCTTTGCGGTCGATTTCACGGCATCGCACGAAAACACCTATCATATGGCGCAGACCAGGTAGAATACTACCATCCGGGTTTTCGACTCCCCCTACTTGTATTAGACATTCGAGATGGGTAGGGTAGTTGAACAGCAATATACTGAGCACGTCAACTCTAACGTTGGTGGTAGCAGCAGCAACCGCAGCAGTCGGACTCGCCAGCGCCGCGGCCCTTTCAGCCTATCTCAACGCCAAGTTCCACCTGGGGAAGGACTTGACCCATATCTACTACCAGCACCGCGGGGAACGCTACCAGGCACGACTGAAGGCGCAGAACAGGATCAACATCTGGGCGACCTTTTGCGAGAACGCCGACAAGTTCGCGGACGGGGACTGCATCTGGTACTCCGACCCCGCGACCAGTCCGCCCACGGTCCATACCTACACCTGGCGCGAGGCACGCGACTATGCCTGCCGCTACGCGCAGTGGTTCTTGGACGCCAACGTCCGACCCGGCGACTGCGTCGGGTTCTACCTGCAGAACAGCCCGGATTTTGTGCTCGGGTGGCTCGGCCTGCTGGCCATCGGGTGCTACCCGGCGATGATCAACTACAACCTCGTCGGCGGCGCGCTCGTGCATTGCGTGAAGATCGCAGAATGCAAGGTCCTGCTTGTCGACGAAGACTTCCGAGACCGGGCGTTGCAGAATGAGGAGTTGCAGCAGCTGGGGGTCCGGATGCATGTCGTTGACCGCGAATTCAGGGCGCGGCTGTCGAGAATCCCAGCCGAGATGCCCAGCGCAGAGTATGCAAAGGATGTGGGCGAGAAGACGAGACTCGCATTGCGCTACACGAGGTAAAGTTCACCACCAGCTCTCCTTTTGTTTTGCCGGATGTATTTCAGCTGACTGCGAGAGTGGCACGACCGGGTACCCGAAAGGTGTCATGGCCACGGTCGGTCGATACTACGCACGGCTTGCCAGCCAATTCACCCAGATGGGCATCCACCCCCTGCAAGCGGACGGTTCGGGGGATCGCTGGTACATCTGCATGCCCATGTGCCACTCCACGGCCGGGTCGGCGGTGATCATCTGCATGATCATGCCGACGACGTTGTGTATAGGGTCAGTGACGAGAACATTCGTCACTTGCGTGTGCGAAATTCGCTGACGGGTGGTTCGCAGCAAGAAATTCTCGGCCTCGCGCTTCTGGGACGAGGTCCGGACGTCGCGCTCCACGATGGCCACCTACGTCGGCGAGATCGCCCGCTATCTCCTCGCTCTGCCACCCTCGCCGTTGGACCGCCAGCATGCCCTGCGCATGGTGTACGGCAACGGCATGAGGCCCGACGTGTGGGGCCGCTTCCAGGAGCGATTCGGCATCCCCAAGGTGTGCGAGTTCTACGGCTCCACCGAGGGCGGGCTGTCGCACCTCAACATCCAGCAGGGCGACTTCCTCCGCGACGCCGTGGGCCACGACGGGTTGCTCCGCCGGTGGCAGCTGCAGGGCGAGATGGTGCCGGTGCAGGTCGATGCCGAGACGAACGAGATCGTGCGCGACCCGGCGACCGGGTTCGCGCGCCGCATGCCGTACCGCGTCGGCGGCGAGCTGCTGTTCCGGCTGGCCTCGGAGGCGGGCTTCGTGGGCTACTGGCGCAACCCCGAGGCGACGGACAAGAAACTCGCGCGCGACGTCTTCCGCCCGGGCGACCTGTGGTACCGCACGGGCGACTCGCTGCGGCGCGACACCGACGGCCGGTGGTCGTTCCTCGACCGCCTGGGCGACACGTTCCGGTGGAAGGGCGAGAACGTGGCCACCGCCGAGGTGTCCGAGTGCCTGGGCCGGTACCCCGGCGTGATTGACGCCAACGTCTACGGCGTGCAGGTCCCGAACCACGACGGCCGAGCGGGCTGCGCGGCGCTGATGCTCGACCCGGAGGCGGCGCGGGGGTTTGACCTTGCGGGACTGCTGAAGTACGTTTTTCCTTCTTCTTCTTCTCCCCTGTCCCGCTCCCAAACGTCAATCAATGTGCACCGAACGCACCTCGAGCTGACAGACTTTCTCCAGACACGCGCGAAGGGACCTCCCCGGGTTCGCCGTGCCGCTGTTCCTGCGCATCGTGCCGACCGGCTCGCTGAACTCGATGGGCCTGAAGCAGGAAAAGGTCCAGCCACGCGCCGAGGGCGTCGACCCGGCCAAGGTGCGCGGCGATCGGCTCTACGTGCTGCGAGGGGACCGCTATGTCGTCTTCTCGGCCGCGGACTGGGCCGATCTGGCCACGGCGAGGGCAAGGCTGTGAGGAATTTTGCACGTCGAAAGACCCCTGGCGAACGTGACTGGTCGAATGCCTCTGAAAGCGACGATTCGTCGGATCACTCGCGAGGACTTAGCGGTCCTGTACGGAGCATATTACCATATTTAGAAGTCAATAAACTATGACGGGACTATTCTTCTCCAGTGTTGTCAGCCAGGGCCCTTGGGCCACATCTCTGTTCAGGTACCAGGTACCAGGCTACTCTCACGCCCTACAAAAAAACAATATTGGGACCGCGAAAAAGGAGTGAGCTAGTTAGTTCCACGAGCGACGATCGCCTCTTCTCGCCCGCCCAGATTTGGTCTCTTTGCAGGTGTCAAGTGTTTGTTACACACTTTCTATGAGGCGACCCACGACAACGCCCCGCTGAACGAGCTGCCCCCCCAGCTCTCGGCGTGCCACGTGAAGCCCTCCTCGGTGATGCCGTCCGCGTACGTCTTGATCTTCATGTCCTGGCCATTCTCCACGTCGAACCCGTTCAGCGTGAGCATCACGCGGCTCGGCGGCGCGCCCGCCGCGAATTTGCCCTTGGGGAACGTGACCTGCCCGGACTCCTGCCCGGCACCCGCCACGACGGCGCCGCCGCAGATCGCGGGCAGGTATGCAGGGAAGGCGATCCACGTCACCTGGGCGCCGAAGCACTGGGTGTTCCCCTGCGCCTTGACCGTGACGTCGAAGCCGGATTGAGAGATGTTGGAGGCCGCGGTGGCGATGGTCCACGGGTGGTCCTTGGACAGGTCGAAGCCCTTGAGGAAGAGGAACACGACGGGCGTCGCGCTGAACGCCTTGGGGAACTGGACGTGCTCTGTCACCGTCGAGAGGGGCGTCTCCGGCGACGCGTACTCCTTGGTGTCGAAGACGCCGACCTGGTGCTTCGTCGGGTCGATGACTTCCATCCACGCCACGCTGGCCGCGGTGAGTTGGCTGTCGTTCCACGTGTCCGCGTGGACCTTGAAGCTCTCCCGGTTGACCTCGTCGATGCGCGCGGCGAGGCGCAGGTTGTAGGCGCCGCTCATGTCGACGCCGCTGAGGCCGTACGCGAACTTCGGCTCGGTCTTGTACGGCCGGGTGAAGGACACTTGCAGCGCGTTCACGTTGTTGGGCGGCAGCTTCTTCTCCAGGTCGTCGGTCGAGAAACTGCCGGCGTCGTTGGTCTGCTTGGGGTAGACCGATGCTGGAGGAGTTTGTTTGTTAACACCATGCATAGCATGTGACTCGGGGGTAGGAGCTCGGGGTCAGGAGGGACCGGGGGGAGACCCCGGGGGGGAGGGGGATAAAACTTGCCAATGAAGTCTTCGTCCATGGGAGAAAGATGCTTGTTCCAGCCAACGACAATGTTGGCCAGGCCCGCCGGAATCGGATAGCACATGATGGAGGTGGGATCAAACATGCTGTCGATGTCGTCGTTGGGATTGTCCGGGGTCAGGACCTGCGCGTCCACCTCCTGTGTAGACCATCCGTTCGTCCGCTGGTAGTAGTCGTACACGGCTTGCCGGTTCCAGACAATGGCATCGGCCGACGGACTCTGCAGTTCGTGCGTGCAGCCGAGGGCGTGCCCGAACTCGTGGACGGCCACCCGCTCAAACTCGTCGTCCTCGGTCTGGTCGTTGAACCACCCGTAGTTCATGGTCGGCTGGGAGGCGTCGATGCCCTTGCACTCCGTCCCTATGTAGCTCCAAGACCCGCCGTCGGGGCCGAAGGACACCCGGATGGCGGGATTTTCCGACATGTCGACGAAGTCGAACACGATGTTGGCGTACGTCTCCCAGATCTTGGCCTTCTCCTGCACCTTGGCCTTGACGAAGTCGGTGGCATCTTTGCTGGTGGCGGTGTCGCCCATGAAGCCGACCTTGATGTGGGAGCCCTGCGGCCAGAAGGTACCCTTCTTCATGGCCATGGCCGGCGGTCCATGTCCGGCGGCTGGGCTTCGGAGGTTGCTGGGTGGAAGATTGGCGGCTTGACCGGTGGCGACGCGCCCGACACAGGTGTGGTATTGGCTCTGGGGAGCTTCTGTCTGACGCACAGAAACCATGTTGGCTGCTTCGTGGAAAATGGTATCTGTCAATATTGGTATGCAAATTGCTGGAAAGCCGGACTGCTGATGCCTGGAAAGCGAGACTGCTGATGCCTGGAAAGCGAGACTGCTGATGCCTGGAAAGCGATATTTATATCCGCGATCGCATTCTCAGGACTATTTTCATCATGAGGTGTAGTCAGCCAGCCACCTGTTTGTGCTCGTTACACCACGCAAGGCAAATGGTCTAGACCGGCTGTTCGAACAGGTCAGGCTGGCATTCACCCTCCAGGCTGAAGAGCTAAGGGATGCATGAGAAGGCCTCGTGTCCAACTTCGGGATGTGTATCGAAAGCAATGGCCTATAGCCTCGCCGTGGCGGCCAGGTCGCAGAAAGTCCCATCTTTCTATTCGTACGGCCACTCCTGCCCGGTGTGTCTCCAAAGGACCCCTTGTAAGTCCCTCGCTCACCGGTTAAGCTGAAACTCGAGTGTCCAGCTCAGTCGTTGGCAAAATCAGAGTTTCGTGTTCATGCGTCGAAGCTTCTTAGCAGCAAGCAGATATGTCGTCAGGTCTTGTTTTCGCTTGGCTCACCTGTCAACCTCCGCAAAGCTCTTGGTACATTCTTGCAGACGAGAAGGGGTGCGCGAGGAGCGGTGGTCTTTCGTCTGCGTGAACCAAAGCGTGTGACGAAAACTGTTGTTGGCCAAGCTGCGTAGATCCACGGCGGGGAGAGTAACGTGTGCTACGAGAAAGAGATGCTAGGTGCGCCCTTGGTCCTACAACACAAGAGGCAGCCGAATTCACACCGCTCGAGTCCAGCGCTTGACACCCAAAGCCATGTTTTGTGACAGCCTTTCGTATCCCGGGAAGACAAACATTGAGAAGCCCGAGAACGGATGGACATATGGCGTGAAGTCGAGACTTGCAAAGGTGCACGCTAATGCTCACCTGCGCCCATATTCTGTAGCTTGACTTGATGCCCTTCCTTTTAGAGTGCCTTAAGCTATAAGAAGAGTCGGAGAGAAGCTCAGGTGGAAAAGCTTGCCTAACCTTGTTTGGAGCAGGCACTCGAGCAGGGAAAACCTTGCAGCGGAATGGCGTTCAAGTTGTCTGCTGGGCAGCCACGACATGGAAGGCCATCGAGGCCTTGCTTGGCACAGATTCATTCGTAAGGCTGAACTTGAGTTTTCGTATTGCTGAGCCCTTGGCAAGCCACGCATGGGTTCTTTCAGCTGCCAAGCGGTCGAGATGTCCATAACGGGGGGTGTTGTGCAATGTTAAACTGTTGCTTGAACACCCTTGAGGCAGTTTTCGCGTCCAGAGATTGACGCACGCAGCGATCAGAGAGAGGTTAGGCCTGGTCGACTTGCCTTTGGAGTTGGCGGACGGCGACGAGCCCATCCGTGCAAGAGCGAAGCTGGCCGCATCCAGAAAACGAGGCTTGGTACAGTTGCTTAGGGCAATCCATATTGGTCCCCGAATCGTTCAGCCGTAGCTGAGCACCTAATGCGACTATGCAGGGTCTCGCATATGGTCCCTTATTTGCATCTGTCGTAATGCGGTGAACGACAGGATCAGAATCGGCGCATCTGGGGAGAGCTGGGGAGAGCGTGGAAGTGGGCGAGGGGAGCCCGTTGATGCCTGTGCTTTCGTGAAGGAGACCTGGGAAGAGAGTGTTTTGCTGAACAAATGATCATGTGTGGCTAGAAGGTTTCATCTCCGCAAAGTCGACCCATGGATGCTTGGAGACGGAACTGTGCAAGGCGTCGGAAGTATTGTTGTAAGCTCAGAGTGTGCACATTCCCATCCAATTAAACCATCCACTCATCGGGCCCTGCGTCGAAGTCGGTGTTCTTGGAGATCTCGAGATGACCGGTCGCTACGTTGACATTGTCGAAGTAGATCACGCCTGAGAGCAGGGACTCGTCAGGCTTTCACCGGGCTTAACTGACAGAGATGTCTGGATGCGAGGGTATTAGTTGTTGGCGAGCCGCTGGGAGCCAGATTAGGCCGTCTTTGTAGCTCAGTGTTGCTCAGTCAAGGCTCAGGTTGAAGCCGTCTTTGCCTACCCTCCAGGATTGAACCGCATATTAGGAACCAGGTAGACCATGGCATGTATGAGAAGTTGGCGCGGCGCTATTCCGTCGCGAGGCTGAACAAGGCAGACGACAAGGCGGACAAGGCGGACCACAAGGCTGAATCGCTTCGAGGGTGCTTGTTCCTCCCCAATCATATGTCTCCATCTTCCCCAAGGCGCGAGATGACTTCGAATCCCCTTTGCACACAGGACACACGTGGCCCGTCACATCCAAGTCTCCTACCGTATGGTTTCCAGAACTATCCCATATAGTCTACGACGGCGCGCAATGGGAAGTTGTCTGGCACTCGCTTAGAGCGTCGGTTTCATCATGTAATCCCCTGCCTGGCGGATGGTGGATTAATTGCACTCCAGAGTCGAACAATTTCCGGCAACACCTATATACATCCGTACATCGCTTCGAGTGCGGTGTATGAATCTCCAGGACACATTCCCCGTACCTAGCAACCTTGCCCCAAGAGAAACGAGACGCCATCTGCGAGACATCGGTACTGCCAGCATGTCCAACTTCACCAGCTCGGCCCTTGTAACGGGAGGCACAACGGGCCTGGGGCTCCACGCTGCGGAAGAGATCGCGGGGCAACACCCCGACTACTGCGTCGTCATCGCATCGCGCAAGGACGCCGATGGGAGCGCGGAGCTGATCAATCAGCGCCTCGGTGGCGGCGCTCACAGAGTGCAATTCATGGCGCTAGATCTGGGAGACTTGAAGAGTGTCAGATCGTTCGTCAAGGCCTGGAAGGAGAAAAGCCTGCCGCCGATCTCGGTCCTATTGCTGAACGCAGGAAGCCAGTTCCCCTTTGGACTCAAATACACCGTGGATGGCTTCGAGGCGACCTTCGGCGTCAACCACGTCGGACACGCGCTACTATTCTCACTCATGCAGCCATACCTAGCAGATGAGGCGCGCATCGTCGTCACCGCCAGCGGCACGCACGACCCTCTGCAGAAGACCGGGATGCCGAATGCGAATTACACGACGGCCGAAGAACTGGCACACCCCACGGGATCCGCGCTCAAGGCACCGGGCCGCCAACACTACACGACGAGCAAGCTGTGCAACATCCTCTGGACGTACGCGCTCGACCGGCGCCTGAGGCGGCTGCAGCCGGGCAAGAAATGGACGGTGGTGGCATTCGATCCGGGGCTCATGCCTGGGACCGGCCTTGCCAGACAGTATCCGGCCTTCCTGCGATTCATGTGGAAGCGCGTGCTCCCCGCCCTGATCCCGCTGCTGCGACTCGTTCTGTCGCCCAACATCCACAGGCCGCAAGAGTCCGGTGCGGCCCTCGCATGGCTGGCGCTGGACGCAGAGGCGAGGGGCGCGAGTGGCGTGTATTTCGAGGGGAGAAAGCAGATCAAGTCGAGCGCGGACAGCTATGATGAGGCCAAGCAGGAGGAGTTGTGGTCGTGGACGGTCAAGACTCTGGCGGGCGACGAGCAGGAGAGACGCCTGTTTGAAGTGGTCCAGGCGTAGACTGTCCTTGCTATTGGCGGTTGCTGGCTGTTCTAATTAATACAGGCCCTACATAGAACCAGCGAGCAGCTAGTCAGTCAGTCAACTCATTTGCATGTGCTAACCCACGGATTTTGCTGCTCCAGGAAACTGTCGTAACCAGGCAGTGTGGTGTCATGGTGTCACAGAGAAAAAAAAAAATCCAATGCACCTCCCTCGTTGTAGAGAAATGACCTCATCCCCATATGACACTCGACCCTCGTTGTTTTCCAGCTCCTGGCACAGCCCTAGACAGCGTCGACCGCAAAATGATGCATATGCACGCACTACAGGAAAATTCCGTCCTTACCTATTAGTACAGGGTGAACGAAGATCGCACGGACCAAGTCAGAGGCTGTACCTACGAGCAAGGTGCTATGTAACCCACAACCCGGCCAATTGGGCCTCTACCAGCCGTGTCGACACCCAAAGCCCGCCCATGCGCAGCCACCAACGGGCGGCACGTCATTCCGCATTGGGCATACTCTACGAGGGGGATTACCTAGGGTAGATGGGTAGATAGGGACCGCATCCAGTAGCAAGTGGCCATCCGGGCTCGCCGGGGGGTGGCCTGAAGGAAACAGAGCCCTCGCTTAAAGGCTTAGGAAGCCACGGTCCCCACGGTCCCCATGCAAGGACGATCACTTCTGACGGAGGTGGTGCATGAGAAGATGGAGGCTGAGCAGTCGTCGAGGGTACTTAGCCCACCCTGCTACCCACGATTCGTTGGACTATTACCTACGAACCGAGTCAAGGCCAACCCTCGGCACTAACTACATACCCATCTAGGCTAGGATGGTAGGACAGGGCGAGTGCCTAGCCTAGGGGATGGTCATCACTAACTACTAGATGCCTTGTATCAGATACGTCTCAGCCAATCGCGGATAGGGCCGAATTGGGGAACGGCGAGTGATGGGGGGAGAGACATATAAGGAGTCGAAAAATATAGAGAGAGTGGGTGGCACACACACCTATATCTATCTATCTATCGATCTGTCTGTCTTTAGATATAGAGTCCATTCGACCATTACATCCCAGCACTCGAAGCCACAGTCAACGCTACACCGATATCTCACACAACACAACAGCCGCCAATATGTGCGGTTCCAAAGCACCGAGAGACTCCAAGACTCCAACGCCATACTACAACTATGCTGCGCAGTCACAGCAACAGTATGGCGCCTACACCCACGGCTACCACGAGTCCGCACGCATGAGCCCGAACCAACCGCCGCCGCCAACCTATACCGAAGCCATCGACGAGTCCATCCACTCCAGCCACAAGACGGCCGAAGTCGCCTATCCCTACCCCTACCCGCAACCACTCCCGTCACCAGTCTCGCCCCGGGGCTCTCTTTCTCCCTCCCAGTCATATCTCCCAAGACCGCTTTCGCCAGCCCTCCCTCTCTCCCCTTCCCAGTCCCAGCTTCCGACCCCAGTTTCACCAGGCCGGTCTCTGTCTCCGTCGCAGTCGCGTATCCCCAAACCCATTGCCATCCCCGCGACCCTCGCGCGGTACGGCTCGCCCTTTCTGCGCGCCTACCCGCCCTGTCTCGCGCAGTACCACATCTCGCCGACGCTGTTCCTCTCGTTCCTCGACACGCTGAATCGCGTGGCCGTCAAGTCTCCGCCGCTGATGGCGCTCAGTCTGGCCGGGAACATCGTGGGCACGGTCCCGGAGCCGACGGCCCAGATCGTCGGCGGCGTGGTCAACCTCGCGGCCGAGGTGTCCTCGGGGGTGATCCAGCGCGGACGCACCGAGATCGAGCTGCGGCGCGCCAACACCGACATCTTCGGCCCGCGGGGCCTGAAGGTCGAGATCGCAAAGACCGAGGCCCTGGCCAAGCTGGTCGGCATGGACGGCGTCTTCGACGACGACGGCAAGCTCAACAGGAAGGCGCGGCTGTTGCTGCCCCTGGACGGCGTCGAGGCAGACGATGGCGCAGGAGGCGACGTGAGCGGGCAGCAGCGGAGGCTGGACGCCATGAGGCCGTGGATCGCCGAGCTGGACATCACGCCGCTGCCGGAGATCGACGTGCCCACCAACGCCATGAGCCGGCTGAACGTCAAGATCAACGAGCGGGACCGGCGCAACGGCGAGAAGAAGCTGATCGAGAAGCGGAACAAGGTCCAGACCCAGTACGAGAAGGACGCCGGCAAGGCCCAGCGCGAGTTCGACCGCGAAATGGCCAAGATCAACAAGGACCTCGACAAGCACCTGCGCGAGGTGGACGACAAGCTGGCCGAGGCCACGCGGAAGCAGAAATCCCGAGACGTCGCCAAGCTGGAACGGGACCGGCAGAGGGTCTTGGACAGGTACGACCGAGAGAGGAGGAAGGAGGAGAAGGACTTCCAGAAGGAGATGAGGGAGGCCGAGAAGGACAGGATGAGCGACGACAAGGAGGAGAAGAACATGCGCAAGCTCAACTGGCTGGTCATAAGGGAGCTGAATGCCTGGAGCGGGGATGGGCCCAATCCGTATCTCCCAACGCCCTAGTCAAGGCGGTTTTCTTGACGGGTATAGAGAAAATGTATAGTACTCATGGAGTTTCCTGGCGCGATTCAGCATCCTCTGCAATATACCCCGGGCGTTCCAAATGCCCCTTTTGCTGGTTGTCCTTTCCGTCCCCGACCACAAAGACCTGGTTCAACTCATCCTGGATCTCTGTTCTCCGCTTCTCCCAGGTGTCCACCATGGCCAGCTTCTCCTTCAGCTCGGCGATCTCCTTTTCCACTCCCAACTTCTCTTCTTCCGTGCCGATTCGGACCAGCTCCCAATCAAACCCTTCCTCCCCGAGACCAAGGACGAGGTTGAAGGTGTGGTATTTCCGAAGACTGGCGCGCGTGGATAGCGTTATCACCGTGATCCCCTTCTCTTTACACCGCTCATACAGCAAGCCCTCAACGTCCGAGGACACCGCAGAGGTTCCTTCGTCGAGGAACGCGTATTTGGGCTCATGGTAGAACAGGCGAGCAATGGCCATCCGCTGTTTCTCGCCACCCGAAAGCACATCCTTCCACTCCTTGCGCGTATCCCAACCACCCTCTCTTGACAGTAAGTGGCCAAGTTTGGCTTCCTCCAGGATCCGCTCCAGTTCGCTGTCTCGCCGATTGTTCTCTTGCATGTCCATCTCCGTATGCGGGTAGATGACTTGATCCCTTAGCGTGCCAATGCTGAGGTATGGCCGTTGAGGGAGGAACATGATTCCATCCATACCGTTGTTTCGAGGTCGAGAGACCAAACCGCGGTAGACAGGCCAAAGCCCACCAACAATCCGGGAAATGGCGGATTTACCAACGCCGTTGGACCCTGATATTAATAAATGTTCGCCACTGTGGACGACAAAGGAAAGAGACTCGATTAGCTCATCGCCACCGTAAGGCCATAAGCCTGGTGCAACGACAGGAACGTCCTCAAGGCGAACGCCATCGAAGCCGTATTGGATCGTGCCTTGGACGTCGGCCAGGGAGTAGAGCTCTATCCGTTGAGAGGCTCGCCGGCCGACGGGCGCATAGGCGTTGGCGTGCACGCGATGGAGTGTTGAGATGAGCTGGTAGACTCGCGAGGTATAGCCGGCCAGTTCAGACAGATCCTTGATGCTGTACATCATTCGACCACCTGCGTCGGCGAGTGACAGCATGAGTCTCTTGTTGGTAGTGAATTCTTTCATGTGAGATCCCGACCGCGAGGATTCTGTCACCTCTCTACCCGAATTTGAATTCGATTCGAGAATCGCATTCAGCCCGGCCCAGGCAGGGAGGTAGACGGGGATTGAAGTAATGATATAGCCAAAAGCCGACCATGAGTACTTCAGAATAAAGTCTTCAAGCATATTATACCGGACTTTGACGTTGTAAATACCCTCCATCCAACTCCGGAGTTCTTTGAATGACCTATCGAGATAGACCTTTTCGACGTCAGCACCACCGTAAAATGCGACCTCTTCTGCATTAGCGATCAATCTGGCATGGAGCCCACGGAAATCTCCCTCTTTCTTGCCCTCAACGGCCTTTAATTTCCCAAAGGGTGGAGAGAGCCGCCGAAGCATGGTTGCGGTGCCGAAGTAGTTTACGAGAAGTCCGGTCAGTGCCAATGGTCCAAGGGAGCGGTAGAGTTGGTAGTTAAAGACAAATATATCCACCAGGGGTTTTCCGAGAGAAGAATACAATGATGCGGCCGCTGTACAAAATAGTGTAAGATCCTGTGTGATGAACTGGTCTGCGCCTTCGACCCCGCCGTCAAGATTTGAGAGTTTGTAGTACGTGAGGTTCGAGTTTAGGTAGAGATCGTGGATGTATCTCGTCAGCCGCGTGCGGAAGGCGATTGATATCTTGGACTGGAGGAATTTGATCATCGAGTTGGTGTAGGAGGCCAGTGTGCCAATGGAGAGCCATCTCAGAAGCCCGAGCAGGAATTGCTTTCCATGACCACTCACCAAATCTCGGACAATGGCACCGTCCAGCCTCGCGACCAGAAGAGACAAATATGTCCTCAAGATCAGGAAGACAGCGTGGCTCAGCAGTAACGCCGTCTCCTTGCTCCGAAATCTTGGTATCATGATGTTCGCCAGACTGAGGAACTGATGGAGGAAAGCCAGGTTGAGGCCGGGCTTTGTCTGCGCTGGCGGAGGACCATATGCCGGAGTCGAAGTACCACTGGCCAGACGCGTGACCCGTGGAGGGGTCAGAAACAGTCTGCGATGAGCATCAAACGTGGTCGAGCGTATGGGATGGATGATGACTTTGGAGGTGGTATCGCCTTTGGGAACATAGATGATGCGTTCTCCTCCTTTCCCTCTTAAACCACTATTCTTGCGGACCAGCGTCCGGCCCTGAGCCTTCTCTTTTGAACGAGCTTGCCACCACTTGAAACCGCCATAGCTAGAGGAGAGGATGGACAGAATGAGGGCGGCGGTGGCGGCAAGTTTGACGGATCTAGGTGTGCGACGGATACGGGAGCGAAACAGGTTGAGATAATGGTTGTACAGAACCATCAACGGGTCCTCTTTCGACTGAACAGGCATTTCGACTGAGTTAGAGGGGGAGCGGAAGGTGAAGTGTTCACCTGGAGGGACGACGAAGAGACATTGTCTGCTACCACATAATGTCGAGCGAACAGGCGGATTGATGCGCAGTATGGTTTATTTGGATCTTACTTCGGCGAACGATCAAGGCACACACGGACAGGAGACATGTGCTGGCGACTGACGCAAGGTGGATGGCCGAGAGTGGCAGCGGGATGTTTTGAAAGTCCGGAGATGACGATTGGAAGCGCATGTGAAAGGAATGCCGAGGTCTGGTAGCCTCACCAACCAGTCGATGTCTGCGCTTCATCAACTAGTTTTCTTCGTAGCTGGAACACCATCATTGTTGAAGGATCAAATACTCCCCGCATATCCAGGTTAGTCGTCCTAATTCTACCCGAGCACCATTTACCATCTATGTCTATGCTAGACTGGCTTGGAACGTCATCATAAATGGCCGTTCAGCTTTCCCTTCTGCTCCGCAATAGGTGTCAGTAGAGACCCCTTGTCCACCGCGTTCTCCAGATTCTGCAACACCAATAACTCCATCTCTCGCTGTGTCTCGTAGGTACTGGTGCCTATATGCGGCACAATGAAGACCTTTTCATTCTTCAACAACCCTTCTTCCACCTTGGGCTCCTCTTCAAACACATCCAGCCCGGCCGACGACACTTTGCCGCTTTCCAGCGCCGCCACCAGATCCTTCTCGTTGATCAGCGCCCCTCGAGCGGTATTGACAATCACCACTCCCTCTTTCATTTTGGCGAATTCGGGCGCAGATATTATATGTCGTGTTTTCGCGTTCAGAGAGAGATTCAGGCTGAGCACGTCGGACTGGGCGAGCAACTGGTCGAAACTGAGGTAAGTCGCATCACCTTCGAGCTCTTTTGGCAGGCGTGTTCGGTTGTGGTAGGCAATCTTCATCCCAAATGCTCGCGCTCGATGAGCCATTGCCTGATTTCAGTCAGTGTAAGATTCCCGCAGGTAGTGCTGTGACGCGTACTCTGCCAATTCCCCCCATTCCCAAGATACCCAGCACTTTACCCTTTGGATCGTGTCCGAGTTGGGCCTCCCCACGCCATTTGCCTTCTCGGATTGCCACTAAAGGTACCCATGCCAGCCGCAGAGCACCCAGCATGAGGAAGATACCGACATCAGCGGTGGCGTCATCGACTGCAATTGGTGTGCTGGATATCTTGAGTCCTCTCCGGGTGCAAGCGTCCACGTCAATGTTGTCGTATCCCGCTCCGTTGTGGCAGATGTATCGCAGAGATCGAGGCAGGACAGACACCAGCTCCTGATCGAAGGGGCCTGTTTCTGACGTGGATAGGTTGGAGCGGTAGAGCGCCACGACGTCGTCGTACTGGCCAGTCCTGCAGTTGGAGAGGAACTGCTCGCGTGTGCCCTTTCGGAACTCCTTCAGATTGTATTTTGAACTCAACCCTTCCCACTCTTTATCTGTGTGTGCCAGTCCTCCAATGAGGAGAACGGTAGGTTTCGACATGGTAGAGAGGAACTTGGGGAGGGACGGTCTGAGAAAGAATACTCGAGTTAGGGGAGCACGGGTTGGCAACGCCTTTTGTCGAAAGCAAGAGGACAAGGCAAACCTAACCCAATCTTGCTGAAATCCATAAAAAGGTGCTGGCCGCTGGTAGCCAGATTGCGGGATATATTTCCTCCAGCGTCACCTGGCGACGCGAAAGTGATGGTGGGCATTATTCCGTCGGCATTTGAAACTGCGAGCATCGCAATGTCGACGACAATTCCACTTTGCAGTCTCACCCCGCACGGTCAATTGCCGTCTTTAGTTCTCTCACCCCCACATCCTCTGCCTTCTCTCCATGACTGGACCAAACTGCTGCTGGAGAGTCACCCTCAGGGTCGGAGTCTCCCTAACTCTCGCCGAAGATTACTCGAATAGACTTGCTGAAGCATCGGAGAAAATCCCGCTGCCCGATCCTTCTGAGTACAGGCACATGGTGCCCATTGATGGATGCCACAGCGCCCTTGCGAAATCATTCTTAAGATGTTGGATCCGTCCCCCGGGCTTCCGGGCTCATTCCATCGGTACAATTCTCTCCGTTTCCTCCAAGTTTACATTTCGCTGCCTCAATCCAAGCAGATATTGTGTACTAACACAAGAGGTTCGAAAATCTTGTACACGAGCAACTCGTTTTCCGGGCAAGGGCCGCAATAGAGAAACGTCGACGCGGGGGCGCCCAGGGTTACGAGATCAGACGACATGGCTCATACAGAGACTGTCCAGGCATTGGTGTTACACGGGAAGAATGACTTGAGACTGGTAAGAAACCGAGCTACTCTCCAAGCAGGCGCAAGACTGACGGAACGGTGCTTGAATAGGAGACGAGACAACCGCCTGTTCTGCAGCCTGGGGAGGTCCAAATAGCCATCAAGGCAACAGGTATTTGTGGTTCGGACTTACACTACTACCGTCATGGACAGAATGGAAACTTTGTTGTTCGGGCGCCACTCGTCCTCGGCCATGAAGCATCAGGCGTTGTCACTGCTGTTCCTGAGGTTGCAAATGGTGTCACAAATGGCGACGCTCCTTCCTCGAGTCTCAGAGTTGGCGACAGAGTGGCATTGGAAGTAGGTTTCCCTTGCCGCTCGTGCGCCCTGTGTACCGCGGGTCGATACAACCTGTGCTCCAAGCTATCTTTCAGATCTTCTGCAAAGACTTTCCCACACATGGACGGAACGCTGCAAACATTGGTCTCACAGCCAGTCGCCATGTGCCACAAACTACCCGAAAACGTCACCTTCGAACAAGGTGCCCTGGTAGAACCCTTAGCCGTCTCTCTGCACGCATTGAACCGCAGTCAGTCTGCGGGATCTGGAGTGGGAGTGCCTTTGGTTGGGTCAAGCGCCTTGGTCTTGGGAGCGGGCGCCGTGGGAATGCTGACCGCTGCTGCTTTGTCTGTTGCTGGAGTATCCAAGACTGTCATCGCCGACATCGACGGTCCCAGATTAAAGATCGCCGCAACGCTAGGTGGAGGCAAGTTTAAGCTGAAGACATTCCTCATTCCTCGAAGCCCTCCCGCCCCAACGATTCCAGAGATTCTGTCGGACGCACAAAGACAAGCGGCGGAGATCTGCGAGGCAGAGGGACTAGAAGCTGGGTTTGATCGCGTATTTGAGTGCTCAGGCGCGCCACCATGTGTCCAGATAGGCGTGTATGCAACCGCAGCAGGCGGGAAGCTGGTCCTGGTTGGAATGGGCACACCGGTTCAGACCTTACCGCTGGGTGCGGCTGCTTTGAGGGAGGTGGACGTTATCGGCGTATTTAGGTATGCCAACTGCTATCCTGCGGCCATTGCACTTTTTGCCAGTGGTCAGCTGGACGGTGTCGCAGAGGATCTGGTCACGCATCGGGTGGCTCTTGCGGACGGAGAGAAGGCATTCAGAGTGGCTTCTAATACAGCGCAGGAGGGGGAGGACGAGGGGAGGGTCCCCGTGAAGGTGGTGATCACATCATAATGCACTAGACTTGTGCTTGCGAATCTGCGTAGAGCTGCTGTATACACCTGTACATTGGATCAATTAGAAACTGGGTTTGATCGCGTATTTGAGTGCTCAGGCGCTCCACCATGTGTCCAGATGGGCGTGTATGCCACCGCAGTAGGCGGGAAGCTGGTCCTGGTTGGAATGGGCACACCGGTTCAGACCTTGCCGCTGGGTATGTGATCACCACCTTCACGGGGACCCTCCCCTCGTCCTCCCCCTCCTGCGCTGTATTAGAAGCCACTCTGAATGCCTTCTCTCCGTCCGCGAGAGCTACCCGATGCGTGACCAGATCCTCTGTAACACCGTCTAGCTGACCACTGGCAAAAAGTGCAATAGCCGCAGGATAGTAGTTAGCATACCTAAATACGCCGATAATGTCCACCTCCCTCAAAGCAGCCGCACCTAGCGGTAAGGTCTGAACCGGTGTGCCCATTCCAACCAGGACCAGCTTCCCGCCTGCTGCGGTGCCAACTGCTATCCTGCGGCCATTGCACTTTAATCTCGGCCCACAATGTTGGTGAGGCAGGCAAGAAGGGAATGCGTATTAGGCATTCCACCCGCGGCGCGTCGCGTCCCGCTGGGTGAATTACTTGAACTAGAAGTTGCCCAAACATTTGGATATTGCAGAAAGTGTCATTGAATGGTTTTCGAGATCCATGATAGAGCAGCAGACTCTATTTTCATTTGCAGTATGGAGGGGAGAGCAAGATATCCGGCGCATGATGTTGCCCATGTTCTCGTTGATTCACCAAGCCGTGTTTTGGGGCTGACGTCAATTCTCCGCCTGCGCATGTGCTTGGAAAAAGCGAGCAAAGCGATGCTCCTCCTCGGTCGGTCTTCAACCGGCATCTAAAATTATATCCAATTCCTTTACATCAGTCGCACCGGACTGACCACTGTCAGAACCATCTCTTATCGTAATAGCTGACATGACCACACGAAAGATCCTCGTTACAGGTGCTACTGGCAAGCAGGGCGGCGCTGTTGTCAAGGCGCTGCTTGCGAACCCTCCTCCTTTCGACTACGAAATCCTCGCCGTGACTCGCAAGACCTCCTCGAACGCGGCCAAAGCTCTGGCTTCTAAGCCTCAAGTCACCCTCATCGAGGGGGACCTCAATGATTGTACAAGCATCTTCACAAAAGCTGGAGGCGTCGGTGCGGTATGGGGCGTCTTCTGCGTCACATTGCCCAACCTCAAGGACAAGGTCGAGGACAAGGAGGCACAACAGGGAAATGCCGTGGTAGATGCAGCCATTGCGCATAAGGTCAAACACTTTGTCTACACCTCTGTTGATCGTGGTGGCCCGGACAAGTCTGAAGTAGACGCTACCTATGTTGGTCACTTCGTTTCCAAGGTACGTCGGAGCTGTGCGAGCTGCGGGCGCATGCGACAAATACTGACCCGATTCCAGTACAAAGTGGAGAAGCATTTGAAAGAAAAAGTTCGAGGAACAGAGATGACCTATACCATCTTGCGACCGACGGCATTCATGGACAATCTCACACCAAACCTCCCAGGCCGCATCTTCGCTGCCACTTGGCATACAGTTGGCGACAAGCGACTCCAGTTGGTCGCTGTAAAGGATATTGGTGTTTTTGCAGCCAAGGCGTTTGGCGCCGCGGAAACCGAGGATTACAAAAACACGGCAATCAGTCTGGCTGGGTGCGATCTGACACAAGCCGAAGCCAACGAGATCTTTTGGAAGGTTCTGGGTCGACCCATGCCTCGGTCATACGATTTTGTGAGCAACTTTCTCATGTATATGGTGCCGGAATTAGGCACCATGCTTCGGTGGTTCAGGGAACAAGGATATGGGGCAGATTTGGCACAATGTCGACGACTGAACGAAAAGATGCTGGACTTTGAGGCATACCTCCGCGAGGAGAGTGGCTTCAAACGGTAAGGTGTAGGACAATCAAACCCAACGGCATTGATCTTCAACACCGTTGGCGGGCGTGGGAAACATCTCATCTCAAGTCGGCGTCAGCATGGAGTCTGGAGTATGTTGCGCTGGGGCCGAACTCCCCATTCAGTCTCCCGAAAGTGAACATCTTGGGAGCCTTGGCTATCTTCCTTCAATCTGCTTGTGTATCACCAACACTCACTACTCCATATCTACGTCATTGCCCCCAGGGTGCTGATTCACCCGGGACGGCGCGAATCAGTTGGATATTATGTGGAGGGCCATAGTATTGGCAGCTTAAGCTTTGTCCTTGGAATATACAAGTGTCACACCAGCCTGATGGTCCAAACCAATTTCTTAGGAGATGGATCTGTAGTATTTCTGGAATTATGGCAACTTCGAGACTTTCTTGCTCGCGCAATGTTCGTGCAGAGAAGGTCGTGTTTCCATGTGGAAAGATAGGCCGAGAGCAAATGGTCAAGCTTCACGGTTGACGGTTGACGAAGCGACTTGTTCATGCAGCCTTCAGGGCCCAGCTGCAGGAACAAGGAGCCTTGAGGCGGTTGATTGGCTGGTGGCGCAATTTGGCGAGTGGGTGGTGAGGCTGTCACTAGGCTAGAGTGGCACCTGAAACGCAGGCTAATGTTTGGAATCCGAACGACTTTTGTTCCCTGCTTCCCTTATCGTCCCTCTCCGTCTTTTCCGAATCTTGACCCAGTGCCTATCGTTGGCCTCTGTTCTCGACCGCGACCGTCAGTGTGAAATGAAAGGGGTCACAAGGGGACGTTCTTTTCTTGGTGTTGTGCCATCAGTGAGTGTCCAGTCGATTGCGTGAGGTCCCTGCGCTGTGAGGTTGATTGTTTCACTCACTTCACTTTCAGCTTGTTGTGCTACTGCCTCACCCGACAAGACTTGGGCACTCTCTACCAGATACTCCGGCTACCGTTCTCAATACGAGTCGTCTTCTATGCCGGACCTGATAGACTGTCCCCTCTCATGCCTCCACAAAGCTTCGACCTCAAGCCTATCTGCAAGATGGATCGGGCTAAAGAAAAATCCCGCACCAACCACATCTGGCCCCTGCGGTGCCACGCGAACAGCTTAAGGTCAAGCTTCAAGCTCCTGAAACGCCATCTCCTTCAGATGCAGACCCTTTTCCCTGCGTGGAGGGCGGGCAGTCCGCTGTTTGTGAGGCTGGTTTGGCCTATCGATAGCAAACCGCGAAGTCTATCCCACAGCCTCGACCCCAGAAAGGGGAGGCCATGTACATGGATCACAGCTGGTTCCATCCGCCCCTTGCGCTTAGATGCCGATCGAAATATTCCCATATCCATGCTCCACTCGCTCATCTGCTGGTTCGCAAGCTCTTGTTTCTTTCTTGTCTTCTGCCCAACCCTCTGGTCGTCTGCTGACCCCAAGTGAAGTCGCTCGCTTATCGACCTGCCGTTCCTTACCATTGTTCTCACGACCAACACAAACAATGCTTGCGCAGGCATTGTAGTACCGCCTTGTCCCAGAGATCAATGTGATCCGTTGTCACTCCTTTCATCCTCACTCCCTTTGTTGTTTGTTCTTGTCGCTCCTTTGTCACGGCCGTGCCGGTCCATCTGCTTTTCTACCACCCCTTTTGAGCTTCGACCAGTTTCGAGCCACCAATCCTTTCAGACAAAAGATACTCAGCGAGTACCACACGGTCCCTTCAAAGAACCCAAATCTACACCGAGATTTACACTCTTTGCGGAAAAGCCACTTACGCTTGACGACTCTTCTTGCTGGTCATTAGAAGCATTCACCTTTTTAGCAAATCCGCAAACTTCGGCATCATGCCCATCAAATCCATCTTCAGCAGCGCCCTCATCGGGTTGCTTGCTACAGTTCCTCTCACATCAGCACACACCTGGATCGAACAGTTGATGGTCATCGCTCCGAATGGGACTTTGGTAGGACAACCAGGATTTGCCCGCGGAAATGTCCTGCGTGGTACTCCTGGATTCAGTGATCCCACCATGGTCAACCTCATTCCACCCGATGGGCGTCCAATCAACCAGATTCAGCCTTCCGACCTCATGTGCAAATCCTCCCAGACATCCCAAACCCAAACCGACGGTTCTCCGAGACTGCAGGCTGCTGCCGGAGCAGGTGTTGCACTGCGCTTCCAAGAAAACGGCCATGTTACTTTACCCGACAACCAACCCGGCAAGCCACCGAATCGAGGCACGGTCTATGTCTACGGAACCACTCAACCCAGCCCCGACGACTCTTTCCTCGCCATTCACCGTGTTTGGACAGCGGATGGCTCAGGCGGTGACGGTCGCGGTCGGCTTCTGTCCACTCGCAACTTCGATGATGGCCAGTGCTACCAAGTGAACGGCGGTCAGATCTCTCAACAACGTCAACAGCAGTACAGCCATCCTGCCGATGATCTGATGGGTCAGGATCTCTGGTGTCAACAAGATATCCAGATTCCAGATGATGCACAGTCGGGTCAACCTTTCACCCTTTATTGGGTTTGGGACTGGCCAACCTTGCCAGGCACTCCAGGTTTTCCCGATGGCAAGCAAGAGATTTACACCACTTGCATGGACATTGACATCGTCGACAATTCTGGAGTGGATACGGTCTCCAAGGCACAAGTCGACTATTCACAAGGTCAACCGCTTGACAATGCTGCGGTGTCTGCTCAAATGACCGATCTTGCCAACCCTACCGCTGTCACAGGTCAGACCATCCCGTTCACTAACGTTCCCACCACTTTTCTTACGCAAACTGTGTCGCCGACGACTACCACCTCCGTGCTGACGTCTTCTTCTTACACAGGTTCCACCATTGCCTTCTCTGCCTCAGCTACAGGTCCCATTTCTGGTGGTGCAAGCGAAGCTAGTGTCTCCGCTGCCACAGCATCCGAGACTGGTGTACCTGCTTTCCTGAGCGTTCACGTGGGTTCAACAGCTGGACCAGGCATCGAGACCCAAACCTTCAGTGTCATTCCTATTGGTGTATTCACGACCACTACAGATGCCGCCCAGGCGCAACAGACTGGCGGCTCGGATGGCCGGGGTGGACGTGGCGGCGACAACAATAACAACCGTAAGTCCTCACTCCCATGGATCTTCTCCGTCCTTGCTCAATGGTTGAAGAGCCTGGCTGCTGACTCTGGCTCCTCACCAGAACCTCAAGTGACAGCAACTCCAAATGCTGCCGGCAACGTTGTCGTGGCGACTTTCACTGAGTATGAATCTGTTACCGAAACCGTCTTCCAGACTGTATACCAGACACGGTATACCAAGCGAAGTGCAGGTGAGTCATTGTATCCAACCGCCCCTGGTTCTGTGGACGACGATTACGCCTCCTCGACGACCTCTGAATTCCCTCCCCTTCGTACTCATTCTTTCCCCTCCAACTGCTTCTGGTGCCCAACTGGCTCGGCGTATCCGAGGTTCAGTCACCCTACTAGCCCACCGCCATGGCTCAGTGGCGCCTGGGCTTCTAGGACTCAGTGGCGTCGTCCACGCCCTACAGGCTGGGTCGGACACAGCAGCGGCAGCACCGAGTATGGCGGCAGACATGGCTCCGATGATGATGGCTCCAGCGATTACAAAACAATCACGACAGCCGCGAGTACGATCAAAGTCGCAAGCATAGTGAGCTTGACGGTATATGTGCCCTCAGCTTCGGCTGCAGCAGCAGTGGTTCCCGTATCATTATCACCGTCGCCAGCCTTGACGGAGACCACAACGACTCAACGGACCGTCACCCTTAGCGGGACGTTGACCTTGACGACATACCTGCCATCTGCCTCTGCTTCTGGTGCTGCCGACGCTGTTGCTGGTTCCTCAGCCCTTCCAGTGCCACTGTCGAGCTACAGTCCCCAGCCCTTCCCACCTCTTCCCCTTTCAGCTGCCCCAGACACAGAGAGCTATTCCGCTCAGCCCACTCCTCTGCCATCCATGTCCTTCACCTCCACATCCACAGATACAGTCACAGTCACAATCTTTCCAGCCAGTTCATCCTCTAGCTCTTCCCCCACGTCCCTGTCACCAGCGATTACTGAAGGAGACCAACCACTAACGTTTGCTGTTCTACCCATTCCAGATCCTGCGCCGACGCCTGCACCCGCTCCAACAGTTTCTACAGACCACTCCGCGTTTCGGCTCAGGGCCCGAAACCCATTCGTTTGGCTAGGCTGGTCCGCGCAGAAGGCAGAAGTGACCCAGAGTCCTTCCTCATGACGTGAACGATGATCCTTCTTGCAAGCTGGACTTCAACATGAAAAAAAGGACTGTACATTACCGGACCGCATCAGCATGGACAGGAAAGGAAGAGCCGGGCTCCTCTTTGCTTTTTGGCCTTTTAACGACTCAGCGGAAGAGAAAAAAAATGAAGGGTCATCCACGGTACCCATTGCAGACAAAGCTAGAAACTTACTTATCCTGCTACTCAGAGCAGGGCACAACAAACCCGCCGGGTGTGGGGGTTTGGGAATGAGCGTTACGATGATCCTCGTGTGTTCACACACTCATCATGATCTTCTGCATGTTGCATCCGTTCTATGCAATTGCCCATGTACTTACATATGAACGCACATGACACATATCACAAATTACATGCCACATTGCCACACAAATTGTTCCGAATCTTTCAAGAACTCTTCCATGTAGGCCCCAAAAAGGGCATATCGACTCTGTCTGGACGGTAGAGCTAGATGTCTCTTACCTCGTTACATATAGAGACACTCATTGGCGGAGTGGGGTGGCTGCAAAGTTATCCCCGAGCGTACGAATAGAAGAATCGCCAATGAAGAAACAGTCATTTCGTGCAGTCATTAATATTAATTACGGGTGCTGTACATTCCTATCCAAGCCCTCAGATGTCGGTGGTATGTAATTGAATTGAGAGGTCTGCCTTTCCCTTCCCAGCCCGCCCTGTCTTTGTGCCCTGAACGCCGAGGAAGTCTATGACAATTCAATCAGGAGGGCGAAACAGCGACAGGCCGCGCCTCCGCCGAGTCTAGACCCCGTCTTGTGATATCGTCCATGCTGTTGCCCTTCTATCATGCTGAGATGTAATTGTACAAGTAAAGGCTGTCGCCAATGGCTTCCATAAGCTGCCGGGGACAGCTCAAGTTGACTTGATCGGTTTCGTGTACTTGAGCTCTGTGCCCCAGACGTAGTCCCAGAACTTGGACGTCACACCGAATCTGAGACGATGTTAGCAGGGTCACTCATATTGACGGACGGGAGGAGTCGCTGTTTTGCGCACTTACCCAAGCTCGAAGTTCTGATAATGATGGGCCAGATGATACTTCTTCAAATCCCTCACGTACGCCGGCAATTGATGATGATGCAACCAGTAATGCGTGCAGTCATAGCAGATGTAGCCGAAGATTCCACCGCTGAAGACCGTGATTGCCGCATACCAGTTGTACCAGAACACGAAATGCGCGAGTCTGTAGAACGGGGTGGCCAGAATGAGGAACAATGCGGGTGGCATGACGAGCCGATATTTGTCCATGGGCAGGTAATGATGAATCCCGTGCAGGACAAAATGTAGGGTCAGGAAGAGCGGGTGGTCAGGGAGAAAGCCGTCAATGTGAAACAGAAAGCGGTGCAAGAGGTATTCCACCAGTGTCCACAGAAAGAGACCCAGACTCCAATATGCGATACCAATGAGGGGATTTGGAAGATTGCTGATTCCCAGGACCGACCCGTAGAGGACAGGAGGCAGCCACAGCATTGGCACCACGTACCAAGCTGTCTTGCTGAGCGGTTCAAGGATATTTCCAAACAATGGCGCGGAGTCACCGCCCTTGTAGTGTCGAGGCCGGTGGACTTGCTCGAGGTAGAACTCCTTTGAAAACTTGCTGAAGATCATCTGCGGGAAAAGGGGCCGGTTCAAGTCGAGGAATTTATGTGTCTTCCAATCTTGATCCAGGTCCGTCTCTTTTGAGAGATCATCTTCTGAGGACATGCCTGTCGATGCGTAGAGGGGTCGGGAAGGGAGGTTTCCGGCTTGCACGCCATGAGCCTTCAGTTGTTCGTTGCCTTCGGCTGTCGCAGGTAGCGGGACGACCTGGTCAGGGTGCGAGGAGTCCACGGCAGTCTTGAGGACGGCCTCTGTGGGTACGAAACCAATCAGGCTTTCTTCCAGGATCTCATAGGCGGTCTCGGTGTGGAAATGTGAGTCTTCATCCTCCATGATTTCCTTGACATCTTTGCCGGCAAATTCGAGGATCAACTCGGCGCCGCCAGGATGATCGTCGATAAAGTCCGTCACATCGAAAACACGCTCTCCGATTGTCACGTAGCACGACTTCCGACTATTGTGCTGTTCCACCTCGGCGCGGGTGATTGTAGGGAGCGTCTTGCCCGGCATGTTGGGCTACGGGAAGTGGGAATTAGGGAGAGACTGGTGGCTAGGTTGAAGGAGGGCGAAGAGTGGCCGAACGCAAGATCAGAAGGAGGATTGGCAATGCACAGATATCAAGGGCAGAGGTGCTGACATGGAGCAAGCCTTGAGGATAGGGAAATTTATGGATGTTTGCGGTTTGCGGTTTTTGCCTCCTGTCAATCTCTTAGTTGGCGGGTTGTAGGGGCTCCAGGGGGCTTCGGCGTGTCTTCAGCGCCCAATGGCGGGTCCTGCTGGAGAGGCAGAGTCCCGCCGCCTTCCGCGGCCGCAGCCAAAGTCAGTCACTCCACCGTTGAGCGCGATGACGCCAGTGGGATTACATAACCCACTTAACGCGTGCTCTACGGCGGGACTCTTGGTGTCTGAAGCGCAGGTAGATTTTCGCAGATGATGCGCAGGTTGGGAGAGGGAACAGGGATTTCGAGGTCGGAATCTCGACACGAGGACATTCCATTTCCATCTCTGGACCTGAGCGTGGCCCCGAGCCTTGCTGCTTCAACCTGAGATGCTACACGCACGATGTCATGGCACCGCGACTGAGACTTGGAAGATCGAGTATAAAAGTAGCGCTGCCAAATATCCGCTTCGAGCCTCGTCGCCCTCCCCGACGGCGCTAAAATTTGCAGGGCAGGTATTTTCGTCGGAAATGCTGGGCAAGATAGTCAGTCAAGGCACAAAGGGACCCTTCAAGATGGATGACTTTGATACTTGCGTGGAGCAATCTACTGTACGTGCCAACATTCGGAATTGACGTGACTTAGACTCTCGTCGCGAAGAATGAATGCCTGGGGCGCCTCTCCTCCTCTCCCAACGGCCGTCAACATGGTCGCCCGAAATCGACTTCTCTCCGGCCGCTGGTCCGTTAGACTCGAAGCCTGGAGAAGCATCAAAGGGAGAGGAACTGGCAGGCACTATTGATGGATTGGAGCTGGCTAGAGTGTCAAAATCATTTCTGGTCTCTATTTGTGTTAAAAAAAATATGGTACAGTAGAATCATACAGTCGTCGGAATCCGGGAATAACACTCTGCCTTGCAGGCCTACTGGTCCCTCACCAGCGCCTCGAGCTTCGAATACACCTTCTCGAGCTTTTGCTGTCGCTGCGCCGGTGTGCGGCGAATCGTGGTTTTGCTATTCAGGTCGTGATATTGCTTCATGGACTCTCGGCAGAAAGACAGTTCAGAGACGAGGTCCTTGATCTTTTGCATGCGCTCGGCGCCGTCCCGGCCGCTCTGCTCCCTCTGTCGGCGGAGGTCGTCCCTCTTGTCCCGCAGGGCCTGGCCCTTGGAGATCCTCTGCTCTTCGGCCGTTGCGCTCTCGCCCTCGAAGAGCCGTATCAGCGCGTTGAGCTCCTCAATCGGCCTCGCGCCATGGTTGCGCGCTCGCGCGTCGGTCATGTCCGACTGGGCTCGCGCCAGCGCCTCCTCGCTCCGGCGGAGGTCTTGTTCCAAGGTCTGAAGCTTGGTGCGTTTGCGAGCGAGTTCGTCGTCTAGCTTCTGCATGTCGGCCGAGTCGGGTTGGGCTGCGTCAATCTGCGTCCTGAGGGCTTCAAGCCTTCTCTCGTCCCGCTCCTTTCGCCGCCGCTTCTCCTCAAGGTCGACACGCCTTGCGCCTAACCTCTCCAGTTTCTGCGAGAGGGTTTGTTCCAGAACCGAGATAGTGTGGCGGTCGGGATACCTCCTCCCCCTCTCTTTGCCGATGGTATAATTGACGTCCTGTACATCGCGCTCTTTTTCTCTCAGCGCCTCGCGATCGGCCCTCATCTCCCTCGCGAGCCGTTCCACATTCTGGGTGATCGTCTGATACTCGCGCTGTAGGTCGTTGATGTTTCTCCCTGCGTCGCGAAACGCGCGCGTCTCAGCTGCTTGTCTATCCTCTAGGGCTCTGATCTTGGCCCGGAGCCGCGCCCTCTTCTCGCGGAAGAGCTCCGACTCCTTCCGCGCGGCCCCTAACTTCTGGGCCGCATCATTCAGGCTCGTGTAAGCGGCTGCGAAATCTCGCTGCAGCTTCGGCACTAATATGCCATATTGGTGTGCGGTCCTCTGGCACACTTCTTCTCTGACCTTCAACTCGACAAACTCGGCCTCAAGGCGGGCCAGTTCCGTCTCCTGGCGGTTAGCCATTTAGACGTATGGGGTTCAGAGCCTGATGGTATAACCCAGGCGTTGTGGTAGAGGAAGAAAGTATGTAATGGTGATGCGCCAATGGAGACGGGCAGTTGGGCTGAGAAGGAGACTGAATGGATGATTGAAAAGGTGCAATGGAAACAGGGCGGAAATACTCAGTCTTTGAATCTCTTTGCCTACCTGTCCCGTATGGCGTATGTTCCAATTCACCTGGCACAGCCCTATACACCACACCCTCCACCATGACGGAAGTGAAAGAAGTCCCCGTGCATGACAAAGGACACCCGTGGAAACCCGATGACAACCGTGGCGGTTGTGTAGGCGATGAGGGGGATGGCCCTTTGGTTTTTCAGCCGCACGATATCTGCTGGGGGGGTCACATGCATTTATTGCTCTACGGGTTCGGGAGGGGGAAAGGCATGTGAGGCAGACATCAGGCTGAACGCTGGATTTGCGGCGCAGGTTGGGTGCCAGGAGTTTGGCGTTGTTTGGTGTGCGGAATGTGGAATGCACAGCCCCGTTCTGGATGCTGCTGATTGGCGCCAGTCGAGGCTAGACTCAACCGAGCGGGATGGAAATGGATTTGCCATTGGCTGATGGCCAACGTCCAATGCAGACGACAAAGGTCACCGAAACGAGTGTAAGAAGTGCCCCTCCTGTTCGTCTTTCATCCTTGCATTGCCTACGCCACCGCTGTCGTCGGCCGGGGAGACTATGGCAGGGTCGCGTTCGACGACAACGTCACTGATAGGGACTTTTTCAAACTCTGTGCATCAGGCTGGGCTGTGTCGCCCTTTGCTCTCGTGCGTCATGCAATGCTACTTCGTGGCGCACCCTTTGGCGGCACCCATGCATGCCCATGCATGCCTGCCATCCCGACATCCCTACGACACCCGTCTTGAGCCGAATGCAAAACTTGTCAGAGACAAACGAACAAGCCAAGCGGAATGAGGCAATCCAAAGCCAACACAGATAGGCGCCAGGCAGACAAGTCAGCCTCACTCCCTGAGACCCAGCTTAGCTTAACCCCCTCCCTTACAGCCCCGGGCAGCTGTGCTCCGTCTAGACGCATCTTTTATGTATGTAGGGTCAGAGAGCGCTGGTCTTCAAAATTTTCACTCGAGCAGTTCTCCCGTGTCTGCATTGTAATGGTGTGATCCCGATTTCTTTCAGTTACGAGGTGATACTTTTCAGGCTCCCGACAACAACCGCCGGCTCACTCAACCCCGCGAAGTTCATGGACTGCTGTTGATGTAGCCTGACATTGGATTCTTGAACCTTTTGCTACTGTGGCCGCCAGCAGAGACAGAGTCCGTCACAACTTGGTAAGTTTTGTTTCTCTCAATGTTGAACTGGAGCCTAATAGAAACGCCCCCCGCGAAAGGCGCCCTCCTCCCAACACGCTGACCCGATCCACTTCTGGACCACGAGACAGCCTGATCCGCCCTGAACTCGAAACGAAGGACTGACATAGCCATGGCGCCAGCGGCGATTGTGACCATGTGCGACGACTCCCGCGAACCGGAAGGATACGGCACCCTGGTATCCATGTCACGGTCATCCACCCTCGACTCCTTCGACACAGATTCCCTTTCGGAGCCACGACCAGGAAGACTTTCCCGCACCAGCACCGGTGACCTCCTTGTCAGTGAGAAAATATTGGCCGCCGCCGTAGGCAACCGCTACTCCGGGGTCGGTGTCCTCCAAACCCTTCTCCGCCACCGCAGTCACATCACCGTCAGCGAGAAGATCATCGTCGCCGCCGCCGCGAATACACGCGAGGGTGCCGCGTTGACAAAACTGCTCCTGGCCCACGGGAATGTCGATATCGGCCTGAGTGAGGAGGTCATGCAATCGGCCGCGAGGAACGAAGGCCAAGGGCCCGAAGTGATGGAGGTCTTGCTAGAGCATCTTAAGCAACACCACACAAACCATGGGGAGGATGATGACAAGGACATACGCATGAAGATGGCAATCAGCGACAAAGTCCTGCAATTGGCGGCGGCGAATGAAGAAAAGGGCCCCGAGGTCATGGCTGTCCTGCTAAGGTATGGGAAAGACTTTGGTCTGGAGGTGAATGACAGCGTCATGGAGGCTGCGGCGGCGAACGAGGACCGGGGCCCCCAGGTGATGGAGGTTCTCTTGAAGCATTTGGATCTGGATCAGCTTTGAGCGAGCCTTGTACGTGGTAGCATATAGTGTGAGAAGATCGATCGAAGCATGTAGGAAGAGCTCGACTGTAGGTTCAATTGGAGATCGTGCATGGCAATTCGAAGACAACATCGTGGATTTATGGTAGCTGGTACGCAGCTTTCCCTCTGGACGTTGATCGTCCACCTACAATCATCGTAAGACTCGACATGCTTTGCCTGATGATTCTTATTATCTTCTGATGTGCCCAGGCCATGTCACTCGGCATTTCGTTCATATCAATCCGTGTTCCAGTCCTCAAGACTAGGCGTGTTTATTGGCTGTAGAGGCAATACTGGATGACAATGGCGGGTGAACGAGTTGAATGCCCATCCGCGCTGAAAGTCGCCGTCCGGCACCCAAAGAGCAAAGGTATCAGTCGGCATGGTCGATGGTTCAATCAATGGGCGATGTTGGCTGCTACGAATGCATGCTGGAGCAGAGTCGAGGCGACTAACACCTCCAGGCATTGGCGCCTCTTCTTTGCCCACTTCGCTTCGCCCCCTTCAGCCCTTCAGCCGCTCTTACAGCCTTATATGAACAATGAACACCGTTTGAGGCCCGACAGGTGCTTCGAACAGGCGTCGCTCACTTTCGTATTCTACCAAAGACGTTCCCCAGTTTTGACTGTTGGTGCGTCCCTCAACAGCATCAATGTCTGAAACCTGTGTCATTGAGGACAATCTTGTTCCGGCTCTCACGAACACGAGCATGTCGGGTCCAAATGCATCGTCGCTCCCTCCGCGGCTCATGACGGCGAGATCAACGGCCGGGTCGAAGTCCACATCCATCAGCAGCCTGTCCTGGTCAAAATGGCGCTTGTTCGGCTATGCTCCTGCAAAGAGTACAACGGCCGCCACTTCAGCATCGAGACCAAGGAAACCGAGCTTCGTGAATCGATCGGGGTCACCATCTCCTACACCTGGGGAGAGTTCGACCGCCAGGACCATCACATAGGCCATGTACACGGCAATTCATCCAGTGCGGCATCATTGCGTTTAGGAGCAGAATGGCTCGTCGACGGCTTTATGGAATGGCTCTCAGAGCTGACGGCTGAATTCGGCGTCTGCTGGATAGATTAGTTCTGTAACCCTCAGAGCGACGAAGCGATCCGAAAGACTTTGTCAGCCATTCCAACCATCTACAAAACTCTGGACATCTTCGTCATCATCCCAGGTCCTGTCTGTTCTTGCCTCCCCACAGCATATCGCGCCTTCGAGGCCGCAAAGCAGGCTCTCGATGATCCTTTATCGACAACCGCCGAAGTGGAGACGCTCTGTAAAGCGGCTCTAAAACACCTATCAACTGCAGTCGAGGCAGATGTGCATAGACCATAGACAATCATATGTGAACTGCCAGTTGACTGCGCGCACCGTTTCCTTATTCTTTGTCTTGTGTGTTCTGTCTCTCTCTCTCTCTCTCTCTCTCTCTCTCTCTCTCTCTCTCTCTCTCTCTCTCTGTGTGTGTGTGTGTGTGTGTGTGTTCTTACTCTCTTGCCTGCATAGCCTTGCACCTCTTATCCACCATCGCATATCCCATCGACGGTTCTCAGAGAGGAAGTAAAACTAAAGGGTCCCAGCTCAATATTAGAAAGGGTAGGGGGACTATTTCTAGGAACCCTCCCTCGCGCCAAGGATACAAGGGCACGTTGTCCGAGGCTTATTACGCTTATAAAGACTGGCTCGCTCTCGTAGGGTCGAGGAGGTAACGTACTATAATATATCTCTAGGGAACCCTCCCCTCGGGACCTCGTTTTGAGGCCCTCTTTAAAACTTAACGGTCTGGAGGAGGGACGACTTCTAGGCCACTGCCCCGACGTGGTCAGCAGGGTGAGCTAGCCCAGCCGAGCCTGAGCCGACGTTGAGCCGGACGTGAGCCAGCCTGAGCAAAAGCGGCGCAAGGTCACGTGGTCGGACAGGCGTCGAGGTTCGGGTCGTGAAACAGCAACGTGTGCCTAATCGCGACAGCCATAAATTCAGCAGAAGAAGACTCGTCTCATCTCGGCGAACTCGCCCTGGCATATTCTGTCCAACGGTTCACACAATGAAGCGGAAGTTCTCTGCCGAGGAACAATCTTCTTCTTCCCAGGTTCCCATTGATGTGGAAGGCGATAACGCCTCCCCTCCCGAGGAAGAGACGGTTGACCCCGATGATCTCTGTCCCATCTGCCATTCACTCATCCACAAGCCGGTCCGAACCAGATGTAACCATACTCTTTGCCAGTCCTGTATGGCCCTGTGGGCGGATGTGTCAGTTACGTCCCAATTGACCGCCGTTGGACTCGACGATGAGGTGGCGGTCATGCTACCTCACGAGATCGAAACGCGTTGTCCCATGTGTCGAACATTTACCATTTCGACCTTGGACCCCACCAGAGAAAGAGCCCTTCAGCGATTATATCCCATCTCCTACCAGGCACGTGAAGCCGAATCCCAAACAGCCGAGGAAGATGGTTCTGCCTCAACCATTGAGACGCTAACCGTTCACATCGGAAACGAACACACAGAAATCAGAGCTGAGCAGGGGTCTAACAACAAGCATCATTGGAAGTTCTTCATCCGACCGTCAAGAACCGACCTGATTGAAGAGGTCCAAGTCTTTCTGGTAAGTCCCATTCTGTGCTGCGGCCTGAAATCACCAACCTGTGACATCAGCATCCTACATTCAGAAATCCGATAGTCGTCATTGAATGGCCACCATACGAGATCAGACGACTCGGATGGGGCTACTTCACCATTTACGCCAATATCATCTTGAAGCCTGGCTACAGCTGGCTGAGTCCTGAGGCGGAAGGTACGCGGGACGGTGCGCCAAAGGGCAAGTTACCGCTGGAATGGACGCTGGATTTCAATGGCCGTGGATCACAAGCACGGATCAGACTCAAAGTCAGAAAGGAGAAAGAAGGCCAAGAGGCGGAATTGGACGTTCAAAGAGAACGTGTACGCAGATCTTACGCCCGACAGCGAGAGACGGATCCTGATTGGGAAGATACGTGAGTGATCAAGTCAAGAGGTTGGAAAGAACAGGGCTATGGCCCATTCCGTTGTTTCCTGTGTTAGGACAATGCACCTTCAAGCGGTAACAGCTGGACAAAGACGGCGGCTTCTTGTCTCTGACGGGGTTTGTCAAGAGCCTTATTCTCCTTCATTGTCTCTTTATCCAACATTGTCACCTTTATCTACTGCATTGCCTTTTTGTGTTATATCCACGGGATGGCTGGCTTTTATATATTTAAATCGACACTCACACGGGGAATTGCCTTCAAGCGGTGTGCCACTTTCCTTTTTCTGGTCTTAACAGTCTCGCATGTTTCGCAGTTCACATTTTGCTTTCCCCGTTATTGGAATTTTACAAATCAACACTCAAAAGCACGATCAGGGCTGTGAGACGACAGGATTTCGTCACATAGCTGTCAAGACTGGCTAGTGTTTTGTCGAAATGGCGGTGCATCGCTCTACCACCCTTCCAGAAGGCATGATTCCGGTTCGGATATCCTCGCTGTCCAAAGGCGTTACCCAATCTCCTTCACGACCCATGGACACCACCTTTGTTACGTGGCCAGCCCCAGACGGATGGTACGCTCCACCCCGAGGTCCGTTGAATGATGAGGAGGAGCCCTTCCCAAGTTTTCAAGACCCATCCAAATCTCTCATAATTGAACGAACCCTGCTCTTGGACTCGCTCTATTTCCGTCTAACGGCACTTTCACGTCACGCGAGAGATTATGAGCGGTCAAGGTTCGAAGCTCTCTTGTCCCGTGTCGCTGAGTCTGGCCACCTCAGACATGACGAAGACCTGTCGCGCACTAGGTTATCTATCCCAGAAGTCCTCGCCTCCGGTGAGAGCTACCGCGCTCAAAGGGGACTTGGCAACAAAGGCAAGTTACCTGCGAACAGGAGACTGAAGACTAACCATCGCTCGAGCAGCATTGAACCGCAGCCGAAAGATGTCTTGAAGGAGAAGATGAAACAGCGCTACGCCAAAGGAGTCCGTCAAGCCTTGGTGTATGAAAAGAAATTTGGCATGGGATTTCTCAACCAGCCGGTTGATGCAGGTGAGCGAGAGCGAGGCCGGACTATGAAGCGTACCCATCCTGGCGCGTTCAACCGTGTGAAGGTGACCACTGCACTTACGATGCTCCGTCAGACTTTCCCACATCGGTACAAGGCTAATCCTCTCGAACAGACGAACAAGGATGAGACATCAGAGCAGAGGAAGCAAAGTAAGAAGGCCACTCCGGAAAAGGAAAGTCAACGAGAGCTTTCTTCAGATAAGCGAGCTTCTTCCAGTGCCAATGATACTGAGAAACCCTCTGGATCTCCCAAGTCTACAGATTCCTTTGTGTCGGCCAAGAAGAAGGCTTCCACTGTTTTCCGAGGTCTGGTGTGCAAGGTTGGCTTTGGACGATTCCCCAATGAGAAAAGCACGACGCAGGTCCTCTCGCCAGGCAACGCACACAACAACGAACTTGACACCACTGGCGCTTGCTTGCTTGACGTCGACAGTTTCCCCATTGTTCTGAAGGTGAACGACATGGGTAGAAGACAGAGCGAACCGTCTGAACCAATTGGACCAGGATCTGCTTCGTCCAGGAAGAGGAGGAACAGCGCGGCTAAGGAGTTCGCAATACAGGCAGGAATCGTCGTCGCAAAAGAAAGTGGCGCTTCCAGCGAGCGGGCACATCCGAGTGCACTAACTTGGACCGAAACAGTGACTGTCCAAAGATCTATTACGAAGCACTCATTTAGGGGAGTCACTGGCAGCACCAGTGTAGCTCGTGCGACCACAGCCCGAATGTTCCGACCAGTCTCACCTCCACGGATGATCCAAATCAAGGTTAGAAACAACATACACAACCACAAGCGGCCGCAAAAATCTGCGATGCCCAAGGTAAGCATGGTTCAGCAATCGCAGACGGTGAATGTGTTGAACTTGAATGGAAGGTCATCCCTTAGGCACGTGAAGGTCGACACTCCACACCATCAGGCTCTCAGCGAGAGCGAGGACAAGCTACTCGGTATGGTGAGCCAGGTAGATCGGCAGATATTTGGTGTGCATGACGCTCGATAAATCGTCCTTCGAGATCTCTATATGGAAGTGCATGACGAAGCAATAATCAGGGGAAGTTCCTTGAGCGGGATAGGATACGATGCCACAGGCATAAGCTCGTCATCTGGTGGATCTAGTCGGTTTTCAGACCCGTTAGCAGGACTTATGAGGTGACTTGACTGCGGGAGATATCTCGACATGCCAGCGATCATTAACGTCATCCAGATTCTATAGTCACATCCATGGTGTTCTTTCTGGCTTCTGAGTCGGCGACAAAGTGCATTGCGGGGTCAAAGTAGTCTTAACTGGAGCAGTCCGCGGAGTCTCGGAGCACGGATTGTATTGAGTATGGAGAATGTTGCAGCTTGCATCCACCACCGGCATCCAATTCCCTTGTTGGATGAATTCATTACTTCTTATCCTATTCTTTCTGCATGGGCACAGACAATGTTTGTAGATACCTATTTCATGCCATTCAATCTTCAACAAATACCTAAATTGTGATCCGTCCCTGCCTGAACTGTACATACATCATGACGCCAGTCGAGATGAATGTTGTGAGCGAAAATATGGTGCTATAGACCGCCTCGGTCGAATCACCCGCATCGATGTGGATTTCCTCTCACTATTGAATTTGCTAACGTCCTGCGCCTGAATTTGGTCTCTAGAGATGAACGTGGAATACCAGGTTCCGCTCCGGAAAGTGGCCTTTTAGCCGTATGATCGAAATGGAAGGTAGCTTCGACCTACATTGCAACGTCATGAAGCTGGAGAAGATCGACATGTATATGCATCGCATAGCCGATGGCCTTGCTTACTCTAAAAGGCGGAGTACCCCAGGTTCTTGGGCGTGTGCTACACGGCATCAAGAGATACAGAAGTCCTCAGGATGGCCTTCTTCATATCAATCAGCGCCTTGATGCTGTCGCAGGGTACCCTTCTTGCGGCCCAATCTGTCCAAAATCTGGGCGTTTCGTGCATTGCCAGCTCCCAAGAATGCGGTCCACGAGGAGGTATCGGGGACGGGGCCCATCCTGTGTTAATTCCTCAATCTTTTATCACCGACGCTCTGATATCTACAGCTCCAAACACCACTCGTCAATTGGCACCCGGTCCGCCACCTGTTCGACTGTCAGCATACCCGAGCAGCTCATCATCGTGCCCACCAAGACGCAATATTATGGTTGACTCTGCCAATGGGGCGCAACAGGAGATGGTCGGGTTTGGACACGCCTGGACCGACAGCGCCGTCAGTGTGTTCAATACGCTGGATAACGCTACCCTTGCTCGTGTCCTGGAAGATCTTTTTGGGCAAAGTGGCAACAACATGGGCTTTATGCGGCATACCATTGGTTCTTCTGACCTGTCTGGCGAGCAATATACCTACGACGACAATGGCTCCAGCTTCAACGAAGGAGAACCTGACCTCGACTTGTCCAATTTCAGCTTGGGGCCGCATGGCACTGGACAGGCCAAATTCATTGCCGAAATGGGCACAGTCAAGGGAGATGTCTTCCTCTTTGGGTCGCCATGGTCATATCCCGGGTGGACGAAGTACAATGATCTATTCATTGCGCCAAATCTCAACGTGGATGGCGGCGGGAGCTACAACATCCTCAACAACAGCTTCAATCCTGTGTACATTCCTCAAATGGTAGCGTACTTTTCCAAGTATGTCGATGCATTTCGCGACATGGGAGTTCAAGTCAACGGGATCACGCCGATGAACGAGCCTCTGAACTATCAAGGTGGCTATCCTTGCATGTTTCTCGACCCCGTGGATGCAGCAAGTTTGATTGCCCAGGGACTTGGGCAGGCAATGCACGACCGCGGTGTTATCATCATGGCATACGTAAGTCGCTTATGGACTCCCTGTCCTTCGCCTTCCTTCGGTTCTAGAGCTGATTCGAATATCATGATGCTTGATGCCAGGACCACAATACCGATCAGCCCGTCTATCCTGCCCGCGTCATTCAAGGCACGGGCGGTGAGGGCTCTCTTACGGATGCAGCGGCCTGGCATTGCTATGCTGGTCCTGTTGCAAACTACAGCGTGATGTCGGATTTTCACTCTGCCTTTCCCAACACCCTGCAATTCATGACGGAATGCTCCAACTACCTGCCGCAAAGTGGCAGCTGGAACTTCGAAGTGGCCTCGAATTTCATCCCACCAGTGACGCACGGGGCTTCGGCGGCTGCGATGTGGGTTATGGCAACGGATCAGGAGTATGGACCTCACTCCCCATATGGCGGATGTGCCGGCTGCCAGGGAAGTGTGATTGTGAACTCGTCCACGCAATACACGCTCACAAATGACTACTACATGGTGGGCCAATTCTCCCGCTTTGTCCGTCGTGGCAGCGTGAACTATCGGATCCTGGGCAACGGAAACGAGGGCGATGCCAGACAAGACAACCAGTTCTACACCATGGCTGTGCGCAATCCGGACTCGAGTTGGGCGGTCATCATGATGAACAACATCGGTAGTGACCAGGATGTAGTGCTCGGGTTCAACAATGGAGAGAGCGACGTATGGCAAGGGACAGTGCCCAATGCGACGGTGGTGACATGGTTGCTGCCGCCTCAGGGTGTTGGAGCTGCTGCCTCTGCTCCTGCTGGTCCCTATACCAATGGGACGGCATCTGCCACTGAAGCAGTGTGCCCGACGGTGAGCGCTTCGTCAAGCTCCAGCTCCTCCAGCAGCAGCACGAGCACCCTCGAACTGGTACCGAACACGACACATACGATTGACTCGGCTTCTCCCACCAGCAGCCATAGCACCAACGACACTAATGACGGGGAATGATAACGTGCTAGTAAGGTCTGGGGAGGCTGGGCGCACGAGCATGTCACTGCACATGCCTGTCACATACCTAGGTAGGGGATACGAGGCGTGTGCGTCGATCGGTGCTGTATGTCGTGCTTTAAATAGCACCGCCATGGGGATTGTGCAGGATAGCTAGCCTTGCGGCGTCCGGGCTAGTGGCTTGCCTCCCTCGCTAGGCAGCTTAGGCTCACTAGACTGGCTAGTCTTGCCTGTCCGGGTAGCGGTTTAGTTAAGATGGAGCAACTACCGGCGTGGCCCCTCCCTGCCTCCCTGCCTCTCATGGCCCCCCCTCCGCCCTTAGCAACCCTCCGCCACTCCCCCGGGTGCAATCGTCACCCTCCAACACATGCGGCAACTCGGCGGATCCTCGCCAGGTACAAACCTGCTGGGGCCTGAAGCTCCCCAGACTCAACACAAACCTGAAGGTCAAAATCCATGCCCATGTTCTTCCCCAGCTTCTTGCGCGGACAAGGCCTTTCCTCTCCCCGACTTTGCATCAACTGAGACGAAGCAACTCTCCCACGATGATGCTGTTGGTCTATAGTCCCCCAGCAGATAATCGCCTGGTCCGTGAGGGCTGAGAGCGTTTGACGTGCCGGTTCGCCAATCCTTGTCCCCACGCTGACCCGCGATGGCCGACGACCAACAACACCAAAGCCCTCCGACGCCCATGAAGCGTGTGTCGAGAGCATGCACCTTCTGTCGCGCCCGCAAATCCAGATGTGAATTGTAAGCGATCCGTTTATTTTCTTCGACGCTTCTGCGCATCGTTTTCCATCGGTATACCGCCCAACAAAGAAGAACAGAAGGGCAGGTGGGACCTCTGTCTGCGTCTTCGATCGGCTTGTGCTCCATCCGCTCGTCTGGCCCCCCCGGCTATCTGGAAACCTCTCACAAGCTGCAATAGCCGCCTGTCGGCAACCACCCAGACAGACCATCGTTCTCGTGTCGACTTCTATCCTTGCCGTTCATTGACCCTGATTGATTGTGTAGGGAAGCTTCAGGCGGCCAACCTCCATGCGCAAGATGCAGGAAAGAAAACCGCGAGTGCGTTCTGGGGACATCGAACCGCGGCGGGAGTCGAGTGAGGAAGAAGCTGCTTTCCACCACCAGCTTGTCCAGTCTGTCCAACCCTCCGACATTGACACCCCTTCTTGAGACCGATCCCCATGCCGACACCAACGCTAAATCCCACATCCGTCCTCCTCCGTTTCTACAGCCCTCCCCTCTCCAAGATCGCCCTTCGATAACCGTTGGTCTGGCGGGTGGTGTGGGAGAACCAACCACGAGTGCGAACGCGGTCGATGATGATGACTCGGCGTCCACGGCTGACAGCACGATCGGGAATACCATACCTAGGAATCCGTCAGACGCCTGGCAGTTGTTGAAAGATGTGGCGAACCGAGAGGCAGACCAGCTACAAGCCAAAGCAGGAATGAGCCAGTCGGGAGATCTCTCAAATCAAGACATGCAGAATGGAACGAGACCGGAGCCCAGGGGCTCCATCAATGGCATACACGCTGGAATATCGACCTATCGACTGGTGCGCGAAGGCTACCTGACGCCCGAAATCATCCAAATGCTGGTTAGACGTTACGCCGAGCATTATCACCCGTACCTGCCCTTGGTCCCGCGCAAATACTTCGACCCTGCTCAACTGGACGTCTTCGCGGTCAATGATAAACATCTAATGACGGCCGTCATCACCATCTCATCCAAGGACCTCATTGAACAACCGACGATCCATACCTGCTGCTCTCGATACATGCACGATTTGATATCTGGGATCGCCGCTGGCCATGATTGCGAAGTCGAGGCGGTCGAGGCATTGCTGTTGCTCGCTGAATGGGAGCCGCAGGGTCTGCGGAACCGGATCGAGGCTGTGGGCAGAGGCGAGGAGGATCGCTCGGCCTGGATGCATGTTGGGATGGCGCTTCGCACAGGTTATTTCTTGGGTCTGGACCGGACTGCGTTTCGACAAGAATCTGCCGAAGAGGCGAGAATTGACGGACGCAAGCGCCTGGCTTGGGCCAACTGCTACGTCTCGGATCGACTGATATCGGTGAGAATTGGGAAGGCATTCTGGTCGAGGGGACCTGGACCCATGACTGGCCTCTCCTCCCAAGATTTTCCCTCATTACAGCCACTCAGTCCTGACGACGAGGACTATGCCAAAATCATGCAAGCCACCTTGGATCTCACCCAGCTCTACTCCAATGTGCACGATGTTCTCTACTCCGGCATGCGCACCAGTGGACAGATGATGCTCATGGGAGATTATGTCAAGTACGTCGACGATTTCCGCGCCGCCATTGCTCGCTGGAACACGACCTGGGGCAAACTGGAGTGCTCTCCTTATATCAAGGTCACACTGCAGATGGCGTATGAATATCTTTGTCTGTACACCAATGCCTTTGCTTTCCAAGCGGCAATCGCTCAAGCAATTGCCAGCAAGCCCAAGAGTGACGCCCATTCACTGAGGGACCATCTTCGAAGTGTGTTCAGCAATGTCGGTGCCATGCCAGATGCACGCTTCATTTGGGCCAGTGTGGCCGCCGCGAAAGCCTACCTGACGCTTCTCAGCACGCAGGTGGACCCGAGCAAGTATCTGCGATACATGCCGCTGAGATATTACCTCTACTGCATTTATTCCGCGGTCTTCTTGTACAAGGCACGCTCGTTTGGTGTGATGACGGACATGGAAGAGCGCCAAGTGCGACAACTGGTCTTCCAGACCATGGAAGTGCTCAAACGAGCGTCTGTCTCTGCCCAGGATCCGGGATCGCGCTATGCAAGGCTATTGGAGCTGTTGTGGATTAGACCGCAAAAGGGGCCTTCGCAACTACCGCCTCCAATTCAATCTCCCGCAGCATCAGACGGGCCATTGTCGTCGAGTGGCAGTGTCCACGTCGATGCCCAAGGCTATATGCAATTCAGCCCGGCAAATGACTTCTCGTGGCTGGACCTCGAGGCGGTCGGCGACTACGTCTCTGGCGATCAAATCACAGGCAATGGGATGAACATGCTTGCCCCGATGGTGGGGTTCGAGTCGACGTCGACTTTCATGCCTCAGGCGCAGGCTCAGGGAATGCAGTGGCAGCAGACCAACAATGCGGTGAACTGGCCAGTGGACTGGAATGGCAACCTGTTCTTCTGAGTTCTTCTGCCTGAGGATTCGTTTGGAGATTGCTCCAATGAACGACGGCGCAGTTCTATCCGTTTCAGGCTAATGTCGGCGACTGGCAGCAGAAGCCGACGCGTGGGCAGCACTTGGACTTCCCCGCACCACCCACCACGGTCTGCCCGTTCAAATCGGCGCAGTCACCGCGGTTGCACCGTTTGGTCTTTCGGTGGAGAGGCTGCTGGGTGCTCACGAGCACAGCTTTGTATCTGAGGCATGAGTACAAGACAGCGACTGTCCCAACTGACCTCCCACACCAGCACTTCGCAGACATTAGGATCAAGCCGATCTCCGCCCAGCATGTCAGTCGACAACGAAATCAAAGGCAGACTAGCCCTGATCACAGGTGCATCTGGAGGGTATGTTTATCCTCGCCAATCCCACGGCGCGGCGTTCGTCTTGGACTGACGAAAACAGAATTGGTGCCGGTTGCGCACGAGACCTTTACAAGAATGGCTGTCACCTCGCTCTGACGTATTCCAAAAACAAAGCCAATGTCGACAACCTGATCGCCGAGCTCCAAGGCGACTCGACCTCCTCCGACCTGAAGATCTCCTCACACCAGGTAGACATGGCATCCACAGAAGAGATGGAAAGATTATACAAAGAGATTGAATCACAGCATGGCCACGGTCCGGACATTCTGGTCGCCAATGCAGGATATGGAAAGCGAGTGCCTCAGATAGTGGACATCACATACGAAGAATTCGACTATACAATTCTGATCAACTTGCGTGCACCTTTTGTTCTGGCGAAACTGGCCGTCCCACACATGGCGCAACAGAAATGGGGACGCATCATCATGATGTCCAGCATCGCTGGCTATGGCGGTGGGATCAACGGCTGCCACTATGCCGCCTCAAAAGCCGGCCTCACAGGCATGATGAGGAATCTAGCCATCAAGCTCGCCAAGGACGGCATAACGGTCAATGATGTGGCGCCTGCGATGATCGGTGAGACAGGAATGATTCCCAACGCGAAATTCCTCGAGGGCACTCCCGGAGATGTAAGGAATATTCCGGTCGGCAGACTGGGCACACCGCAGGAATGTGCGAATGTGGTGACCATGTTGTGCAGGACGGGGTATTTGACCGGACAGAGCATTTTGTTGACTGGGGGACTGAAATGAAGCCCTACCTAGGTTGGTCATGTAGCAAAATCAGAATGGATAAAATTATCGACGAACATATCTGACGCTGCCATTCTTGTCTTCGAGGTTTAGTCATTCGCAGTGGGTGGTGAGCTGGAAGGAGCCAGTCTAGGGACATGTACATAATATTCGTGTCCAGTAAAGGCTCGATCCTTGTCTGCGAGTCTACAAGGCTCCGTGCGGACCGCTACTACGTATGTCATGAATAGAGCCTACTTTTTGGCTTCCATGATGACTGGAGAAAAAGGAGAGGATCTCCCATTTTAGCACGCTCCCATTTTCCATCAATGTGAAAACGATTCCGCCCACATATCAATATCAGCCCCGATGCCACGCGGGCTGGTTACCCCCTTTTGTCGGATGGCCTTTTTGTATCCCTTTGTGAAATGTGTTGGTTATGCGCCCCTGGTTTCCGCCAGTGCCAGTGCCAGTGCCGGTGCCAGTGCCATTGCCGTTCGAACTCCGATCCCGAATCCATGCCGGTTGCCGTTCCGATTCCACAGCTCGTGGCCTATAGCTATCTCGACCCAGGCCTGATGATCGGGCCTTTCCCTCCGCCGGTGCCGGCGCCGGCGCCCTGGGCCTCGTCCTGCGCGGCGCCTCCGGGCATGGCGTCCTTCCTGGTGTCCGTGCCGGCGAAGACCTTTTTCCGCGGCGCGCCGGTCGAGGTCGCCGCCACGGTGGTCGACTTTGACTTCTGCGTCGTGGTGCCCACGTACGTCCTGCTCTGCGAGGGTACGACACCATCGGCGTCACGCACCGTCGCCGCCCCTTCGAGCTCCGACGTCGTCGAGCTGATCTCCACGTTGGCCGGGCTGACCTCGAGCGGGTTGAAGGGCGCGGCTCGCGGCGGTGTCGGTCTCGCGTTCGACGTCCCCGCTGTCGACGCGTTGGTCAGGTCCGAGATCTGCTCTGCCGCCTGGGCGATCGATTCTGCCGGGTCGGCCGTCGCGCTGCTGTCCGGCGAGAAGGACACGGCCTGGGCTGCCACCGCGTCGTCCGTCCCGGATTTGCTGTACTCGGTCGGTTGCCGGTCGATGCGGGTCCGGTCCTGTTGGGCCGAGCGATTGGACTGGATGTCCTGTTGGCATTGCGTGGTCGAGGTGGATTGAGGGCGGGTGGTGGTGGTGGTGGTCGAGGAGATGAGTGGTTGAGGCCGGTGGTGTTGACCATTGGGGAGAACACTTGCGAGTCGATGGACAGGCGTGATGGGAGCTCGTGCCACGGTCGTGCTCCTCAGACTCGAGGCTCGCAGGCGTAGAGGCTTCATGTTGCGTGGTACTGTATTGTGGCTTCGTATCCTAGCTGGTGATTCTAGGTGGTGATGTGTGGTAAACAAGTTGATTTAATGGTTTCTTTGTCGACTCAAATCAATAAGCACGACGAGAGAGCGAGAGAGGCAGGGCATGGCACGTATATATGAAAACGGCGAACCAACCACAGTGCCACCGTCGGGGATCAGCACTGGCATACTCCATCTAGGGACTTCTGATATCATCCTGACGTGAAGCTCCACCTGCTTCCCCGGATTCCGTATCCCCCCTCATAATGTCTGGACGGTGATTGGGCCAGTACGGGGGGGGTAATGAGGGGCCCCTCGTGATTTGGCGGAAGGATAAAGGAGACAGAATGACTTTCTAGCCTAGATCCTCAGCCGAAGCTCTTCTGACTTGGAGTCTGGGCAGCCTGACAGGTCCGAGATTCGAGGTTTTCGATCTCCTACCAAGGGGCTGAAGAAGCGACGTGCAGGTTCCCGAGAGCATGCGTGTCGAGTTCCACATGCCGTGTCTGGCGAATAGAGGCTGGCCAGGGGTCGGCTGCGCCACCCCCCGAAGCGCCTCGCATCAGAAGGACGGCGCCTAACAGGAGATACTCAGCCTCACCAGGCGGACTTCCATTTCCTCGTCCTCCCACACTCTGGCGCTCAATTACAACTGATGGAGTAGCCCTCGGATCGACGAGGGGCTGATCCCCGTCGACTTCGCATTCTCTTTGGCGACCGTTGAACTCGGCTTTCCCTCACCCGAGAATGTCTGACCCGTTCTCAGCAGCAAGCAGCGTGATCGGCGTGGTCTCGTTCGGCTTGACCGTCTGCGAAGGCTTGATTTCCTACTTTTCAGCCTACAAGGGTCAAGCCCAGTATCTCGACAACCTCACCAAAAGGGCAGAAAACCTCAGAGGCTGCCTGGGCTTGTTACAACATGCCCTACCGTCATGGATGGTACACTTCTCCCACACAGCGCCTCAAATCGAGCAGCACATGACCGTATGCGATGCTAGCATCGAGATTTTGAGCAACAAGCTCTCGAGCTTCAAGCAGAAGCAAGGGCCTTCGTTGCGTAGAGACAAACTGCAACATGTCGCACAGAAGGCAGCTTTCCCATTCAAAAAGGCCACCATCGACGAACTATCTGACATCCTGGATGGCCTACAAGACAACTTGAACACCGTCCTCTCCATCGTTGGTTTGTAGGTTAAGACCAACTCGCACTTCGCGCATTCCTGAAACTGACGGCGACAAAGGGAGGCATCTTCAATGCTGGTGAAGACTCAGACTGTGACAAACACAAAGATCGATGCCGTGTTATCAGCTTCAGGTGTCATGACTGCTCACATCCAGAACGCGGGTCACGATATCTCCTCTTTGCGGGCTGAAATGTCCATCATGCGAAACGATCTCCAAGCCATGAGATCTATTCTTGGTCCAGGCGTGCATACAGCCATCCAGCGATCCGACAGCCCGACTCCGACTGCAAGACTCCAGACCTTGCCGCCACCGGAGTTAGAAGGAGGGCAGGTTCAGTCTCAGCACCTTCCAGAACCGAATTCCCCCACCAGACCTTGCCGTCAAGTCTCGTCCAGACGTCCGACTTCTTCAGCCACAAACATATTGGAAGTGTCCCCTTCCTTAATCTGTCTATGCCGGAAGGCTAAGACTCGCTGGTCCACAAGGGCAAAGACACTTTTCCTTGAATATCTCCAAGTCCAGGAACATGAAGAAGATTGCCCGTACTACGCGCTAACATCAAAGAAGAGAAGATTGGACATCTGGTTAACCTATCGCCCTCTGATGATCTCTCGTGGTTTCCGATGCATGGCGTCCTTGGTCACTGGCTCAGCTGGAATCAGTCCCAATATTGACTGGATTCCAATTGTTTCTACAGGGTCTTCTGCTGCCATGCCACTCTTTAATGAAATGAAGAGAAAACTTACAGGTGATGAAGATCTGGGGCCTCTTCTGGATGGAGTCCATGCTGAACTGATGAGCCTGTTCGCACAAAGAAAAGTACATCCGAGAGAGGTCAATGAACGTGGACAGAGTCTCCTCGATGTGAGTGTATTCGTGACCAATGTGATCAAGTATTGCTAACTATTAGAGCAGCATGTAAGCAGGCTGGTTTCGGGGCATATGTGGTCTCAGGAAGGTACGAATACTCCTCAGTGTTTGCAGTGTCTCTGTTGCGTCAAAGTGCGCGAATCCACGAAGAGGACTGAATGGTAGTAACAAGATCACCTTTGAGTGACTCTTACCCTCGGAATCGAGGTTTCAAATCTTTTGCTCCGATGCTGAGAATTTTCACAGCACATAAGGTCTATCCTTCTTTTGCCCGCTTCTTATACTCGCTTGCCTCTTTGGGTGCCAAGGCAAACCATGCAGGTTTCTCGGAGTAAGCCAGTGGATTCCCTCGCTTTGCCTCACCGGTGTCACCTAACAATGCCGGCAGGGATCTATTACATTGGGATCAGAAGTTAAGACCACAGCTTGGTGCCCTCACGGAGGATTTGGCCCAGAGAGAAGCTCTCGAAGGCCAGTCAAGCTTAGGGAATCATTTGCGTGAGCTGTCCAGGTATCGACAATGGCACCATGGTACGCTATTTGGGGCATCTCCACTGAGAACAGGATAGCATGCTAACTTTTCAGTGTTCGAAACGGGACCGCTGAGTCGGGCGATTCTGCGACGAGAGCCAGAAGAGATGATTCGCATACTTCAACGCAAATCCTCTTTTGTTGGCGATTTCAATGACTGGGGCCACTCGCTTTTACACCTCAGTTGCGATTGGCCTCTAGGTCTGGTCATCCTTCTCAAGTATGGAGCCTCTTCGTTAGTCGATCGGACAGATAGTTATGGCTTAACACCAAACAATCTCCTGAAGGAGAGCTACTCAGAAATCGGATCTATGGTACTGATAGCAGCAGGGACTCGCTTCACCGAAGGTTTCCTTGAAATTGTCACGTATCGTGGTATGTTCCGACGACCTTCGCAAGAACTAAGTGACGTTGCCATCGAGGGACTTTCTTACAGAAGAAAGCAACTCCAGCGCCTAGCAACATTGCACTTACCCCAAGGTGAGCACTCAGTGGTCGCCGACACAGTCAAACTTCTAGATGAAAACGCTGCTGCGGTTTCGTCTGCACTTGAAAAGTCTGGCATCAGAGCTCCAGAAGCTCTCTTCGTTCCCGGATCGCAGACGACCTTATACCATGGCCGCGAACTTGGGGTCAGGACTGCGCAGAAATTGTATGACACCGGTTTCTGCGACTTCGACGGGCGGGACAGCCGGGGGTACACGCCTCTGATGGGGGAAAATTGGGGGTACCATGGAGCCCATTCGTTCACGTATGCTCGATGGCTTTGCGATCGCGACGCGAACCTGCTTTGTCAATTTCCTCCATGCACGAGCAGCAACTGCCACGAGGGAGACGAGCATCAAAGGCCAATCGCACTCCAAACAATCCACTCCGCGGCGTTCAGAATCGGGGAGGCACTCTTCCGTGGCCGCTGGAATTCCTTGGACTGGGAAAAATCTGAGCAGGCGACACTCTTTTTAAAGCTTCTTTTGACTATTGCGTCCTCGGACGTTTCGGACGGCTGCTCTTGTGCTTGCTCCAGCCAAGGATGTACTCCGGTTCTGAATATTCTGGACAAGTCCAGTCCCAATGGGGCTCGCAGCTATTGGTTCTTGCGGTGGTTGGATTTGCATCTTCCGTACGCCTTTCCTCGAATATTTTTGAAAGTACTCAGACTGTGTACTTTTGACGCTCTAGGCCTGACACACACCTGTTGCCGTCATGGCTGCCGGCGTGATGAGGATTGGTTTTCAGGTCCCTGGTGGAAATCCTGCCCGTTTTCGACACCCGTGGATGAGGAGATCCACGAGATCCAGGAGGAGGAAAAGCACCTGATATCTCTTCTCGATTCACTCATGGCGGAATTCACGGAACAGTGGCTATGGCCAACCTCGGAGTGGGGGGTGGATGACTTCATATCCAAGGTTTGGCGGCCTAGATTGAGACAGGTTCAGAGCGAGAGAGCACGGATGTCGGTGGAAGAGCAGGCACAAATGCGGGGCCTAGGGATCAAGATGCGCTTCGATGAGGAAGACTCTTGGAATCAAAATGAAGGTGATGATGGACGTTACGCCGAAGACGACCCTGATCAAAATCTCAAGCTTAATTGGGAAGAGCCGGACGAGGCTGAGGATGACGCTGAAACGGCAGCCATGGAAACCGAACGCAAAGAAAGAGAACTCGAAGAGATAAGAGCCTTCTTCACCGATGTCGAAGTCGCCGAGATCCTCAAGGAAGCTGCACGCGTGAACGGCCTCGAAGACTACGATGTCTGGTTCAGGATAATCGGAAAGCCTGATCCGCGACGAGAGTGAGATTTTGAGGCCCTCGCTCCGATGCTTGTCGACGCTTCAACATTTCCTAACCATTGCTGATGGTGCAGATCCTGGCTGTGTCACTGTCTGAACCCGACTGGGAGACCTCGCGGAGCTGGAATGCATGTTGCAGGTTCGATCTTGGAGGGGGGCATATAATGTGATTAGGCAGGCCGGCAGACTATACTATTTGCTGTTCGTGTGGTCCTCCCTATCATGATCTGTGAGGACCATATGCTTTCTATTAACGCCATAGGCCAGGTAAGGCCAGGTGAGCTATTAGGAGCTCACATTGGATGCGCTGCTGGGGATATTTCTTCCTCATAGTGCCTCCCGATGGAGTACAGAGTTCTTCGTGGCGGGCTTGAGAAGAGCATACATTGTGTGCCTGGAGGACGGCTTTTGAACTCTCAACCTCAGACTTATGCAACAGTATCCGTCATGTCAGGGGCTCCAGCATCAAGCTGCCTCCAGCTACCTCTCAGAAAGAAAGAGGAATACTGGCGTGAACAATAATAGTACCGAGTCACCCTTTTCTTCTTCCAGCTCTTCCGAAGGGCTTGAAAATCCAGTATGTCGCCGTGCTGCTTAAGCTCTCCACACAACGACCAACTGCCATCGACTCTGATGCGGACCACCGATAAAGGACTGAGGTCCAAGTTCCTGGAAGTGAACAAGTCCTGGGTCCGCTCCATCCTCTTACTTGCACTCGAAATAGTTCTCCTGCAAGGCGTCGTGCAGCCGCCCAAAGACGCCGCCATGCCACGTCTTGAAATCCTGCCACTCCTCCCCGGGCATGGTGACGGAGAGCATGTTCAGCCACCCGCCCACGATCAGGTCGGCGTAGTTGGCCTGCTCCCCCTCGAGGTACGGACCGGCGTCGTGGACCATGAACGGCCGGGCCAGCGACGTGAGGGCCACCTTGAACGCCGCCCGGAGCTGCACCCTCGCCTCGCCCTGGATGGAGAGGTCGTCCCAGGAGGCCAGGTGCGCGCGCTTGGCGAAGAGCGCCCTGGTGGCGTCGGCGGTGCTCGGGTTGAAGGGGAGGGCGTGGGCGACGAGCACCACGTGCGCCGAGAAGGTGGCGTCGACGTGCACGTTGAAGCGCGCGTAGGCCTCGTTCCGCGCCCCCTTGCGGGTCGTCAGCGGCGCGTAGAACGGTGTGTCCCGGTGCGGGCTCTCGTAGTTGAGCCCCGTGCGGGTCGAGGCCGGCGGGAACAGGCAGCCGCCCGAGTGCGGGAACGTGGCCTCGAGGTAGTTGGCGATGTCGAACGAGTCGCCCACGACCTGGCCCGAGGCCGGGTCGCGCAGCATGGGCAGCGTGAAGAAGTCGGTCCCGTCGTCGAACTGGCGCACCGCCGAGCAGCCGAGCCCCCGGCGCACGTCGGCGATGTCGAGGATGTCGACCCAGGTCGTCTTGAAGGGCACCCGCTTGAAGCTCAGCGCGAGCCGCGCCTTGGAGGGATTCGGGGCGTAGGATCGGGGTTGGATGGTCGATGAGATGTCGTAGAGGACGAGGGGGTTCGAGTCCGTCATTTTGAGGGAGCGAGGGAAATGGTGCGAGGCGTTGGTGGTGGGATTGACCGTGTCGGTGTGGCACATATAGGGGAAGACCAGAAGTTGTGGTTTTTCTTTTCTTCTCTCAGCCGCCAAGTGGCCCGTCACCAGCGTTCCCCCCCCAGACGTTGTACAACAGTCACCTCAAGCTTACAGCAATGGCTGTCACTTGCTTGTCAACCGCCTGTAGTTCTCTTACCTATCCCCTCTATCGTGGCCCCCTTTCCAATCGGACCGGATGGTCCCTGTCCTTCGAGGAAAAGAAACAGGGTCCATATCATCCCTGTCCTGTCTATCTGGCGCATCTTGCAACATGCCCTGGAACGAAACCAATACTCGAAATAGACCGAGATCTGGATAGGGCGGTAGGATGGAAGCGATTGAAGATTTGCACTACATTGGCGGCCATGTTGCGGCTACTGCTATTGATGTCCCAAGAGCGGCGATGGTGTGATGGCGCTTCCGGAGGTGGCGCAGTTGACGCCATCGCTGGGCGCCCAAGGGTTGCCTGCTAGAGGTATTCGCTCGTGGTACAGACCAGTTCCACGGTGCAAGGAACTTCCTGGCCAGTCGTTTCTTAGTTTGTATCTTCCCTCATGGCAGTCTTAGCGGAGCAAGAATGAAAATGGGCTCGAATCTACGTGTTTTATATCCGCTTCCCGTCCATCTCCAAATACAATGTGCAACATTTCGATCAACCGGAATCCAAATGGCAGTAGGGCATGACTGAGGAAGGATCGGCACGCTCCTCAATCTCCTGATCCTGACCACTCAGTTGTATGTCGGGTTTGTTCCTGTTGATTGTGCCCGGTTTCCTGCAGATGCTCTAAGAGTTCATTACCGGCAGGAAGAGCGTCCCAGCGACCGGCATAGAGCAAGAGGGAGGAAAACTGGGAGGAAGAACATTGGTCGCATTCAACCACATCGTGCCAATGTGCACTTGTCGGTAAAGGATCATCCAGAACCTGTCCTCTCCATTGTATATACAACATGCTCTAGAGCACGTCGAACATCCGCTCTCTTTCCGGAAACCCATATCTACACCGTCACCATTTTTGTTTAAGGGAGCGCCCGAAGCCTTATCTCCAATGCCGTGAGACTTTTCCGTGACGCCCAATGCAGAAAGATGGATTCAATCATTGCGTCTTGAACAACAGTATGGCGACATGTCCCAGGTAGAAGTAGATGAAGTGTTTCGTCTCTGCCCGTGTTGATCAGTCACAACTCATCGTAGCGGGCGACGCTCGACGTACCGTGAGTGACAAAACTTCCGAAATTTCGGCCGACTATGCAATGCCATGTGGCCCCCTTTTTGGAGTCAAACTGCGAGACGGCGTCAGGAATCGTGTCGATACATTGTCATCAGGCTGGGGGTGCGCTGTACCTCTCGCTTAATGTGTTGAGCAATGTCCTATGGTCCTGGTGAGCATTGTGCCTTCACTCCAAGGAGTGTCATCCTGCAGCATACCTTCTCGACGCTGAATTTCTCCATTGCCTCCTGTGCTAAACGCAAGTCAATATCTCACATTCCGTCTCTTGGTGGCAGGCGCATAACCGTACCAACTTCGATTGCCTCTTGTTGCATGTCCTCGCTCTTCAGGTCCCGTCAACGATCGTCCAATCAATCACGCACGGCCGTCTTACCATATCGACAGATTTGATCTGGGCTTCACGTACAACATCAGCCGGGTGACCTGGGGAAGTGGGACATCTCAGACTCACGCTCCAACTTCACCTTCTTCTCGGGGATCCCTTCAGCAGCAGCCATGGTGTCGGCGTATTATATTAGGCAGGAAAGGTAACGAATCGCAGGGAGAAAGGCTGTACAGCGGATAGAAGAGTCGATGGATAACCTGTACCGAGTAGAGACGGGTGGACGAGTCTTGAACGATGGAAGCCTTCGGCGGAAGTTGCGCATGTGCAGGGGGCGCAAATCATCACAAACCAGGGTGCCAGGGTCATGAGGGTCCAGCGAGTAACAGTGACGAGCCAAAATCCCAAAAATCAGCAAGTGTGCCGAGCGCGCAACGACAGAACAACGTTGAGGCCACTTTTCTGACTAAGCTGCTACCTATCGGGAGGTACGCCAGATTGGCCGCTGGCTGAAAGTTGGAGGGCAAGTGGAAGATGAACGCTATTCAACCCGACGAAAGTGATATAGAACGACTGTTTCTGTATTGCACTGCTTTTTTCCACGGCCACGAGTTTCTTCTCTAAACTAGTATATGACACGTTCATTACCCACTCAGTCGTGACTCCAAAAGCGCCGTGTAAACTACCCTGGATCCTTACTTACGATGAGAATCTATATCTATAACCCATCGTCATCACCTCGCCATTTGTAGAAAGAGAAAGTAGATATGGGACTCAGAAATCAAATCAGGGGCAGCTCGAAACCACGGTTTTACACTACTCCCAGGTCCACTAGCCTAGACGGCAGTGATCGGGTGTAGGTCTAGGTTTGAGCACACAGTTCATCACAGTCCCTTGAAGAGAACAGGGCGTTACCTGAAATTCCTACTACAACTTTTGCTTGGAGAGAGGAAAAGGGTTGAGGGGGGATGAACCCTTGCTTAAATAGCTGCAAGCTCCCTAGGCGCGGGTACCGCCAAGCGGCTTCATCGCCTTTGTGCCACTGGTAGAATGCCAGGCAACCATTCAGTAGTGTGCGGGAGCACAACTCTCACGGGCCTGCTGCGAATCATTGTTTGAATTGTTCGGGGGAGACGGGATGGTAAGTATCTATCTAGCAACTGTGGGAGTAATGGTTCATTAACAGGACACGAAAATTGGGCAGCGGCTTGAACAGCGGTGAGCGTCAACTTGGTATATCCCGCAGCAGCACAGAAGAATCACTCGGCTTTGCCCTTCCCATTCGAATGTGACACGCCGTGCCTCTTATCCCTGCCGCTTTCTTTCGTATTCTTGGTTCCGAAAGTCCCAGTCCTGCTCCTCCAGGTCGTCACTCTCTCGGGCTTTCGTTCAATTTGGAAGCTGAAGTCGACTTCGCCCACAAGGCTCTTCACCATTCCTATCAATCGCTCCAGCTCCTCGCTGACCAGACTGCTGGCAACCTGACAGACGGCAAAGGCCGCATAGCAAGGCTCAGCGACATGTTCGACGCGTAAAACATCGGGGTCGATAATATGGAGGTCTGGACCGAGACGATACGGGTGCGGCACTCTTAGGAAGGGTGGAAGAGGCTGTGCGTTGGTGACGCTGGCGGAGAGCAGACTGAGCATGGACGTGATATCGTGCGTCGTTATGTTGAGGCCGCGCATGAAGAGGCGAAAGTTGTTGATCCATGGCTGATCGGTGTCTGGGAGTGTTTGGGATTCGCCGGTCAGGATGGGAGCGAGATGACGGGTCGACGGGGCCGCAGATGCAGAGAACAGAGGGGAGGCTGGAGAAAAGGTGCGCGTTGAATACGAGATGAGTGTCATGTAGTTGAAGATGGTTTGCATGGATGCGATGATATCGTGGTACGTTTCTTTGGGAAAGCGGCCGCCGATGGTGGGCTCCCATTCACTAGCCAACAGGTGCAGTTTCGAAATCTGGATCCCCGTCTTTGCAAACGCTTTATTTCGTGCCTTTTCGACTCGGTAGGCCGGACTTTTCTTGATCCGGGGGTCCAAGATATCGTCTCGGAGGCGCATCTCAACCGTGCTGTGTACTGTCGCGTAGTATGTGGCCAGAAGGTACAGCCCCGCTCCAAGATCTCGTCGTAGTTTACCATGAGTAGTCATCGGGAATGGAAAATATGACCAGATGAAAGCGACGAATGTCCCGGTCAGGACGGTGGCAAGTCTGTACGGCGCCAGAAGATAGATTGGATAGTATGGCTGCCCATTCGAGGCTACCGTCTCCTTTCCAAGTTTCGTAACTTCCAGTTCATATCCCACAATCAAGAGATTGGTGACATTGAAGAGGATAGCGCCGACAGAAAATTGTGGGAACTTGAAGATTGTGTAGAATCCGAGGAATTCGACGATGAAGAGGACTGGAATGACTCCGCCGGCTTTCCCGTCTGCGATATACCACAGGGTAATCGAGCTGCAACATGCTGCTATTGTTCCGACGACCCGCCCCAGAAATCCGATCACCGAAGCACCGGTCGTTGGGGCCAGTGATATGGCAACAAGGATGAGAGCCCATAAGCCCCGCTGCTGGAGAAACCAATCCTGGGTGTCGCGAAGAAAGGCGATGATTGCCACAGTCATCACCGCGCAGACAGCTCTGAATCCGAAAGCCGATTCTTCAGACGCGAAGAAGTGTGATGTGCTCCGTATGTGATCACCGATGATTTCCAGGTAGCTGGCAGCTGGCAGATGTTCGGGGTCTTTTCGTTTTCTGTAGGCTTCTCCGAGATGAACAATGGTTCGAGTGCCCTCGCGACCCGTGATCGTGGGATCAGCTATGGAGTCCTTCGAGATCCACATACTTCGAATCCATTTTTTCATTCTCCTCTTTCCAGGGAGGATCAACTTGGATCCCCTCTTCAAGGCTTCTTCTGATTTGACATCGGCGAACACCACCAGGTCCAGAACGCCTTTCGCAGTGGACCAGGTCAGGAACTCGATGTACAAGACCAGATACATGCGTTGTTGGTTCTTTCGGTGATGCCTTAGCCCTGCGAAATGGCGTGTCATCGTCGGCTGTGGATCTCTTGAAAGATCGGTCATGAAAGTAACCGGAAGATCAACACTGGCTGCTTGACTCCAACCCTGCAAGGTGCTGGCGCGGGACGCGTCAAACTCGTCGATCTTTTGACTCAGGAAAGCCGCGAAATCCAGGTCCCCGGACCGTGGGTTTCCCTTCTCTGCGTCTTCTGCCCGTTTTCTCCTCCGGCCAAATCGCAATTGAATGTATATATGATCCAGCGCATTTTCCAAAGTCTCTGCTAGAGAGTCGAAGGAACTCACGAGCGAATCCATCACATTGGCCCACGCAACACGCTCTGCTTCCAAGTCGTCGAAAGCTAGACCGTCGGCATCATCGTCATCTACTGCGCCGACTGCTCGAATGGCCACTTCTTTCAAGATGTCAACCAACGTGGACATTCCGTTCATGGGCAACAGAATAGATTGGAGCAATTCGCGAATCTTTTTGATGTCGTACACGTCGAGATGGCCAACGGCAAACTCTGTCTTGGCATATTCCAGTTCGGTATGCATGCGACCGAAGGTTGCAGAGAGACCTGCGGTGCTGTTCTTCAACCGTTGCGCTTCTGGCGAGTTTGTGGCTCGGATCTCTTTGGGGCTCATCCTCGCCGTCGAAACGTTCGTCTCTTGCACGCAGGTGAAAACCAAGTTTTTGCGTCGCATTCGTCGCATGTAAGCACCCTGAGCCGCCAGAGAATCCTTGAGCTTGCTGACAAAGTCATCCGTCAACTTGAAGCATAGCTTCCGGTGACTTCGGGGGAAAATGAAGAACGAAACGCCGACTGCGATTGCAAACCCCATCAGAAATGCCCCAATCATGTGTTTGATCAAGATCTCGCCTTGCGACATGCTTGCTATTCGCTATCGAACGTCAGCTCACGCTTTTGACCGGAATCCTGGGGCGTCTTACCGTGGCGTTGACCGAAGCGACAATGACAAAAAAGCTCAAAATAGTGCCTGTGACTGAATATTGTGGACGCATCGCCCGTCCCACGTTGATGAGGTAGATGGACACACAGAGCCACACGCCAATTATCGCGCTAGCCGAGGCGTTGTAATCGACTTTGAGATTGGTGTTTGGCGAATCACGCTGTGCTGCGCTCTCTGAATGTTCCCTGGACTTGACTGCACAGTAGATAGACAACAGCATGACAGCTGCAGAGAGGCAGACCCCTAAAATATTCAAGGTCATAGTCTGGACGAATCGTGCTCGAGGCTGGGTCGCGAACGAGAAGAAGGCCATAATGGATACCAGATATCCCAGGGTTGTATAGATACGTGAGACCGAGTTTGACTGGTTCCTGTTGCTCGTTTAGAGCTGTGATCTTTGGAAGTTTACCATACTCACATTGCTGCGGCGATTGCCGGCGGTAGGGCACCTCTGTCTCTACGTTATTTTTGAGCAAACATCAACGAAGGGTACAATATACTTTGCCATCATTTTGACGGTCTCCAAGTCGAGATCTAGCCATTGCCATGCCCGCTTCCAAATTCGGGTTGATGACTCCAACTCTTCAGTCGTGCTGGACGAGTGGTCGGTATCCGACTCCAGGGTTGATCGAGACGAGGGATCCTCATCATCGCTTTTGTCCTGCATTGTGATTTTAAGGAAACTGGGTGGGAGAAAGGAAACAGGTCATCGGGACCTGATTTCTCGCTTCATGACTTAGGGGTCTTTCTTCGACGCGGTCCAGTCGATCCCGCCGGACGGGGAACGTAGTTTACCAGGTCCCGGTGACAAAAGCCGGGACTGAACTCTCCACGCTTTCAGATTCTCGATTAGGACGGATCGCCACAGATGCACACCTACTCATACGTCCTGTTTCGAATGGGAATTCGAGTTAAAATGGTAGTAAATGCTTGAAGTTGCGTAAAGAATTTTATATTTTGAAGTCTTGAAAATGCGGCGCGTCGGCATAATCTGATATCACGTGGGACTAGAAAGGACGATCTCCCCGAGAAGCACCGAGTATGGGGTTAGGCTGTTGTGGGGCTGGGGAAACAACAGGGCGGCGTTACTCTTGGCCCAAAGGGGCTCGAGCTGGGTATCCAATCACCTCGATTTGATTCAGGTCTTCCCTGCGAGGCACATCTAGGATACCGTACACGACCAATACCTTGAGATTGCCGTTTCGCCTCTATCATGGCGTTACTGGCCAACTCATCTATATAGATGTCCACTCTGCGTCCGAGTCCGACTCGTTTGGTGCGGTCAATTCGAGCTTCATCGGGATGCGAGATCCTTTGTGCAGGTCGATCAACACAGATTCAACCGTGCACGTGGGCGTCGCGAAAAGTCCATGTACTCGGAATCGAATGGGAGCTTACATGGCTACAGTTTCAAGTTGGTACACCGATGCTTCTCGAACGGGATACGTTGATTGAATTGTTGTATCTGGCTGCATACTCAACGAGGTAGCTATGGCTGGACGCAATGTTACTTGTGCCGTTCTTCTCGATTGCTGCCCTAAACTACACAGGCACAGGACATCCGAAGCTGACGGCGACGGTTCCACCAGGGCCGAAGACAGCAATCAAACCTTCAATAGCAGCCCAGGTACCCATGCCACAGCATGCAAGGCCAAGAAGGATGTAGATCAGTGCAATTGTGCTCCTAAACCAAGTCTTCTTGTAGCCTCTAATCCATCGCTTGATGCCGTCGTCGTGCCTGATCGTTTCGCGCGTGGCCGGGTTGAAGCCCTCGCCCGGAAGTTCCGCAGCCTTGTGGATGATGCTGCTCAGGTACATCATGCCGGGGAAGGTATATGTAAAGTTCATCATGAAGACGGCGCCGACAAAGCTGACGATGCCGTTGAGGTTGGGGACCGCTCCAGCAACGATGAACGCAAGAATCCAATAGCATGGTCCCAAGAGGTACCAGAGGATCTTGCCCTTCTTTTCAACAATCGAGGGGAATTTGAAGATGGCTTGGAACACTTCAAGGTACACCGTCTTCATGCCGATGTTGAAGTACATGATGATGGCAATCCAGCCGGAGAGAAGTCTGAGAACGTTGCCTGCAGTCTGCAGACCATAGGGATTGACAACGTTCACGATGTTGTTGGCAGAGTACTGGCCGTAGAAAGAGTAGACAAAGACACCGAAGAACATATAGACGATGCAGATGAAGGCCTGGGCAAGGAACATGCCTTTCCAGAAGTCCAGCGGATGTCTCATTTCCGAGAGGAAGGCGACGAAGAGCAGAGCGCCAGCGTATGCGTAGACCATGGTGTTGACAGCGTTGAACGTAGCCGCAAAGCCCGGGGATTGCTGCTGGTACTGATCTGGTGGAATGCCAGCAAAGACTTTGATGGGCTCGATGGTCTGGATAAGCGTAGACTTTGTGATTGCTGGGTAGTACGGCGCGAAGTGTGAAGCGGCCACCATGCTGTTGGAACGCGGGTCAGCAAGCTATACAAGTACAACAACAGGGCCGAGGAAGCAAGACTCACCAGATGATGAAGTTCACAATGTTCATCCACACGGCAGCGTTGGAAATCCATCCGATCTTCCTCAAGCTTCGAATGAATCCTCCCAGCATCCCGACAACCATGATGACAACCATCATAGCCACGAAGCAGACGCTCGAGTGAGCGATCTGCTCAATGTTCAAGGCCTTGCTGAAGATCAAGATGGCGACGGTGAAGAATTGCTGGAGCGACTGAGCGACGTTGATGAAATGGCGCATTTGCACGCCGAAGAGCCGCAAGAATGGATCACCAAAGCTCTGCATGGGGTAACGGGATGAGTCGAGATCGAGGAAAGTCTTCCAGATTACCCAGCCGCCCCAGGCAGCGAAAATGCCGAAGATGAGGTAGAGTGCTACACCGGTGCCATAGCCCACGCTGGCAAAGACAAACCTTTATTGAACTGTTAGCCACGATCTGCTATTATTTTAAGTCTCAGGGAGTACCTACGGCGCACCTGACCAACCGAGAATATCAGTGGTGATGAGGAAGAACATCTGACCCCAGCTGGCAGTTCGGAGTGCACGGGCAGCAGTGCGCCATTCCGCGTCGGTGACCCTCAGCGCAGAGTCGATAGACCCGCCATTGTCGACATCAGTGACGACCCCAGCCGGCTGCTTCTCGTTGAGTTGCGCCAAGGTCTGAAGTCTGGTCTCCTTCTCTGCTTTCGCCTTCTTTCGACCAGACTTGGAAAAGGCGTTTTTGATTGAGTCGCGAAGGGGGGAGCCGTGCTCAGCTTGGAACACTTTGTTCTCTTCAACCTCCATCTCACGTTCGATTTTGGCCCAGTAGACGTATTCTTCATACGTCACGGTGCTGTCGGTACGAGCGGCGAAGCCCCATGTGCGCTCCATGACCTGCGGCTTCTCACTGCTGGGCGAGACTGATGGCTTGCGCATCTGCTGCTCGGTCACCACATCCAGCTCCGGCGCTGGATGTGTTACTGGGGCGATATGCTCCATGACTGAAAGACGGTGGAGTGAGTGGATGAGAGAGACACAAAAAGGAAGCCGTGCGCTGTGAAGGAATGCAGGGTTGTCAGAGGACCAGGACGCTCCTAATAAGTGGCCACGCGAAGGGAGCTGTCTGGTCATATCCCTGCTGTCGCTCCTCACGATGTAACATGAAAGCGAACACACGAGCATTCGGGTATTGACGGTTCTGCCATTGGTACCCGCTGGAAATTGCGCACGCGGTGTTGGCGATATCTCGTACTCCTCATGATAAGATGAAGCATGCTTGGGTCGCACAAGCACGACAATAAGCTCTGCTGCGATTGGAGGGGCGACCAATGAGGGTCCATAGGATGAGCTTCGGTCGCCGCCATGTCCAACAAGCAACGGGGCAGAGGTACGAGGTAGAAATGCAGCGTTTCATCGCAGGTCGCTAAGCCAACGGGACACGGCTCGCGATCAAGATAGCCAAGATAGGATCTGCACTATAGACTGTATTGACCCCGGACACGCCAAGCACGAATCATCCCTGAGCGGGAAGGTGACAAGCTTTACAAGCTGCCAAGCTTCCTTCGATTCGGCCTCGAAGGGTGTCGGAAACCTTGGCAAACCTTGGCAATGGCAAACGTTGTCTTACCTTGGTCGGAGAAGCGCAGGAGCCGTTGATTGCATTGAGCCTGATTCCAACGCAATGTCCATCCGTTGATCTGGCCCTGCTCCACCCCCAATGCACGGAGATGACGCCCAGCAGGGAGAACCACTAAATCCATACACCCCTGCCTCAGTCTCAGGGAATGGCACGTCCAAAAAGCGAGGAGTTCGATGTAACACTTCCCTCGCTACCTTTGAGCCATCAATGCACTAATCGATCCTATCATGTCTTTGAGCGGCGTTATCCGGCATATAATCCCAACGGCGAATTGTTGTAGATTGCTGTCCAAGGCCCACTATCGCATGATAAAGAAACTGAAGAACCCCGCGTGGATGGGGGATCAGCTGTAGTAGGTCGATGGCTAGATGTCTATCTACATAGCTATCTGGTCTTGTGCTGGGCTGTCTCCGGGAGAGTACCGAGTAGAGGGAGTGTGTAACAGGAGATAGAGATATCTAGGCGTTTAAATAGACGGGCCGTGCCAAGCCGGCGTATCTTCCTATTCTGGCCATACATGTGACTTTCGGAGTCTTTTGACCCGTCGCCATTGGCCTGTGTCTCCTATCTGCCCAGATTAGTGACAAAGAGTGGATATGTCCCTGTGCCAGACTCCGTGCTCAGTCCACCCGACAAAAGGACAGGCAGATTATTGATTTGTCGGCGAATCGCATGTGCACGGTGTCATGCGGGGAGAAATTTGGTAATGCGCACCTCTTCTAGATCCCTGTCGAACATACTGGAATAAGGCCGTTCTGCTCTCCGGGTGGCGCGTACTTGATGCAAGCGAATAACAGATTGAGCGACATGTTCGGATGGTCGGATCGAGTCCATGATTCACTGAAAATGGTTGCGCCTCGGTCTAGATTCCTGCAGTCCTTTCCAGTTGAATGCCATCTGTTGATCACTGCACTAATGAGATGACATACTTCATGTCCTAGAGTGGCCAGACCTTTGGAGGATACTCTGTAGGGATATCACTCTGTCGTGGGCCAGGCCCCGATGAAGTCTCCGCTTTCACAGCGCATACATTCATGTGTGACCGGGGAATTCTGACGAGGATAGCGCGATCTCGATCGTGATGAATGGCCAGTCATCTCAGGCCAGGCTCCGGCAGCTTAACTAAGGTGCCGATATCTCTTGAGGCGTCTGCTCAGACCCCGTCCGAATCTGCCATGTCTCCAGGTGCACGATAGGCGCTAACCCAGATCACCTTCTAATGAACCATGGCTGGCTGAAAATAGCCCTGTTTGGAGACGACAAGGCAATTGTCTATTCTTTGAAAGCATAGATGCCTTAACCGAAATACCCTAGCTATAAGCGAGGTCGCGCTGGGAAGATGTAAATATATCGTGTCTTATATTTTCTATAAGAGTGTTTTGTAGAGCCTTGACACTGATCTACGGACGAGAAACAGGACTCTTTCTTACGAGTTAACTAGCGGGTCTTCATGCCACACGAGGATTTTCCTGTTGGTGGGCGTGCTTAGCATGTAATACCTCCACTGGTGCGTCGACATGATAGTTCATTGTCTCTCTCAAGTCGCCGAGAAACAGGGTGCACACCAAACCCAAGACACCAAACGGCGCTGCGATGATGAAGACCACCCTCAATGAATCCGCAAAGGCCTGCTTGACGGCAGCGACACCTAGTCTGATGATCTCCGGGGTCACACCAGGGACTTGTAGTAGGGTGGTCTGGTTGTTAGCAGCAAGTGCTTCCACGAAGAGTGGTATCGATGTCGAAGGGAGACCGCCAATGACGGCCGCTCTGCCTACATCGTGAGGAAGGTT